ACATCGCCCAATGACTTGCATAGAATAGGATGACTTTTTATGTTCCGGATAGGCTTCGATATCAAATAACGAATAATTAAGCCTTTCCAATGGCTGAGTAGGCTTTGATTACATAATATATTTAGTGCTCGAAAAGGCCGCGAATGACGTCATCAGGTCAATGCCACCTTAGTACCTTCTCAATGCCTTCTCAGCGCCCGAATAGGAATTGACCAATCATCCTGTCAACATGATGAAAAGATAATCATTTTCAAGTTATTTTCAAGGGCGGAAAAGGCATTGAAATGGTATCTTTTTCAAATCCTATTCGCGGACTGAAAAGCGGTAGAGTCTAGTTACCATCCCAATCCCTCACTCAAACCCTACTCAGAATCGGAATATTTGCGTTTGTCTCTGGTGTGAAGGTGGACATATGCCTTAACCTATGGGGTCGTGCATGTCCAAGTCGGACCTGTATTATCCCGCTGGCACAGGGTCTCAAACCTCTACATTTCGTAGGGTTGACTCTTACCGATAACACTCCAGTTGCCATTGAGCACCAAACATTAAATCGTTGCTTCAAGCAGGAGATGCAAGCGGGAACAAGAGCGAATACAAGCAATAAAACCCAGGGCACTAAATAGAACAAGAAGGTACATCTAGCACTCGGTTGGTTCAAACGGATGTAGTAATAGGTGCTTTACTGCAACGGGTGTCAAATACCTCGCCAGTCGACCGGTCGAGGAAAAGCTACCGGGCTACAATACGAGCAGCGAATAATGTAAACAACCAAGTTAAAGCGAGATACAGACGTAAACCTCCAACAGAATCTCAAAACAACGCTGCGAAAACGGGGATGGAAGACACGGTACAATCCAGGAAACCTTTAGCACCATGCATACGAGCACCTTGGAAACTAGGGAGATCCCTACCTTGCAGCCCATGGCTATCAAATCTTCTATGCACTTTGCGCCTGCCTTTCATGATCCTCCTGCATGACGCGTCTGTCCCTCGCTTCCTTCTCCCTCGTCACCACCTTACTTACCCACTGTTTGACCTTGTTCACCAGCGGCACCACATCCTCGGACGCCGAAAAGCGGTTTCCCATAGTCTTGTCAAGAACAATTCGGTTGTTGACGTTGATCGTAAAGCGAGTCTTGGGGATGGCGAATGGCTCACCCTGCCCCTCGTTGATGATGATGAGGACATGAGTTGGAGCCGACCCATCGGCGTTGAGCTGGTACATGATGGTAGGGGAGAACCACCAGCTGTCGATGGCGCTGGGTACAGGTCCCTGGGGAGAGGCCTGTTCATAGACAGCCTGCATGATGGGGAGGACTGTGGACTCGAGAGGGTGTCTGTGTACTTCATATCCGTCGAACCACTCGTCGTCGGTCAGAGTGATGCTCTGCCAGGTGGACATGATGATTAAATAATGATGGCGAATGGGTACTTCAGAAGATCTCGAAGATGGATGTTGGTGTCATGGAGTGGTGAGGGCAAAACATCTGCGGTAGCCTGGTTTTATCTCATCACCGTGTTTGTCTGACCCAAAGGTTCCAGCCGCGTTTGCTTGGTCGAACAATAAAGAAAACGCGTGACGTAGTGCGTGCGGGAGCTGTGATTTTTATCCATAATGGGATCGGCAAGCGCCGTCGGCAATACCGGAGCTTGTGTTAAAACACGGCCCTCACGGGCATACCTGGATCCGAAGACCCTAGAATGTACCCTCCGTCATGTCAGTGTGGTTCTGGCATGTTTTCTTAGCTGCATAAAGTCTACGACGTCACATACCAATCCCATACCTAAGTTACCAGGAGTCCTCCATACCATTATAGAGTATGCAGCAAGTCTATGGCTCAGCAAACCAATTATTTTTATAAATAGAGAGCTCTAACGGTGTTGTATAAGTGGCATGCAGCGGTTTGGTGCGCAATCACTTAGTTCTGTCTTTAATGATCAAACTGCTAATAGCTATTGACAAGATAGCTGAATGCTAAGCGGAGATAACCATGAATCTGACAACCATCCTATCGAGACTCAAAAGGAAGGTCACTTCCTCACCTGAGCTGATGTCCCATTTGATGACGAGAGGTAACGGGAGAATAATGGCCAAGGGTTTAAAGAGGTCGGAACGACAGGTCGATGCGGAGCGAAGTCACAAACTCCATGCCTTGCCTGACATCCTGATGATTTCACCGATAAAAAAAAGTATCATCCTGCCAGGACACAAGTCACTGATTGCAGGGGATCATATAATAAGTAACATAAAGTAAGTACGAGAGAAGTGATCAAACACCAAAGACAAACGGTAGAGATAGGGGTTACTCAACAAAACAGGGTACGGAGCAATGACGGAAAAACGGGATGTGGACCGGGAAGAACGTAGGTTAGGCAAAACTTCTTCGTTATACCTGTCTCCCTTCGGATCTAGGAACCACAAAGTCGGTAGTTGACTCCGAGGAGGTGGAGCTGAGATTCCTGCTCCATTCTAGACACCCTATTACTTGCGAGTTGGTGAAAGGCTCGTCAAATGTTTGGGACGTTGAAGTAAAGCACCGTACCCCGGGCCCGTCTAATGGATGAATACACAAGCTCTGAGAGAGCTAAAATATCATTGGTATGGATGAAGGACTGTGGTAGAAAACGTAGTCATTGAATAAAGAACCCATGAGTTGATGTGCAGGCCAGCAAACAAGCATGCAGAACAAGTTTAGGCACGTTTTTCTTTTTGCTAAACTTCCAACCTCCTTCGGCATAACTATTTTCATCATTCATGCTCATCCATAGCCACCACAAAGCAGCAACAACAGGATGCTTAGATTCGGGTTCACCAAGGATCAAATCAAGCTGGGTGAAAAGAAAACTATGATAGACAAGGCTGGCCGGCGCCTTCGCTCTCGCCTCAGGTGTTGTTGCTGAGTACTCATCGCATTTGTGCATTGTCAGTACGTCGTACCTGAGTCATACCGTGTCAGACAGGCGAGCTCCCAACAAATCAACTTTACCCCTAGCCTCAGGCCAATTGCCGGGGTGACAGTGTACGCGGAGCTCGGTATCGGGATATTATTTTAACCCACATGAGCACAGTATCGTAGAAACACTGAAAGTAGATCACTATTGATGAACCGGAAAACGTTGTCACTGTTGAGTCAGGGGCGTAGGTGCCTTCTAAGCGCCTCGAGGAACATTCGGCTAGTATAGTAAATCGATAATATGACAAACATGCAGTGACGCCGCCGTCACAAAAGTATGAAGAACAGAATTGCATGAAATTCGTTTATATATTAAAACGCGTTGCGCCACCGACAATGCCCAATTGGCAGACCCTCTGAGGCTGGCGCCAACATTCAGGTATAAATGGGACGAAACAGCGCTTTGAGGCTGCGCGATACAGGAAACAAATAAGCATAAGTAGGATAGGTCAAGATTTTCAAAAACAAGGTACAGGTACACGCAAGAAAATTGACTTAAACAGTCTGATCGAATGATAGAGTTATTTTGTGCTAGTGTCAATATGTGGTGTTGGAATACGGTAGCATCCAGAGCAAATGAAGGGTAGCAAAAACGTGTGAGGATAAAGTGGCGGAAACAATATCATAGATGACCATTCTGATACTATAAGTGGAGTCAATCTGCTGTAGCATGGCCGTATTCTGCAGCATTTACAGGATGAGTGAGGATATCGAGAAGAGTTTCAGTCGGTGCAAACTCACAGGACCAGAGCCAATGGGATCAAGTCAACGCCATATTTCTAAGCATTTTCCCTCCTATCAATCTCTTCAAGAGCCCATTGGCAGAGATAATTGACGAGTAGCAATGTGTCAGCGGGGACACTTATGTGGAGGCCTGAATCCTGACTGAACCTATTCTTGACGCTTGGCTGTAGGAGATTGACTGTGAAGCGGGGATATCCAAATTGGCCACCTTCGCAGAAGTTGATGACGACCTGTTCTATGAATTCATGCTCCACGAGGTACCTGATAGACGGAAGATAGTAGGTTTGGTTCAGCGAAGGGGGAGGATTTAGGTTGAACTGGGTGTAAGTGCACTGCATGAGCTCGAAGACAGTGCCGTATGGGTAGCCAGGAGTGTCCATCTCAATGCTCATCCACATGGTGTTGACGAGGGGCATAGGAGAGAGAGGCTAAGGATACCGCTGCTCTTTTATCTGTCGCGAAGAATGACTCAGGATACTGTTCTAGGCCAACATTGGTGCTCTTCAACTCAAAATCAGAGTTATCATGGAGGGGTCTTGCGAATACTCTTGTCACAGACTGTCAGGGGGGGATTGCATCCGAGCTTTTCGACTGGGGATCTGCAAAGAACTTTCGGGATTGGGGGATCTGCGTTACCCCAGACGGCGTTAATGTCTCCAAACTTCGTGGGAAGCTGTGTGCCTGGAGCGTCCTGGATTCAGAGCACTTTAATCGGGATTACTAAAGGCTTATCTCTGATTTGCCACATCAATGAACTGGTTCATGAGTCAGCTCAAAACCGATCAACGCCCTGGGTTTGAGTCAAGTTCAAGCAGTGGAATTGGTGAAACGAAACCCAAAGCATAGAATTAAGACGGACACTACTCCAAGTACGGCAAATTGAACTTGAATTCAACGGAAAGTTGAGCGGGACAAATGAAAGGTGCATGGGGAAACCCAGAAATAAGCTAATATTTGTCGTTGCAGTTCGTCTTCTTTCACAGGGCTTCAGATCGTCACCACAAACCTCTTGACCGCAGCCATCGCACACGAACTTCAATGAAGATGCTAGTAGGAGCTATTTTATCCGCGTTCAATTGATAGCCAATGACTGGGCTATGCTACCACCTGTCAATCTTAAAAAAGGGAAGGAGGCCAGCTTGTATGTATATGGCCTGCATGATGGGGAGAACAGTGGAATCCAACCGGCATTTACAAATGATGTAGCCATCCAAAAAATCGTCGCCGTTAGTCTAGTAGATAGTGCGCCAGAATGGGGAGGACATTATCGCTGCTGGTAAGAGATGGATGAGAGGTGAGGAATTAGGAGAACATGGAGACCCCCTGGCGATTCGCCCGCGTGCGATCACAGCGGTGAACTTAGAGCACCGGTGGTAACCAACCATTAAATAGATCTCAAGAGCGAGCATAAAACTTTCAAACGTCAGAGCGATGAATCTGAGACACGCGTTGTTGTCACGTCATTGTCGTCACCTAAGATAGAAGAGGAGATGTGCATGAGTGTGCATGCGTGAGGCGATCAAGGGTTCCAATATGATTAATGATTTCACGTTCGACCTATCGGTCATTAATGAATATTGATCGAAGTGAAACATCCCACCCAGCTTGCTTGCTTGCTCTGGTGCACTGGTTCGCATCAAAAGTGCGACCAGCTCATAACTCGTGAGGTGAGCCTATACGGCAGAAAAGGGGCGACATAAATACAAGGGAAAGCAGCAAAATATGTTGCCAAGATAAAGGCAGGTAACATAAAAATGGATGGTAGCGGTACAATCAAGAAAAACTGCAAAGGCCATCAGTTAGCTATAACTACATGCAGTGAACAATAGTAGTCCTGTTGCGAAGACAAACTTACGGCATCATGAATGAAAACCCTTGGTTAGCGATTTCCCAGCGGCGTTGCTCGTGCTGCGTAGACTCCCAATCCATGGAGAAATCACAGGAGAGGCAGTAGTCAGGCGCACAGTTCGGACAGTATGACTCCCCATCGCACTCGTCGTTCTGGCACTGCTTGGCACAATCTGGGCAAACCTTGGTTGCTTCGCAGCCAGCGCACTCGACGCCAACTTCCTTCCAGCAGCTCTCACAGAACCGGGCTTCACAATCCTCGCAAGTGCGCGTCAGTGCGTCTGGGTGCGTCATCTTCTCAGCCTCGGTGATGCAGTCGTCGCAAGGCGGAGTGTTACCGCAGTTTCTGCATGACTGGACTCGGACCTTCTTGCATGTTGCGGACTGACCGCACGAGCACTTCTTGCAGCGCGGGCAGACGGAGGAGTGCTTGGAATGCTTCGGAAAGCACGTGTCACAGACCCATATCCTCCCGCACTCGCACGTCTCGCCACCGTCGGGAGAACAATCATCGCAGATGATAACTTTTGCGTTTGCCTGAGCTAGGGAAATGTTTGGAGGAGCAGTCCTCGACCAGCATGTTTCAGACGAGCAAGGAGTCAGGAGTTCTTGTCCCTCCCGTATACACGCATCACAACCAATGACTTTGGGGGGATGCTGTCGAGTGATCTGGGATGAGGACCGGCCCGAGCGTTTCCCCAGCGGCTTGCCGAGGCACCATCGAAAGCCAATGGGCGCACGGAACCATTGTTTGCATTCGGGACATGTCGTCAAATTGGAGCTCGTCTCTAAGCAAGGATGACATAGAGATGTCGAGCGGGTGGGATGAGTTTCGATGGCGAATATACGCCGTGCCTGACAAGAGGGGCTGCAGCAAGATATCGCCTTGCAGTCTTCACACTGGACGATGGCGGACGAGCAGAGGGGACACTGAACGACATCTCGTAGTGTGTCGTCCTCCAGGAGGCTATGGGTGAATAGGCGATGGTTAAATTCCTACCATTGACAGCGAAGGTTAATCAATAACCCAGCGCAGATCAATACTGGGATGAATAGATGACTCACCTGCATCCTCCTCAAGCGGTCTTCGAGTGCCTTCAACATTTGCCCACTCAGCCTCTGTCCACTTGGGAGTGCCACCGTGACGCTGCTTGCGATCTCCCTCGGTCTCTTCTTGTTCGCAATATCGTCACAAACCCACTGCCTGACCTTGTTCAAGCGGGGTGCTATCTCTCCAGGGATCTCGATGTATCTATTTGACTTCCTGTCTTTGACTGAGAGTCTGTCGAGGTTGATGGTGAAATGGGTGTTCATTTTCGGCTGATCCGGTTCACCCTCGCGAACGTTGATGATTACGATAGTTGGTGCTGACCCGTCCGCATTCAGTTGATAACCAATGGACGGAGAATGCCACCAGTGGTCAATGGTATCAGGAGGTGATAAACCAGCACTGCGATAAGTACTCTGCATAATCTCAAGCATATCTGACTCCAGTGGGTGGGGAGAAAGCCCATCAAAGACTATGTTCTCCCAGGTGGGCATTGCGACAAGCCTTGGACTAGGACAAAAGCAAGTGAAGAGGGGTGAAGAGGGATGCTCAGGAGAGGCGCTGGCTCCTGTGAGTCACCCGCACCATCCCGCTGATAAATTAGGCAATGGGCAAAATGTTTGTTGGCAAGATCCATTGCATTGGCCCGTCGCGGTGGTGCAGGGGGGATCCGGGACAGGAGGATGGCGAAAGAGAATATCGGTATCAGTGTGTGACAAGAGAATATTGATATTCTGCGTCACATCGCTCCGGAGTCCGAATACCGAACAGAACTCCTTGTCACGTGACCATCGCGCAGCTCGCTCCGACCACGCGTCTGGTTGGCTTTTTGGACTCTCCTTTCCCACCTCTCGTGATAACGCTTCTCACCTTGAGTGAAGGATCCCAGCTACCCTCAAATTAGTCTCACAATCTACTCGTGTCTTATTTCGCAAAGCCTAGCAAAGTTTCAACTCATCATGCTCGCCGTCGTTACCACCGACGGCTTCGCTCTCGCAGACCACAGTGCCATCAAGCGAACTCCTGGTTCAATCCCGGTAAAACAATCCTTAGTGCAAGCCTGTCCGTCAGCTGCGTGGATCTCCGGAACAACATCCCTATACTTCGCCGCAGGCAAAGCACTACTAACCTACCGACCTTCAAGCAATCTCCGCACACAAGAAGTCCACGTAGCAGAGAGCGACATCTCATCTTTTGTCACCCATGGACATACCGCTATTTACGCAACGGACAGCAAGATCCATGTTCTCGAAGAAGGAACAATTTCTCGGACCTTCGATTCGCAGAAATCCCCCATCACCTCCCTTTCCCTCTGTCTTGATGGCTCACGCCTCGCATCGGCGTCCTCGTCATCCTGCGTACAAGTGCACTCAATGACCTCGTCCTCCACCTCGGTTACTACCTTGCGAGGCATCCCCGCTGCATCCGAAATCATTATCGCGTTCCACGCCCATGACCGGAAACGCCTCATCGTCGGGGCTGGTCGGCAAGTCCTTGTGTTCGATGTCACACATCCCTCAAAACCCTCCAAAATCGTCTCGCTTGGGGACGAGACGTCGGGGGCTATCGTTGGCGTAGCGTGTAGCCCTTTCAGCAAGACTTTGATCGCCGCCGCGACGTCGTCAGGAGAGGTGGGGCTCATCGACTTGGACAAGGAGAAAGGGTGAGTGGTATTCCTGCTAATTTCTGGTCTTCTGGGTTTTGTTCTAATATGTTATAGATTATTCAAGAGCCTATTCCTTGATACCAAGATCACGGCGCTTGCATTTACTCCTGAAGGAGGTGGAATATATTTTGGGACGGAAGATGGCAAGGTACTCTACGTTGACCTCCGCGCGCTGGATAAGACACCCATATGCAACGTCGTTGGGGACGGTACCTCACCCATAGTATACCTCTGTGCTCAGGTATGTAAAGCTCTCCTTTTCAATATTCACCTACGCTGACTCGGGATATATCATTTTTAGAAAAAGTCTGATATGCCTGCCTCGGAGAAAAAGTCAAAACTATCATCGTCTTCAACGGCCTCTGTCACATCCTCTCGTGCTTCTGTAGCAAGTGCCCACTCTCAAGATGCAGTGTCGGCGGCGAAAGCACGAATTGCCGAGAAGAAGGCAGCAATCAGCTCGAAGACATCCTCGCGCAACCCCCTGTCAACCATCCCGCAGAACCAAGCCGCAGATCGAGCGAACAATGATACTATCCGCCAGCCGCTCTCCATCACTCGCACTGATTCCATATCTGGGCATCTCGCTGCTCTACGCCGGAGGCCAAGTTCGTCAGCCCACTCAGTGGCTTCGTCCAGCCGAGTATCGTCAGGCAGTGGCGATCCTGGTCCATCACGGCCTTCATCGGCAATGTCACGACCTGCATCGGTACTATCGCGACCTCACTCCGTCGCGTCAACGCAGGCACTTGAAGACATTGAACCGGACTTGCCGGATCCGCCGTCAGAGCCGGCTACGCCAATGGCGAAGAGGAGGAGCACTCGCGCTATGAGCGACCTTGGTCTGGGGACGCCGAGTAGACCTGCGCGTGCATCTAGCCGTGCAGGGTCGGACCCTGTCGACGCCGGCCAGGATAAAGGGAAGAGAAGGGCAAACGCGAAGGAGGAGAAGAAGACTCGGTTCACGACGCAGGGGCAACAGCTGGATGCGGATGCAGACGAGGTCTTCAGCCCGCCCGCTCGTTCGCGGACGTCGTCATCTACAGGGCAAGAACAACGCGAACGCGAGCTCGCCCTGCAGATATCGCCGCGAAAACCCGCAGCCACCGCATCCTCCGTGGATTGCATGCCCTCACCTCTCCGACAACCATCGTCCGCGCTGCCCACCAACGCACAGGACTTCATCCGCGGCGTGATGCAAGACGCGCTGCTCGACTTCCGACAGGAGTCTCACGCGGAGATGATGGGCTTGCATCTGGACATGATGCGCATGGGCCGGGACCTGCGCCGCGCCATCGATGCGAATGTGCATGCGGAGCTGGAGGCGCTGCGCGAGGAGAACCGCAGGCTGAGGGCGGAGAACGAACTGTTGAAGAAGGGGAGGGTGATGACGATGTAAACTGTGATTTTTAGTATGATTTATCTTGATCTTCGATCTCTTAGTCAGAGTTATTTATATGCTATGTGTTTTTGGATGTTATAATTACTGGATTTCGAGTTACAGCTCGTTACCGTTCTACGTGTCAATTAGACCACTGTTACATGTATAGGTGAATATCAAGATATACTCGCTCAAACATCTAGCTATAGGTTCTTTCACTATGGGGATGTCTACATCAATCCTAAGCTGCTAGCGCCTTTTTCATGCATGATCAGTTACCACCGTCCCATTCATACCACCTTTCCTTCAAGTCTCGCATCATTTGTGTTTCAGCCCACGATTTGCTGTGTCGCATGATTGGAACCGCAAATTTCTTTTCAATCGCCTTCTTCCGTTTCATGCCTCGTTTTGGAGCTAGAACAGAGTCACGGTATCCGATGAACTCTATGCATGACAGTTGGCATTTTGAGCGAAGCAGAAAGTTATCCAATTCCCACGTGGATTCGGGAAAGACAAGAGCCAGTTCAGTCAGAGAGGAACGCAAAAATATGCAGGTGTTAGACCAGCTGAGCTCGAGGGCCACACGTCTGAGCCGTGAGTGGGAGAGGTCGCTAAGATTATCTTTGATTGGCCCTTTGAAGAAGAGATCGGTGAGGTTGGGATGGTTCGATAGTAACAAGCTCATATCCGTAATCCACATGGTGCTGAGAATGAGGACTTTCAGACTGGGAACAGAGAACACAAGTGATCGATCAATGCGAGACACGTTCAGCTGAAGGTGTGTGAGCTTGGCCCAGTCTTCGGACAGAGCCTCAGACTTCACATCCTTTATATAGCATCGGCGAAGATTGAGCCTTTCCAACTTGCTGAAGCGTGCCAACAATCCGGATATATTGGCGTAATTGAAGTAAGAAGGATCTTTGTTCTCGCTGGTGCACACGGTGTATACGTCCAGCCCTTTGCATCTGGCCTCGAAAGCAGATAAACGTCCATCGCTGCATTTCTGGATGAAGCGATGATAGGGTTTATGAAGACCGATAGTTATGTATGGCGAGATGTTCGCAGTTCGCGACAACATCGCGAGTGGCCCTGGCATATCGTCAATTATCTTCGATTTACAAAGATGGATGGGGGTCCATAGCCGAGGCGTGCGCAAGGCGATGTCTCGCCAGCGTTGACAGACTTGTGCCGGACTGAAAGCTTCCTGAGAGGTCCTAGGTACGGCATCACAGCGAGCATCTCCGTCTTTAGAGGTACGATAGAGCGGCCTGGCCAGGATGAATATCTCAGCCAGGATTTCTACGGGAAGACGTCCAACAGCGGATACAAGTCGCCTGGAGGCGGCCCTAGAGTGTTCAAGTTTCTTCTTGAAAAAGGTCAAAGTTGAGATTCCGAACTCCAAGTCATGTATCATACTAGATGTATCGGAGATGAAGTTGTGTATGCAGGCGCTTTCTTCATCGGAAATCACGATGCGGTTGGTGTTTTCGAAAGAGACAAATGTTTTGGTTTTGATAGTATGCTAGCACAGAATTAGCTGGCTGAACAGTTCTACCACTGCGTAGTACGCACTTTAATCTTCCTTTCAAGTACTGAAAGCTGTAAACCGCCCCAAGATTTTTGATGTAAGGCAATTGCATTTTTTGTTGCGTTCAGCTAGACGCACCGTCGGAGACAGTTCCTTGAAGACAATGGGACATTGTTCATACTTTACGTCAATGCCACTATGGTAGCGTTTCGTAGCCTACACTTGTTAAGAATGGCCCTTAGGATACGAAGTGAACATGGGGAGGCATACGTTGCATTCGGCCATTTGCATGATGCAGTAATGGTGGTAATGGTATACCTGCAGTGCTCGGATCGTCACAAATTCATTTGGCGTGCTCCGTAGTCCTATTGCGTGAACGTTTAGAGTGAGCCAGATGCGGTAAGATACTGAGCTTTCTGATGAGGGATTTCAACGTACACCGCCAAGGAAGAATCACCTCAGGATGAGGTGTCGAAGATGCGAGGATCGGGTGGAGCAGGGTGTAGATGACTGTGACGCGTTCAAGTTGGCGCGTCGCGTCAGGTCAGAACGCGAGAAGTGGGGTTTCACCGAGAGAAGTCTCAGACTCCAAACCAGTCGGTCAGACGGGATGACGCGGCGCCGGAGTTGCCTTTTTTGGAACTTGTTCCAAAGTCATTCGTCTGACCGACTGGTTTGGAGTTTGGCCAGACGACTGACCTTGGAACAAGTTCCAAAAAATGCAATCACCGCGCCGAGTCAGCCCGTCTGACCGGCTGGTTAGGAGCCAGTCCCGGATTCCCGGCGCGAGCCGGAATTCCACCTGTCCGGTCCCACGGGGCACCTGTACATGTGTGCCCTCTCGATCAATCATTGGATCTCTAGTGGCGAACCGTACTCCAGGGTAGGCTGGAGTGAGCTACTTGGGGCTCACCTGCAATGCGCTTAATCTGCGCAACGTACTGGGTGGACTTCCTCGCGAAGAGATTCGGGTCTCAGTCGCCCAATTCCATCTATGACTATGCTACTGGCGGTAACAATGCAAACGATATGAAGGTCAGACCTTCAGATCCAAAGCTGGCTCACGTTTAACTCAATCTCGAGTACGGACTGGATACCTTGGAATGACGATGACACATTGTTCGGTACGTTTCCTAACCTTGATTTCGCTATTCCGCTATATGACCATCGACTATGTAGTGACGTTGATAGGGGCTAGCGGCACGGTGCAAGCCTTCTGAAGACACAATCTCGTTAGGGTCATGCAAATATATGTCAATCATTCCTAACAGGGTGGAAAGTGACTTTGGATTTTTCACAAAAAGCCTATACCAAGAGTCCCTTTACAACAATCGCTCACCTGCTTCCGAGTTATTCGGCAACTTGAGCCAAGCACAGGAGGCCCTATCCACGGTAAGTGAACCATTGGTTAATGACCCTCTCAAGGATGGCCTCTCTGCGTTTGACTTCAGCGACAAGGACACGGACCGAGTTGGCGTCATCCTGTCTCATGACATGCACCCGACAAGCAAGGTGCATTGACTTACTGCCGATGAAATTTTTGCATTTTCAGGTTTCAAACTGCGGGAGCAAGGTTCATTGAACGTCAACCTCGCCCCAGAAGGGCCGATGGGTACCCAATCACCATCTAGCTTCAATGTCATGGTCTCAAATACCCACTTACCGTGTTATTTCATTTGCAAACGCGAAGCGTTGTTCGCTAATACAGTTGACGCTGTTGCTATCACGGGCTTCGTCACTCGGTAATGTATTCTGGACTACACCATCTGGCCTTCACTTCTCGTGTCATCTCCATGTCGCACCAATGCCCCGCGTACTCAACCTTCGGAATTGTGAGTGTCTTGCAGATGCTGTCACCGATCGTACGCCAGTGAACTTCACGGCGGTCCCTTTTTTGCTTGATGGATTCAGCGAAAAAAAGGCTTTTCAAGTCCGCTGTCTTGCTGTCGGCTATGACTTCCTCTTTGCTGAACACGGCATCAATGAAACCAAGGCCCCGGAGCTGGCAGTTAGACCGAAGCACAAGGTCTGTAAGGTGTCCTTCTGCTGTTTCATCGATAGGCATCGCAAGTTCTATGAGAGAAGGGAGCGTAGCCACTGCCAAGAATCTGGGACCGTAGCTCGAGTACCGACTGGCATGTAAGCCTACAGTTTCAAGTCGCTGGTGAGTAAAAGGTTGAGATTCCGGAAGCATAGAACCGGAGAGGAAGAAGGCGGTGAGGTTCGGAAGGTCTGAAAGTAGATGTGCTGGATCGGAGCGCATGTTGGTGTATGCTTCGAGGATGAGGACTTTGAGATTTATCAATGTCGTTGGCGAGAATTCTTTCGCCCTGCCGAATGGACATCGCTCCAGCCGTAGGTGAAGATGTGTGATGTTCTTCAAATCCGAAGTCACAGACAGGCTGGGAGCATCGAACACAATGCCTAAGAGAGCGAGTTTCCGTAGTTGGCTGAGGCGGCAGAGAATACGACGTATTTCGCTGTGTCTGAAAACCGGCTGGTGCTTCCCGGAAGCCATGTAGAGGTCAAGGCTCCTACAGTTCTTCTCGAACTCCGACAGTAGGCCTCTTTCGCACTTCTTGACAAACCTGAACTGGGTGGCTGGGAGACGGACGATAAGGCGAGGTACAAATAGTCTTGTTCTTGACAGCATCTCAAGCTGTCCTTGTAGCTTCTCTACTGGTGATTCGCTTGACCCAGAAACGTGGATGGTGCCCCATAACTGCGGAGTGTTCAGAGCGACGGCTCGCCAGCGTTTGCAGACTTGTGCTACATTGAGAGCAACGTGGAGGTCACTGCGAGCGATATCAAAGTCGGATTGAGCAAGACCAAGGTATCGGACTCGAGCGAGAACAAAGATGTCAGTCAAGATTTCCACAGGGAGGCGACAGGCTACCTGAAATCCCGGCGAAAATGGAAAGGGCAACAAAGTTGGTCAGCTGAGAGGGCATAGCAGAGACCTGACCCACTGGGTTCGTGAGCTTATGGACTACGGGAGGTGTCTCTATCGATTCCATGCAGAGCGGATGTTCACCTATGGGGACGAGGTGGACCGTGTTCTCGAGCGGAAACTTGCGACGATGAAGCTTTGTTCCCTGTGACTTGATACGTGGCGATGTTTCCTAGACACCCTTCTCAACAAATCGTTTAGGTGCTCAAAGTCGCGGTTTTTACTCACCTCAGATAGTAGTTAATGTCAAGGAGGGGGGAGATATTACACGAAAGCACCTGTCGCGTGATGGATCCAGGACCTCGAGTGACGCCTCGACAGACTGTTTCGCGCGTCGCGCATATCCAGACGCGACCCTGAAAAGGCAGAGCTTACCCCTGTTTAGGCCGAACAGGAGGTACGCTACGCGGGCTCGGAATCCTGACAAACAATGCGCCAAGGCCATGCAACCTCACTAGTCATATACTACATGTGGCTTATGAAGCCCTACTGGCCAGAGCAATTAATTAAACTCACTCCTAAGGATAAGGATCATTCGCAGATTGTTGCTGGGTTTTGCAGCTCGTTATATTTCACGTAATAGAGTAGAGTAATTTGAGAGTAGTAGCGGGCGCCAGCGCGAATACATGTAAGTAAATAATCCTCTCAAGCATCTCCCTGGTGTCAATCAACCCGCCTGTTATCCTGGACCATACCATCTAGTCTGCAGCTCCAACAGCATTCGCGTATCTTCCCATTCATCCGAGTCATCAAACTCCACATCACGGACACCCAGATTATCGGCAATTTTTGTCGCAACGTCACTCAGCCGTCGGCCTGAGCTAATGCCCATCCCAATATAATCAAAGCTGAAGATTTCGCTGATGAAAACGAGGCGGCTGATTGGACAGCTGGAGCGTCGAAGGAAAGTAGTCAAATGTTCCTCCTTGGTGTCGTAGAAAGAGATCCCAAATTCCGTGAGCGAAGGAAGAGTAGCCAAAGTTGCGAACTTCTCGGTCTCGTTCTTAAGGGAGCGGATAACTAAGCGCTGAAGCCGATCATGGGAGAAGGGATCAATGTCGGTTATAAATGTACTGTTCAGGGCAAAGTCGGTAAGCTTTGGGTACCTCGAGATCGTGGACCCCACACGCAGCCGGGACGTGTTGAGTACTAGGACCCTTAGCTCGGGCAGTTCGGAGTCGCGAAGGAATGCATCAAGCTCTCCGCCACTTCTCATGTGTTGTTTGATATGAAGGTGCGTTAATCCAGCGCATGGTATTTGCCTGTCTGTAGCATCCCATGGCAATGACACGTTCCACAGCGTCAGCTTTTCCAGTAGTACTAGCCGTTTCAGCCACCTCCGCACATCTCCATAGCAGAAAAAACGGCGTTTCCTGCTCGAGTCCTGGATCGGATAAATGTCCAAGCCTTTGCATTTGCTTTCGAACGCCGAGAGTATACGATTCTTCGCACATCGTTGGAGGAACCTGACGTGCGCTTTGGGTAATCCAACAACAAGAAAAACAGGGATGGGCGCTGATCTAGACAGCAACTCGAATGGGGCCGGCGTAGAATTTTGTGATACGTCTTGTGTGCCGACAACGTGGATAGTGTTCCATAGTCGTGGAGTCCCTAGTGCGATGCTTCGCCAGCGTCTGCATACCTGAGCAACGGTGAAGGAAGGTTGAAGGTATTTCTGAACTGAAGAGTGATCGCTTGGATCGAGCCTGAGGCCATGATATTGGGGTCGAGCCAGGATAAAGATTTCGGATAGGATTTCCACAGGGAGACGACCAACGGCAGACACGAGTCTCCTGCATTCAGTTGCAGAGCGACTGAGTCTCGTCCGAACGTTTTGCAACGCATATATTGCACTATCCAAGTCATTCATGATGAGGGACGCGCTGTGCAAGTAGCGCTGAACGTCTCGAGTTTCCTGTGGTAAAATGATGCTATGGTTGGTGCCCTCAAAGTGAGCCAGTGCGTTTGATTGTATGCGGTGCTATCATCATGTGTTAATTGGCAGGCGAACAGATGCAAGATGAATGAGAATCCTCACGTCAACCTTTTTTTCCACTGACGGGATCTGGAAAAGTGCCGAGGATGTAGATTAGGCACATCCTACCATAGTCTCAATGATGGTATACTCACAGTAGCGCCAAGCTCTCGAAGAATCTCGTAAGAGCCTCCTTGCTCGGTTGAATGTTTGGAAGTCTGGTTGGTCTGCGTATATTGACTGATCAATGATTAAGCAAGTAGGACCGTATAGGACGTACGAAGTCAATGGCCATATCGGTACCAACTTCTTGCGCTTCAAGAACCATGTCTAGCTAGTCGAGTCTTTGAGGGTATTACCGTGTTACCAGGTATAGGTCGAGTAGACAATCTCAGACTTCTTCAGGATGTTGGGAAAGGAGAGACTGACTACAGCTGAAGAGTGGACCGTTGCGTCCTCGATCACGTCTGTCGCGCTTCACGGAGGTTTTAGAGCCTCACAGAAGTTGCACGAAAGTTCAGGACCCAGTCTGATGAGAGTTTGTCTTGTCAGGATATAGTAGATGTACTATAGGTACTTGATGTGAGTGCAGACGTGAACACCTACCTGTAGCAAGCTGGGCGCCTAGGGTGCACGACTTGGGAGCAAGGAGCGAAGGGAGCGGCGCTAAAGCCTAAAAGAGCCTAAACCACCTCGGACCCAAAGCCACCAATCGGGAGACGCCTCGGATCTGGAGCGTTGCCCAATCAGAGTCAAGGACCAAGGTAGCCCTGTTGACATATGCCGAACCTGGACCTACTGAAGATGCACCTTAACTGACATGCAACTGCCGCATTACTAGCCCAAGACTGTATCTTGTGGCAAGTCTTGGAGATCAAACATAGTTGGATCGGTTTCGCGTACTAGCAATCTCACTCTCAAACGCGCCAATGCACTCTTCTGGGTTAACGATGAAGCGAATCCTTCTTCAAAACACTCCAAGGGGCAGTCAGAACTGTAATTCCGGACCTTGACTGGGGGGGGATCCATCCCCTACTGGTGTCTGGGGTCGTGTCAAGGAGCAGAAGTACACAGCCTTATGGCGAAGTTATGTCCGAACTCGTTACCTTCGGCATACGCAAGTAGAATACAATCTAATAGCATGATTTCGAATCGAGGACATGCTCGGTGCCCTCCCTACTAACTTTATACGAAGAGATTGTATCTTTGAGCTCGAGGGGGGTGGTTTTGGTTAATACGGGGTAGAAGCCCCTGTTGGCCGAGCGCTACAAATAGATGCAAAGCCCGCGCGCGATCTACGTCGCGTTGAGCGCGCCGACAGAGGGTATGTCTTACTCCTGCAACCTTCTTTGATTTCCTTGCTTAATTTTTATTATCACCTGTCCCAAGGATCGCCCGCTTTTACCTTGACAGTTTCAACGGCCAAAATGGAGGCTGATACCATTACCAAGGATTCAAACTGCTTTCTCTGTGGAAATTTGTTTCGCTCAGATGAATCATGGCTGCATAGCGGTCATACATTGAAAGCAATGCAAGGAGTGACAGAGGATGGCCTCCGTGAAAAAGTGTGATAACTTCTAGCTTCCTTTCACTTGCCTTATTTCTTACACATCTGTGCAGGTGTCAATTAGTCATGTGTGCGGCTTCTGTGGCAAGCCTTTGTGTGCAAGTGTTCGACTAGAAAAAACAAGCATGGGAAGATATACTACGGAGTCCCAATGCCCTCGCTTTCACATTTTACAACTTGCTTCAACTCGCTTGTCAACTCGCAAGTGGCAGTAATAGTACTCACTCCCAGCGCCAGTGGCTCATTTAATTGCCTCGGATGATGGGCTACAGACTTCTATGGATTAAATATTACAACTATACTGTGACAGAACTCTACGATATACGCATGTTTACGTCTGACAGTAAATAGAGTAAATCTGATGCTTCACTCACTCGAGTTGCAGGCGACTCGCAACCTAGTCGGAGTTGAATCGTGGGAGCGTCTGCAGTGCCATAATTGCCTTTCTTGGCCGACTTGCGGCTGTGGTATCCGTGACGCGCGGCTTGGTGTACGGGGTCCTGCATGGAAGGTCTTGGTCCGATATTTACAGTTGTGACTGCCCCTTGAAACACTCGCAGGGTAATTTTGAGATTAAGTTACTCTCGCTATTTTGTCAAATGATAATACCATGTTTACCTGTTCTGAGTCGATCCCTTTGCGTGTTCTCGGTGCAGCTAGATATTATCGGTGCATCGACGACGTTGCTCTGAGTAAGGTTGGCTACCGATTCCAGTGAGTCTCTGATAGGGCCCCATCGGTTGCAATGTGTATTATATATTTAATTCTACAACGCTTCCAACTTTGCTTCATGTCTTCTCATCTACCTCTGGTACACAATCATACAAACTTACCCTCCTGCCAGTTCTTGGCCTGCACGCCCATCTCGACTGCTGCGCGCGCCCAGTCCTCACCATGGTTATGGCCCTTGTTAAATCCGCGTCCGATGCCTGCGCGATCGAGGGCCTGATCGTCCGTGAGCGCGGTGAGTACACCAAAGATGACGGGGACATTGGTGTCCAGCTGGACGCGCATGAGTGCATGGGATACCGCGTCGGAGATGTACTCGAAGTGCATCGTGGAGCCCTTGATGAGGACACCGATCGCGATGACGGCGTCGAAGGGGGTACCAGGCATCGAAACGACTGTAGGACCGGGTGCACCAGCGCTGGGAGGAGGCTTATTGAGATTGGGATTGGACGCGTTGAAAGAGAGACCGAGAAGGTCGCCTGCGGAGGAGCCAGCCTGCACGCGCGATCCGGCAATCACTCTGTTGAGGGATAAGATAGATTGAGTATGAGAGAGAACGATTGTAGCCACGGGCATACTTGGAACAAGCTACGGGTAGCTCGAAGCTACCTGGCACGGACTGGATGACAATGTTCGAGTCCTTGACACCCATGCTCTTCAGTGTGGAAATACATCCTGTGACGAGCGCGTCGATGACTTCCTTGTTCCAGCGCGCATGAACTATCGCAACGCGCAATGGTGATCCATCAAATTGCTTTTCGGAAGGCGAGAGTCCCTTAACAGCGCTCATGATGGTATCTTGTGTTTGTGCTGGTTGTCGTGGAGGCAATGACGAGAGGGATAGGAGCTGTTTGGTTCTGTTGATACCCGTACAATCGCCCAATTTTCGGCAAAGGTAGCCGGCGGTTGGTCTTAGGCGACCTTCATATACCCATCCATACGCTCGTACTCAAACTCGCTACGAACGAGCATGGACGAAAACCTCAAGGAAACCTACGCCCTCGTATATCACTTCCTCAAAAGCCGCACCCATAACAAGGCTGCCGATGCCCTCAAACGTGCCGCGCCAGATAGCTTTGACAGCGCCGCACCTCCCGCTGGTCTCTCTCTCGTAGAACTCGTGAAAAAGGCTCGTTCCACTACCTTAAAGTAGGTCGCCTTGTCATCTGACATAAATGTTGCCTGCATGTAGGATCTCACCTGTCTATAGAAAAATCGATGCAAAGAGCTGTACGCATACACCTCAGCATATCTACATAACTTCCTAATGCTAAACATACACAGCGTCGTCGGACAACTCGAGCGAAGAAGCCTCGGAATCAGGCTCGGAATCAGACTCAGAGTCGGAAGACTCCAGTTCAGGTGAGTTTCTTCGCTTATCTTCACCAACATTTCATTAATCACATTCTGTAGATTCTGAGGGTGACTCTAAAGCAAAAACAAAGAAGACAGCTGCGCCGGAGAAGTCTACTGAACGCGACACGAGCGTCACGCTGTCATCCAGCCCAGGTACGCACACTAATATCAACCTCGGGTTAATTGCCTTATCTTAATTTGACCAGGACCAGAGAAACCCGCAAAAATTGTGAAGGCAACGGCTTTCAATAAGACAAACAAGAAGCCGGTGCCCAGCTCGAGCTCATCCTCGTCATCTTCCGACTCCTCCAATTCTTCCGATTCCTCTGACTCCGAAGAAGAAACACCTGCTCAGGCGAATAAGCCGACTAAGGAAAAGTCACCGTCGCCCAAGAAGACTCCGAAGAAGGCAGCCGCCAAGTCCTCGTCCTCATCATCCAGTTCATCAAGCTCTGAGGATTCGTCATCGGATGACGACTCGGACGAAGAAAAAGACAAGGCCAAAAGTAGCTCCGATTCCGACTCTTCGTCGTCTTCGTCGTCTTCGTCGTCTTCCGCGTCTTTGAAGGCGAAGAAGACTACCGAAAAAGTGAAGGCCACCGAAAAGGCGAAGACCACAAAAACTTCCAAAAAAGCGGGGACATCCTCGTCTGACTCCGACTCGTCTTCGAGCGACGCTTCATCTTCGAGCTCGTCCTCAAGTGACTCTGATTCTGACGACTCATCCGACGAGAACGAGAAGCCGCCGGCGAAGAAGCGACGTACCGAGGTTGGCTCTGTATCTGCTACTCCCAGCGTCCCAGCATCTACTCCCTCCTCCAAATCAGCTGAAGCTGCGCCCGCTAGCGCGTCCAAAAAGCGCACCCTAGACGAAGCTACTGGTGCCAGCGAATGGCAGCCCAAGGACCTTGGAAATGCAGATTTGAATAACAACGGGAAGCCGAAGAAAGCTCAAGGTCCGCGTTTCTCGCGCATCCGCGACGAGCACATGGACCAGGACAAGTGGATCAACAACGCGTACGACGCGAAGGGAGGCATTACGAATGACTACGGCGAGCGTGCGAGCAAGGATTTGATCGTCACGCGTGGGCAGGGCTTCCGGAAGGAGAAGAATAAGAAGAAGCGAGGCAGTTATCGTGGTGGGGAGATTACGGTGCGTGCTGGTTGTGTTTACGTTACGAGCTCGATGGCTGATATTCTGCTGGCGCTGTTTTTTTTCGGTACAGATGGAAAACCATAGTATTCGCTTCGACGACTAGATCACCTTGTCCTCTTGGATTTAGATTGGACGTGTGCAGTGCATGCGATGGAATAATACAACCAGCTTCATGGTCCGAAATATAGCGCGCCATGAAATGAGTTTACGATTCTGACCAAAATACTGCGGCGAGGCTGACGAACCCGAGGATAGAACAGAACGAAGCAAGGAACGTCGGCTGCTCCGTCGGGTTTGAGACCCGACGACTTGAGTAATATTTCATTTTTCCCTCGTGAAAAGAGAGTTGCTGAGCGTCTCAATGAGTGAATAAACTAGCTCTTAGCATCGAGACTGTCAAGAAATCGAAACCTCCTAGAAAAGCGGCTGCCCACAACATGCTCCTGTAAAGTTGCGCTAAGACTTACTTACGCTGCAAGCCTGCAAGGAGAAGACGCAAAGTAAAGACTGGAAAGCAAAAATCAAAAGCCTACGTGCTGCAATCTGAATCCGACCTTTGCTTGACTTATCCTCACCGTGGCTCCTATATCTGCGCCCCTGGATTTCCACCAATCATCAAAGTTCACGCAGACAGCTAGTAGTTAATGTCCCCGCCTTGTGGGCGCCCCACAAATGTAAAGTTCAGCAAGGGCCAGGGCTTTGGGCCGGGGCTATTAGCTGCATGTGGCTGTCACCTTCACGGGGAGTCGGCTAAAGCGCGATCTGCCTCACTGCCATCCATCGCCCCTCGTCGCCCCTCATTTACAGCCACGTCGCCCTCATGAAGGTTCCCTCGCAGCGATGTAATTGCTGTCTCACCCCATGATGTGTCCGGTGCGCCTCCTTTAAACACAACGAATTTCCTTCATGATCGATCCTCTCGCATCTTGCTTGCTAAGCACTACCGTCCAACTTCAACCTAACGAGCACAATGCCTAACACGATATCTTCCCAAAATTCCGCTGGGGAACGTATGATCCTTGTCCTTAAGTATCGAGGCAGGCACGTCCTCATACCCGAACCCCAAACTTATGAGGTATGCCCAAATATCCCCGGCTCCTCAAAGGAACTTGTTATAGGTATGCATGCTCAGTTCATTGTTGTCGCCCCTAGAGCCTTGAGCACCGCACGCGTCAAATCTTCGGTATCGGTCTCAACGACTCAGACGCACCAGAGCTCTCGTTTTTTGTGACAGAGTTATTTATCTGTCCGGGACAGAAGGTGGAGCTGCATCGGGACGCATGGGAAATTGTAGGATGGTCTCCGGGTTTAGTTCACGTTGAGGTTCACCAGTCCCAATCGCCCGCCAGGGGGACTGGTGTGTATAATAAGGTGGAAGAAACTATGGAGTCTGCGGCGATTTCGCTCAGGCCCCCCTCCGTTCCTCTCGCCGTCCGCTCGCCCTACCTCTCCGCATGGCTACCCCAGGGTCCTGGTGCCATGCTTGCAGGCACCTGGCCCCGATTCTGGAACGGGTCAGTGTGTTATTGCCATTCTGACATGCACATTCATGCACATCGTTATTTCCTTTCAGATTCTCGGCTGGGCTGGTTATATCCGCGTTGACGATACCACGTACACTTTCCTTGGCGACCCCAGCCTGAACCCAGGCCTTGCCATCCAAAAGAGTGTGACTGTACGCACCGTCAGCTCAGATACAAATAAGCAATATAACGTTTCCTGCAGTATACTTCGACACAGTCGACCTTCGTACTGACTGCTGGCCCTGTTGATATCACTGTAAGATTCCTCAGCCCTGTCGAGCCCGACGACCTCGTCAAGCAGTCGATCCCATTTTCCTACATGGCCGTATCTGTTGCAGCCAACGACGGTGGCTCTCACTCCGTCAGGCTCTACACCGATATCTGTGCTGAATGGGCTTCTGGCGACAACACACATGTTGTTACCTGGACCTCATCTACCTCCGGCGATGTCTGGTCCCACCGGGTCGGGCCTCGGGACCAGGTTCTTTACAGTGAGCAAAACGATCAAGCCGAGTATGGCTCCGCCTACTACGCCACTCAGAACGTAAGTCTCTGGCGAGAATGTTAATGAGTGGCCTCTTACGAAATATTAATCAGTCAAACAATGCTACTGGCAAACAGGTGCAGACGTTGTTGTTCGCGCTCAGTTCATCAATAATGGCGAGCTCGCTAATCATGGTGACACCAACTTCCGCGCTGTCAGTGGCCACTGGCCCGTATTCGCCTTTGCCCATGACCTTGGTATTATTTCTGGTGCCTCTGATCCCGTCATCTACGCCATCGGCCACATTCGTGACCCTGCTGTTCAATATGTCACTGCCGCCAAAAACCTCCAGGACCGTAATGCCTATTACTGGACCATGTACTCAAGCGTCTCTGACCTTGTAAGTACTCCTATCGTAGACTATGCGGTATTGTACTCATAAAAATTAGATCGATGACTTCGTGAAAAGCTATTCTACCGCTCTCTCCGATGCCAACGTCTTCGATAACAAAGTCAAGAGCGATGCCACCACCGTCTCCGACCAATACTATGACATTGTTGCCCTCTCTGTCCGTCAAGTCTTTAAATGGTGCTACTGAACTCACTGTCTCCCGCAACAACGATGGCTCATGGAACACCAATGACATCCTCATGTTCATGAAGTGTGGTGTAAGTGTATACAACCTCCACGAAGCCATGTCGAATATTCACACTGCAGACAGAACATTAACACTGTAGATGTCATCATGCCCGCTTGGCCCGTCTTCCTCTACACCAGCCCGACGCTCTGCAAGTACCTCCTTCTGGGCCTGTTCGAGTACCAACAGTCCGGCCTCTACCCCAACCGGTGGGCCGCCCATGATCTTGGTGCTTCCTACCCAAGCGCTATTGGTCACAACGATGGGAATGACCTGCCCATGCCTCTCGAGGAGTGCGGCAATATGATCATTATGGTTCTCAGCTACACTCAGAGGTCCAACGGCCAGTCCTTTGCCTTGGCGTACATTCAACTCCTCGAGCAGTGGACTGACTGCCTCGTTCAGGGGGCTCTTGTCCCCGCGGACCAATACTCCAGCGACGTCTTCACTCCCCAACCAGACCAACCTCGCCATCAAGGGTGCTGTCGGTATCATGGCTATGTCTCTGATCGGGTATGCTCATCAACATTGATGCCGAGAGGAACTACAGTGTACGTCTCTGCCTGGGCCTCATTGTCCAGGCAATAAAACTGACCTTGCACGGCGGCCGCAGTCCATCGCCTTTTCCTATGCTTCACAGATCATCCAGTCAGCCACCGCCAACCACCATCTCGCGCTCACCTACGGCGATCTGGAGAGCTGGGGCCTGATGTACAACCTCTACGCCGACAAGCTCCTGGGGACAAACGTGTTCCCGCAATCACTCTTCGCATCCCAGACTGCGTGGTACAGAAATGTCATCAACGAATACGGCGCACCCCTTGACAGCCGCAGCACCTACACCAAGTCAGATTGGCTTATGTGGACAGCCGCGTTTGTCACCGAAAACGCGGTCCGCGACGCCATGATCAATGCGGTCCACCCCTACATTAGCGACGGGCAGAACGATATGCCGTTCGGTGATTGGTACGATACCCATTCTGGTGACTCGATCGATTTCCGCGGTCGCCCCGTTGTTGGTGGCCATCTCGCTCTCGTAAGTATTTCAACTTCACACAATACAAGTCTTTAAAGATGAGGATCTGATATATGCGCTCTTCAGCTTGTCCTGTAAGAGCTTGTCGATGTTAGAATTCAAGCCGTTCGAGTGGTCGATGTTAGAATTCAAGCCGTTCGAGTGATTTAACCAACTACATACGAGAAGCTTACTGAATGTCCTTCGCGACAACTCGTCTACGCACACATGAGAGCAATGAACACCTTTCGAGTCATTTGTGATCAGACCAAACACTGGATCATCCAATTTTTGGGCTGACGACAAATTCCCGCTGCGAAAGGCAAGGCCACAAAAACAGGATTGTTGTGAGGTGAAGATGGATTGGGGTTAGATGTAGTCTCCCCTAGGCAGACCCTATATCAGAAGACAGAGGGTTAGATGGCATGATAGATCGGCCTAGATCAGCTGGGTGGTCCGGAATGGCTCTGAAAATAAACACAAAAATACAACCAAATGGTCATGAACTTGATGCCTTGGTGGCCTGCAGAGAAAACGACGTCAAAGTCCGATGTCTTCACCCCAGTCTCAGGACGACACGGCATTACTGGCCACCTCGCTGTCCAGGCCGTCAAAGTTCAGTCGTTCACAGGCTATGATGCTTAGCTTCCTGACATGTCCGCGAATAGTAGGGTCCAATAGAGTACAGCGACGAGGGCGAGGGACGCTGGACATATGGTGGATGTGAAGACGACATCTGTTCTAACATGAGCGATGGAAGAAGAAACTTTGCATCGACCCGCGCGGCGGCTTGTCCTAATTCCTGAGGAAGAGGGCTGGGTTATCGGAAACAGCTGGAACCAGATATCTGCGAAAAATGTTAGGAACAGCGAAAAATCCCATGCGACATGTAGAGGCACGGTCTACTCAAAATGCCTCTACCGTAGCCGAGTTCCAAGTGTACCAATGGGCAACATGTAAGGACGTGCAAGAACGGGAAGTTCAAACAAACCGTGACTTGAGTGTTCCGCCCCTCCTATGGTGGTGGGCGATATGTAGTCGGCGGACTGCCCATGCGCTTTTCATTATCTTGAGATGTCGCTTGGTGAAAGTTGGAACTTGGAAGAGAACTCGATAGGTGCTTTGCCCGTATGTCACACCAGTAAATGTTAAAACAACAAATGAATTCCACTACAAGGCAGTGCCTGGGATTTTGACACCATCCGACCCTGAGCCCCTATCATACCGCGTCTACCACAATTGTCCAATCCCCATCGAAATCGTACATGCTTGCATTTCTTTCCCGTGCGTGTTATATCTTGAAACCTTCACCTTTGCTTTTTGCGATGACCTTGCTCGAGGCTTGACACAGCTTGAGCTTGCGCGATTTTACAGCACCGAGCCCAGCCTATCACGCGAAAAAAGGAGCGCATAAATTATCAGTAAGGACAGTCGACTACGCCGGAGACGAAGTGGAAGCAGACGCAAAAGCCGAAGCAAAAGGAGTGCGAAGCGCTAGCGGAAGAAATTGCGAGAAGCGAGGAGACACGAGTGCGAGGCCGAGAGCAAGAGCGCCAGCCCCGAGACCGACGCCGAGCACAGCACCTGCAGAAAGGCCGCTGCTCGACTTGGCTTTCGCCTTCTTGGTCACCTTCGAGGCACGTTTACATTTGGGAGAAGGGGTGCGAGAGGAGGAACGCTGCTGCGAGGGGGAGACGACCAGTTGTACGTACCCTATCGACTTCAGACCTTGGATGCTGGAGTACAGATGAGTAAAGAAGCAATAGAAACAAAGGAATGAGACGCACTAGTATCCGTCGAGGTTCCGCGTGATCTCATCTTCCATACCGGTAGGAACGCCATCCAACGAAAACGTCACTGTCGTCGAGTCAGACGACTGGGCGAAGGTGGTAGTGAGCGTCGCGTTATGGCCTGGCATCATATTGAGTAATTGAATGAAGATGTTGAAAAAAAAGAAGACGCACCAGCGGGCCACGTCGGGCTCTGCAGGGCCCAAGTCTGCACGATCTCCTTGCCCGGGCTAAGCGAGACGTACTTGCCCTTGACACCTCCTCCGAACAACGCGTAATCCGCTCCAGGGGTAGGGTCCGACTGAGCAGGCGCGCGCGTCCATGCGGGGATACGCTTCTCGTCCGAAAGCAAGCTGTACAGGTCGTCGGCGGCAGCCATGAACACGGCTTCGCGCACAACCTTGGAGGTGTTCAACGCGCGGGCGGGCTTGGGTGTGACGGGCTTCGCAGCAGCCGCTGCTGCGGTTGCCGTGGCAGGAGCGGAAGCAGCGGGATTGGGTGTGCCTGTGCGCGAGGGCTCGTTCGAGCCTGCGATGGTGAGGTCCTTTCCGTGCGTGTCGATAATAGCTTTGGGGAAGGTATCCAACTTCGCTTCAAGTGCTTGCGTGAGGTGCTTCCTCGCCAGCGTGTAGAGGGCATCGACCGCCGGGGAAGACGAGGTGCTGAGGGACCACTCGTACTACATGCACGCAAATGAAGAAATGTAAGATTTAAGTAAAAGATGAAGAAGAAAAGTGGACTGGAGGCGCACGCTATAGTCTGAAGTCTTGTCGAGCGTGGTCTCATGCGAGACCTCCGGGACCGTAAGGCGACCATTCACTTCCGTCCCATCACTCGCCACTCCTGCCCAGTTGAGGACAATACGAACGTCGAAGATGGTGATCAACCTGTGTATCACAAAGCGCATGAGCCTCTTCATAAAGTGACGGAAATCCTGGGACGCACTTCGACTTGCGCTGACCGAGCTCAACATCTCCGTCGAACTCTGTCATATCCGAGACGGATATACGCTCCTTCGCGTCCTCGCCGTTCGGGGAGAGCTCAATGGACGTGAGCTCGTGTTTGAACCACTCCTTGGCCCATGGGTGCGTGACGTTCTTGTTTTTCCAATGCCAGTTGGCGGTACTCGTGGGCATCGACATCTCCAGAGTGATTTATTAGGAATTAGTCTATTTGAAGTCTAGAGTGCGACAATGGCAGCAGCTAAGCTGATCAATCGGTGAGTAGAAGGCAAGAGGTCGACGCGAGGTGAGATGAATAGAGTAGCAGGTAGGGTTGGCAAATGACAAGTAGGCTTTGGCTAATAAATCAGTCGCCGTCTTCGGCGGACCCAAACTCCAGAACATTCTACCGCTTTCACCCCGATGTTATAATCTGGTCTAAGCTATCATAGGCATCGATCAATATCAGCGAGTCGGGCAAGCAGGGCCTCGGAAGTTGTTGCTCATAAGAGCCAGGTAAACTATTAGGAAGTGATGGTCCATGTCGTTGGCAATGCACGATACCAAGGAAAATGTTCAAGAGCTCAGACCACAAGCATATAATTATTAGCAGGTAAAACAAAGGCAATATCTGACAAAATCAAAGCAGCCCACTTCACTTGACGCTCTACTTGCGTCGTCCCCAGCACTTGCTCGAGGAGAGTTGCCGCGGGCGGACTGGGCTGGCGAGGGACTCGTAGATTCATCATCATCGCCATCATCCTGCACCGGATGACGACGCTCAGCTCGGCTTCGAGCTGTTGGTGCATCGCCTGCGGCGAGGTTCCGCTACACCGACGTCAAGTTCAGTGCTTGTACCTCGCAAAAAATGACAGCAATCTCTCACCATGGTAGCGCGACCCATACTCACGAGCTTGATGGCTCGTGGCCAGCGATGATGTTCCCTTCCGGAACGGTTGGAAGGAGATACAAGGCGAGAGACGAGTCGAGCCATTAGCCCAGGGCGCTGACCGGTTTGAGGTGGCCTTTGCTGCCCTTGGCTGGTCTGACCGGTAGAGCTTCCTTCGCCCTGCTTGCGTGCAACTCTAGCCGAGCTCGCGGGCATCTGGAGATTGGTTAGACTGATAATTTGAGCAGATGCTACATAGACCAACATTGAAGTTTGATATGGACTCTTCATCGAAATCAAGACCAGACAAGCCTGGCCGTCTCTTGGAGGCAGTGGGGATCTAAGGAATAAAGCAAACATATCAGAAGTCGCTAGGAAAACCAAGCGTATTACACCCACATTCTTCACGTCCTTATCGCCGAGGCGTTTACCCTCCTCTGCATCACCCTTTGGAATATACGATGAGATATAGCCCCAATGCGTAAGCCTTTAATGCGATTGATCACTTACTTTGGGAAGAATCACCCGACCTGTCGCAGCGTCATACATCTTGAACGACCCATCATTGAATCCCGTTGTTATACTGTCTCCCGCTGGCGCAAATGATAGAACAGTAGGAATTTGCTTCTCTTCGATGTGCCAGATTCGCTCTCCGTTAACCGCGTTGAACAAGTCTGCCCCAGCGCGTGTCGTATTCACCCACCAACCGCTCAAGATTGCGCGGCCGTCGGGAGAAAAAGACGCTTTATGCCTCGTCTGCTTGTCGTCCAGTGGAATATCGAACACCTTCTCCCCTGTGGTCAAATTCCAGAGGGCCGTGTCCCCTTTGTCGCTGGCATCTAGAAGCTGTTTTCCATCTGCGGAGAACGACAAGCAGTGCGCTTTTGCAGTCTTTTTCCGAGTTTGCAGTCTGCTGATGATATCCAGGGTAGCGACTTGACAAATGCAGATGGTGTGCCCCAGCCAGGTGGGGTACTCGGACGCAGTCACGTACGCGAAATGCTCTCCGTCTGGCGAGAAAGTCACGTCAAAGACGTCCTGTGGTATCGCTTCGACTTTACGTTGTCCGAGCACATCGTGTACCAAATAAAGGTTATTCCCATTGACATTAACGAGTACGGCAAGAGTCGAGCTGTCCGGTGAAAACTCGAGTTTTTGGATCGCTTTGCCGACGCTTATCATTGGAGGGGAGTACTCTTTGCCCGTTTTCGCATCTAAGAGAATAACAGGTCTCGTGGAGTCACGAGTGGGCCCGGCTGCCAGGAGGTCGCCATCGGGGGACAATGCAACGCAAGGACCTCCGTAAAAGTAGAAGTCATAGACCTCCTCGCCAGTTTGAGCATCCCAGGTACGTATGTAGTCATCCTGGCTAGCAGACGTAACAAAATGACAGCCGTTTGGAAGCCAGTCGATCGTGTTGACGTGATGCTGTGGATAGTGGCTAAACGGCGGACTCTTATCCTGAAAGTTCGGTACCTGGGTCGAATGAAGCTGATGAGCCAAGTTGCGTCACTTCTATCGGCCATATCACGTACGGAAGAAAAAACCAGCGTTCTCTGTCGGACATCCCAGACGTGCACTTGATACCTTTCATCAACACATGCGATCCTATTTTTCTGTGGAGAACAGGAAACAAGCTTTACTTGCCGTTGCGCCCAGTGTCTGAGAGGTTCAAGGACTGGCTTTCCCGTTAATGTATCCCACAAAGACAAGGCGTTCGACTCCGACCCGTTAATGACCCATTCTCCATCTTGCGAGAAGCACAGGCTAGATACACCTCCAAGATTTGCGGACAGACGGTCATATAGAGTTTTACCTGTCGCTGCATCCCATACCCGAACGCTCCCCTTCCCCGCAGCTCCAGCCAGCGTGTTCCGTTCGCGAGAGTAGGCAAGCAAGAAAGGGAGTGCCGTATAGGGAGCCTCGGGATTGGTGCTGGATAACGACAAATTGATGTCGACTTCCTGCTTCAAGTTCATGTCAAAACTAGACACCTTGTAGTAATCATCCTTGCTGTATCCATAAAGAAGTTTCTGGTCATCGGATGACTCTGAGAAAGCGAGCAGACGTTGAAAGGATCTCCCATCAACTACAGGAATTTCCATGAGCAGACTACCGGTCTCTACGTCTTGCAACACGATGCGGGTCGGAAGCATAGCAGCAATAACTCTTTCATTTGAAGAGAAACTGACCATCCTGGACGGCGATCCGTAACCCATATTCTCATATTCCGTCTTCATCTCTGCCCCTTCCAGGCCTGCTTCCTCGTCCAAGCTCCAGATATAGACGTGAGCACCTGGTTTCCCGGCAACATCTCCTTTGCAGACGGCACCGAGTCGTCTACCTGAAGGAGAGAACGAAAGCGCGCCGAGCGAGCCAGAAGTCTTGAGTTCACGGAATTGACGCCCTGTAAGTGAGTCCCAAACTCGTATGGTGCCGTCGCTGGAGCCCGTCGCGAGAGACCGATCGTCGGGGGAGTACTCGATGATCACAACATAGTTGTCTTTATGACATGGTAATTCTGCGAAAGGCCGAACATCGTCATCTGCATGTGACTTCGGGTGTACACCGCGGGGCATGGACGATTGCTTCGAGTGTAAGCAGGGATCGAATGAGAACGCAAAAGCTCCTCTTGTTGCGAGAGGTGACACCTGTTATGGTTGAGCATGACATTGAGGACAAGCGCTTGTTGGCTGAGAGCACAAGCGTTGTGGGTCCAGCTTCACACTCTGAAAATGGTCGGCAAAAGCCGCTAGCACACCTACTCGACGCGAGATATCTCAGGATATCCATGAAGAACGAGTAAATGCTGCAATTGATAATTAGAAGTAGATAATCATAAGACAGCATGGGCAGAAGATATTACAGCAAAAATGTAGCTAACAACAAGTAATACAAAGGCAATAGCGTATGACATCGCAAAAGCCAGAGTCACTCGAAGCCCCACTTTCTCCGTCCCCGTGGCCTGTACGTGGCGAGACGGCCCGGTCAGACTGGGGTGGTGAAGGACTTGTTGAGGAATCATCGTCCTCTTGTGAATTTTGCCGACGCCTGGATCGACTGCCAGCTGCATCGGGGCTGGCGCCGGCGAGATTACGCTGCGTGGTGATGAAGCTGTGAATACATCGCCGCTGGTTCAAAAATGATGTGCTTACCTCCCTCGCTCGTCCTACGCTTACAAGCCGAATGGGTCGTATCCAGCGTCGGCCAGAGGAAGACGATCTTGGCATGAAGCGAGAAACTAGGCGTGTGATGAGCCCAGGCTGAGGGTGAAGATCGTTCTTCCTTGGTGGTTGCTTTCTAGTGCTGGCTGTCTGGCCAGCAGAACTCGCTTCAGCGCGCCGACGTGCCGCCCCACCCAGGGCAGCAGGCATCTATAAAAGGTTGATTAGATTCAATGAATTTCTCAAAGGTAACCCAGTGATGCTCACATTCATGATCGATTCGTCATCTGTATCAGCAAGGCCAGAGGGTATTGCTCTTGTCCCTTGTTGTCTCTTGGAGGCACCAGGAGCCTAAAGCATCGATAAATAATTCAATTGATCGCATTAATCGAAATGACTGAATCAAATGTCTTCTACTTACATTCTTTGCTCCGCTCGGTGAGGCTCTGCCGTCGGCGGGTTTTTCCTCTGTCTTCTCGCTCTTTGATGTACACAAGATGAACAACGAATTGATACGCAATCTACCCCTTAACACGTACCTTTGGAAGAATCAGCTTGCGAGTGGAAGACTCGTATAGCCTGAGGGAACCATCATTGAAACCCATAGCCAATCTGTCTCCTCCCGGCGTGAATGAAAGGGCAGTAGGGACCTGCTTCTCCTCAATGCGCCATATCCGCGTCCCGGCGACAGCGTCGAATAAATCAACACCTGCACGTTGCTTGGTGACCCACCACCCACTCAGGATTGAACGACCATCAGGAGAGAAAGAAGCTAAGTGCCTTCTTTGGTCCTCTACGGGGATATCAAAGAGTTTTTGACCGGTGTCTAGATCCCAGACGGCCGTGTCGCCCTTGTCGCTGGCGTCTAGAAGTCGTCGACCATCCGCGGAGAAGGACAAGCAATGAGTATTTGCCGACTTTTTCCGAGTTTGAAGTCTGGCCGTGACTTCCATGGTATCGAGACGACAGAGGCAGATGGTGTGTCCCAGCCATGTGGGATACTCCTGCGCAGTAACGTACGCAAAATGCTCTCCGTCTGGTGAAAAGACCACATCAAATGCTCGTTGCGGTACCACATTGACCTTGCGGAGACCTGTCACATCGTGCACCAGATGAAGATTAGTTCCCTGTGGAGTGCGAAAGAGGATGGCAAGAGTCGAGCTGTCAGGCGAGAATGCCAGCTTCCGGACATGGCCACCGGTGTCCACCAACGAGGGGGTATATTCTTCGCCAGAGCTCGCGTTCAAAAGAACGACGGGTCTGGTTGCTTCCCGAGACGGCCCAACAGCGAGTAAACCACCATCGGGGGATAACCCAATACGAGGACCTCCATAATAATGGAAATTGTAGACTTCTTCCCCGGTTTGATCATCCCAGACGCGTATATAATCGTCCGAAGAACCGCTACTAACGAAGCGGCGCGCGTCCGGGAACCACTGGATTGCGTCTACGTCACCTTGCGGGTAGTGTGTGAACGAAGGGCCCTTGTTGACATTATAGTTTGCTACCTGCCGTAGGCAAAGTAATTAGTTGGCCTTGCGTGTTTCGGATGGACATGAAGCACTTACAGATGACAAGACCAGTTTTTGTGCTTGGACATCCCATATGTGCACATGATTGGCCCTATCGATACATGCCACATGGCGTCTATCAGGAGAACAGGCCACTGCCTTTATTTGCTGCTGCGCCCAATGCCTCAGAGGTGCAAGTGCTGGCTTGCCCGTCAGTATATCCCATACGCGCAAGGCCTTGTCTTTCGACCCGTCCATGACCCACACTCCATCTGGCGAGAAGCTGACACAAGATACGTTGTCAAGATGCCCCACCAACCGATCATGTAGGGCTTTGCCCGTTGCAGCATCCCAGATCCTGATACCTCCCTCCGGTAGTGCAGCAGCGAGTATGTTTCCGTCGCGAGAGCAAGTGAGCGATGAAATGGGTGACTTTTCGGGCGACTTGAGGTTATCCTGAGCCAGTGAGATGGTGACTTGAGATGGCTGTCTCGAGCCCACGTCAAGACAAGCCACCTTGTAGGAGTCGGACTCGCTATACGCAAAGAACAGCTTCCGGTCACTAGACGACCATCCAAGCAAAGGTTCAAATCGTCGTCCAGTTGAGTTGGTTATCTCCGTCACCAGACGGCCATCATATACGCCTTGCACCATGATACGATTGGGCAGCATAACAGCGATGAGATTCCCATCGGACGAAAAACTGACCACATGTGAGCCCAAATCAACCTTCTTGTACTCCATCTTCACCTCCGCTCCTTCGTCTCCTGCAACCTTGCCTATGTCCCACATATACAAGTAAGCCGTCTCGGTTTTGATCTCATGGGAAATAGCGGCTAGCTGCCGCCCTGACGGAGAGAAGGAGAGCGACCGAACCGAGCCAATGACCTTGAATTCGCGTATATGACGCCCCGTTAGCTGCTCCCAAAGGCGCACGCCAATAGCATCGTTAGAGCCTGTCGCGAGGAAACGGTCATCGGGGGAAAATTCAATATGGTCGACATAGTGCTCCGGATATCTTGGTAGCGCTGCGAAAGGCCTTATATCTTCCTCTACTTCGGAGTTTGAAGGTGCCATTGTGAGCTTTTTAGAACATACGCTTGAGGAGGATTCTGAGGTCTCTCCAGTTGTGAACGGTGATGGTGGTGCATGACGTTGAGTATAGACGCTTGTTGAACGAGCGCACAAAAGTGTGGGTCCAGCTTCACAGAGCAAAAGATCTGAATCGGCAGACGCCGGCGCATGGAGTCTCTTGCAAATCTTCAGCGCAACCTAATTTACGGAAACATCCATAGTATAAGTTTGTTGCATTGAACAGTATAGAAAATCTAGATTATATAGATGCTCATCATGTAGCTACGAAAAATCCAGAACACGCAGCATCCGACGCCCTTCGTGCCGCCACGCCCATATGTCTTGAGCTCTTGCTTGAGCCTGTCCCTCCGAGTCAGGTTCCTCATTGTACGTATAACACACCCTCCCCCACCACACTTCGTCCTCGAAACAAATGAGCTCCGCGTACCTCCTCATAAAATCCGTCTGAATACCACTCAAATCGCCGATCGAGAAACTGAGCACTGACGCCTCCTGTGTCTTATCGTCATACACAACTTCTGCTGCCCTCAACTCCCCATTCTCTCGGTCCTCAGTCGAATACAGGAATCGCCCGCTGCCAGTCCACGAAGGGATCATGATAACCGTGTCGGGTATGGAGAAGAGCATCATGATTGTTTGCACGTGTACCCCAAGTTCGCGCTCTTGGTTGGCGCCGTCGTCGGGTGGGACCACCAGGCGAGCGACGACGAATTGCCCGCCGGGGGAGCTTGTTTGAGGGTAAAGGAGACCGACTATAACGACTTCTGTTTCACCCGTATCCCGGTCTATCACTGAATCACAAAGGATGGCGACAGATCGGAAGTATGATCCCTCCAGGATGCCTGAGGCAGTCGCCCGTGGATCGCCTGACAGGACGGAATTAATTGGCGAGACAAGGATCCGCGTTTGAGGACTAGGCTCCTCCGGCGCATCAATAATTGAGAGGAGATGTGTCCGACAAGCAAGATGGTACGGGACCCAAGCGTGTTCCTGAACAGAGTCAATCAATATTAGCTCGGAATGATGGGCATGAACAAAAGAAGGCATACGGAAGATGAAAGTCTATCGTTTGGAATGACTGTCGGTTCCTTGTAGAGATCCTCAATGTCCCAGATGTAGCATTGACCGTGTCTACCCATCCAATGGACTGCAAGAACTCGGGGGCTTAGCAGAGCGAACGCGAAACCAACGGAAAAGCGAGAGCAGCGATAGACTTCTTCAAAGTGCAACTCCGGGGCAGCTTTTTGCCTTCCTATGTGCACCTGGATCAGGATCCTGAGCGAAGGCAGATTGTCACAAGAGACACGGGTATATAGAGGAAGAACTCACATCTCAGATGTACGCAGGCCATCCGGCCTCGGCACCACTTCCCGCTGCTCCAAGACCAGAAACGCCCTCTTCTGCCCATTATACGACGTGACATCCAGGCAATCCATTGACGACAGGAGGAATCCTCTTTCTTGCTGGGCTTCCCATGCGACAGAAATTGTTGGCTCCTCCGAACCGGGGGCGTCGATATCGCGACAGACGACCTTCTCCGGGAACCTCGTAAGTAGCCATCGGTCCGCAAGAGTCAGTGTCTCCTCCCCTCCAACTTCGTACGTACGCGAACGTGTCGGTTCACGCCTCTGAAATAGATTTGTGTGCACGTTCTGCGTGCGCACTAGGAGATCTTCCAACGTTTGCCGGGATTGCGTTGGATGAGGCCCCGGAGGGCGGGGAAGACGCGATGTTCTGTACAGCGAGTCCCAGACGGCGCGTTCACCAATTTGTTCCCAGAGATATTTGCAAGTCTGTTTCTCTATGTGAAAAGTGCATCGTACGATGGGAGGGTTATACACACCAGCCGGAGGTTACATACATCTTGAACATCCGAAAAGGCGATGATACTGAGGAAAACGTCGAACGGTAGTTGGTCCAATTTGATGGAAGACGACATAGGTCAATATTCATGCAATGTCAGAGCGATAACCTGGTGGCAAAAGACAGGTTTTGCGAGTGGGTGGTGAAAGTGGGTTTGGTCGATCATGGTAGCAAGCCGCATGTTATGTCATGAGGTTAAGCGCTCGTCTCGGATGGGTAGCGCGCGCGGTAGCATTCACTCAGGGGCTCTCATAGGTCAGAATTTACGGAAGATTCATAGGCCAGAAACTGGTCAGAATTAAGTTGGAATTTCCCGGCCCTTTTTATGTACCATGCATGAGCGCAAAAGGACTCTGAACCTGTTCAAGTCCAATTACTCATCATGAACCAATCCCAGTGTACAAGCGGCTGGTAAGGACGTACGAGTCTCTGACAGAAATACCAGAAAAAATTGTCAAGATCCCGAAAATGAGCTTGTCCTTGATGGAGACAAGAGCCCAGTAATTTGAACATTTCAGAGTCATCATGATACAATTCCCCCAACCTGAGCCTATGCGAAATCTATTATACGTAGCATCCGCTGTTCTTCAGGAATGATACCAGGGTCCCCTTGTGGATGTTGCACATAGTAGGTATACAATATTCTCCCAGAATGTGGTTCGCTTTCAAATGACTGCAGCTCCGCATTACAGCGTTGGAAGTGATCCTGGACATTACTTGCGACGCCAAGGTTAGCAGAGCGGGCTGTAGTCGTGGTTTGTGTTTCTTCGTCATAAGTCAATTCTACGGCACCAAGTCGCCTGTCTGAAGATTCTTCCAATGAATATACCAATCGCATCGATCCGTTGCAAGAAGGGCTTAAGATGATGATTGGGTCCGAATGGAATTGCATTACCACCTGAAGTGACAGGGTAAGCCCATGCGTTACACCTCCGGGCGGTATGAGTAGCCTCGCGACTGCCAGTAAGGAATCATCGGGATCGTCTCGAGAAAGTTGCCCGACGAAGACAACTTCGGTCTTTCCGGAGTTGCAATCCAGTACAGAATCGCGGAGAATGCCAACAATCTGTACATAGACATCGTCGATGACAGCGGAAGCATTTGGTTGTATCGCGCCGGTAAGAAGTGTTGCAAGGGACCATGCACGGATGTGTGTCACATCAGGCGGCCCGTCTACACTGGCGACGGAAACAACATGGGTGCTACAGACGAGAAAGAGCGGCAAGTCATCCTAGACCTTTCCTCAGAAGAGTTACAAGGATAGGAATCCGAGGGAAAGACGCACGATATCATCATTCTCCCTCGGGATAATGACAGGTTCGTTGTCAAGGTGATCAATACTCCATACGAGGGCGGTCCCTTGCCGCAATCCAACCACCACCAAAAGAGCTGTGGGGCTTATGTAGGAGTAGATGGCCTCCGAGGATACATCTGAAAAAACCTTTCGGTATACGCTCTCCCATCGTAGACCTAGTTCAGAATCTTCATCAAAGTGGATCTCTAAAATTATTCTGGGAAACCCGAATGAGAAATTTCTAGGCCAAGGCTCACTTGGAGGAGACCAAAAGGCTTACACCTCAGCTCGTTCAGCAGGTGGCCCTCTGGCACGATGATCCAAGACAACGACAGCGTGTTTGTGGCCATCGTGTGCGACTATATCCAAACAATCCATTGCCAGGAGCTCAAAACCTTCTTGTTTGTTTGCCTCCCAGATGGTGCACTTCCGAGGTTCCTCATGTTCCGAGCTATGTTTGCTGAGATCGAGACAGTCGACCCTCTCCTCGTTTCGCACGAATACCCATCTACCACAGAACTCAAGCGCTTCGCTGTCTTCGCTCACGCTGATGATGCGAGAGCGTACGGGCTCGTTTCTGTGAAACATGCCATGATGTACGGTTAACGTGCGAATGAGGATGGACTCTAGAGTTTCGCGAGTCTGCGATGGGTGGGGACCGGAAGGTCGGGTGTAGCGACAGGTACGATAGAGGCTGTTCCAAAGAGGTCGTTCACGACTGAGTTCAGACAAACGTTTTGATGCCTGAAGCTGATTAATTAGTGTCAAGAAATGCAGACAATAACCATTACCTCTCGAATGCGAAGCACATCTGATACGTCAAGGTATTCGGCAATTTTAAGCAGTACGTCGAAGGGTAGCTCAGCTAAGTTCAAGGGCATGATGGCCGGAAATGAGAGTAGAGATTACGGCTAGCAGTGAAAGTAATAGCAGTTTGTGGTTATGCAAGGCAAGCAGACGCCCCTGGATCGTCATCCGAGTCGCGTCATCGGCCAAGACAAAGTACAAACAAATCGTTGCCGATAATGACTCGCGTCACACGTGACCGTGTTGGCACACCCCTAGTGGCTGTTCGCGACGACGCTTGCCCTCAATAGACGATGACAGGCTCCCCACCGGCTTCAGCAGCAGCAGCTCTCATATACTCGGCGGGCCAACCGACTTATCTACCGGAGGGAGAACATACAGACGAACAGCAAGATATCTATGGCTTAGTACATGCTAAGACCAGCGACGACTATTCAGGAGGCGAGGACGTGAAACCTAGTCTCAGGAGAAGCATCTATGTTGATGTCTTTCAAGGTGGAAAGGCTTGGTCTTCATCATATTCAACTTCTGAATGTATCTGACGGCCACACTTCTCATTGTCTAGAAGTCGCCATAGCCGCCATCACAGGCGAAGGACACCTATTCGTGGATGAAGAGTTCAACTACATGAAGAGATTTCTCGGTCTATCAGGTACGTGCCTTCTTATGTACGTGTATGAGCCATGCTTCATCGAAACTTCTCCGTCTCTCAGATAATACAAAGTTTCTTCTTGTCAAGCTCACGCTACGCAAAGCCAACGCCTGGCACAGACTAGACTCACTCAAGTACGAGAAAGACCTCGGCTATCGAAGCGAGATTACTCGTTCGATCGACGAGATATGTAACCCAGCATATTACCAACCACCAGCGACACCCAGACCGGTCAAAAAGGAGGACAATGTAGAGATTATAGACCTCACCCCACATGCCGACGAACAAGTATCTTCCACAGAGTCCAAGCCTAAGTCTGAACCTCAGGCTGGGCCGTCCTCGGTGAAGATGGAAGATGGCTGGACAAACCTTGTGCTAGCCGAGGATCAAACGAAGATGGAACTTCGCGAGCTACTAGAATGCTTGAAGAAGGAGGAGCTAGGTCGACTCGCCAAAGAGTTTAAGGTCCAAACTCAAAATAAGGTATGGAAGATTTATATTATGCAAGGTCTTCTTCTGATAGGTAGTAGAAAAATGATATCGTATCCTCGCTTCTTTCCCTTGTTGATGGCTGCCATACAGCTAGTTCAACATCTGCTTCACGTTTGCGCCAAACAACTCTTTCGTTTGGTAAATCACACGAAACGTTAAAGGCTAGGCTGAGGGCCAGGGCTCTGAACATGCTTGGTGAGTCACGGTGTCGATATGTTCTTGTTTCATAATCATACTCATAACAAAGCTAGGTCGCTGCGTTAGAGTAAATGAAGCGTTCATGCTTGTCGTTCGTCGCATTCATTTAATCTACTTCAGAATGTACGTCCTCTATTCTCATCCATTGCTGGCCCCAGGCTTATCCTTTTTCAGGACTCACGTCACCTACCGGTCAACACCGGACCTCCTCACACCAGCCCTCCTCGCCAAATTCTCCAAGCGTAATTACGCTGTCACCTCTGATATGTGCAAGCGCTCGAAAGATATCTGGAAGACGCGCGGAGATCTGCTTGCATTTGAAGAGGCGGTCTACCTGGAAGCCGAAATAGATGCAGCGCTCGATGGATCTGCGACGTTTCCCGCGAACGATCAATACCGGTCGGCTGCCAGTGTAACACCAGACGTTAGTAATCTCAATATGCGGTTTGTCACTCCCGTTACGCCTGCGAAAGGAGGAAGTGTGTCCAGCCCGTTGATTACGCCCAAGTCGAAGATGAAAACGCCAAAGACCCTACATACTCCGAAGCAGCAAGATGATGGTGAAGAGGGTAACGCTCCGATCAAGTCCACCGAGGAGACTATGACCCAAAGACGCGCTCGATATGTCCTAAACCTTGCTCAACAATATAACGTCTTGGACAAATGGGCAAACGTTGTAAAGGTCAAGACGGAAGAGGGTGCCGAGGGAGAAGAGGAGTCCAATCTTGGATTGTTGCGATTCAAAGCTGGTAAGGATACTTCGTCTCCCTCGTGATAACAGACTCATCTTCAGTAAATTTCCAATAGGGCACGTTTTTGCCCGTATCGTTCATAAGGTTGCCGAAGCTTATGGCAAGCTCGACGACCTGGACAAAGAGCTGGAAATACTGGATTCATTACTTGTGCAAAACAAGTGGCGACGTGGGCGACGTGGCCAATGGCATGAGCGCAAGTGCATCATCCTGAACACGCACAAGAGGGAGTTCGGGAAAGCACTTAAAGCCAGCATCGAAGCATTACAAGATCCGTACACACACATCGGTACGCATAGTCTCTTCTTGCTCAAGAGTTGATTGATTAATTCAAAATTATCTGTTAGTTTACCGCCCCAAGCTTGACAAGCGGACGACGACCCTGGAGAAGAAACTTAAGGTCCCCCGTGAAGATCGCCATACCTGCGAAGGAGGTCTCAGGGAGCCAGTAAAAGTTACCTTTATGGGCATACGTCTCCGACATCGTGCAGCAAGTCTGCACCTCGATCGCATGGGACGTCAAATCAAGGATGCCTCGCCAAAGAAGAACGGTAGTTTAATGAAACTATTTGCGTCGCCAATCAAGGGCAATTCAGCAGAGAAGGTCGCTGTTAAAGATGATGAACCTAAAGTTGAGACGTTTACTGGCAAGGGTAAAGGCAAGGCGGTGGACTACGTACGTAGGATTTGGGTGACAAGACGTGGTTTTTTTTAAATCTAATTATCCTGAACAGACAGACGAAACGAAGGGCAAATCTATCTGGCTGGGCCGAGACAGCGATGGAATTAACGTCGAGAACTTCGCTCTTCAGCAGTACGAGAAAGAGGGGTTTAAAGGGTGCGTACTCAAGTTCCCTGCCCAAATATCATGCTTAAAAGTATACCCTGATTTTAGTGTGCACTGCGAAACTTCCTCCCTGCTTATGTTATTTGGTCTCCTTTTCTGGGACATCATATTTGCCCCCATCCCGGGTGCATTCGAGACACCGTATCAGTCCGCCCCGCTTGACATAGCAGACGATACTTTCTACCACTCTCGCCGTGGACTCATCGAGACACGTCTATCTGAAATTAAGAAGGGAGAAGGACCTGAAATAGTGGCTAGAGTCGACGCGGCTGAGCGAGAACGCAAAACATGGTGCGTCGGTGTGAAGTGGGATCTCTTTAGTGCCCAAGATATGCAGGATATCGTTACTGTAAGTAGACGTCTCTCTCATTTAGTTTACACTATACATAATCTCGTTGCCTCGATAGTGCCTTGGTGGTTCAACGCTCTCCATCATATGCAGAATCCTCTGCGAAGACTACGGTGGCCGATGCTCAGGAGGCCCCGATCTCCTGCTCTGGAACGCTTCGCAAGGAAAATGCAAGTTTGTCGAGGTGAAGGGACCGGGTGACCAGCTGTCGGAGAGCCAGAAGGTGAGAATCAACATTGCTTTAGTTATCTCAAATTATTTCTTACGCCTTGTTTTCTTCAGCTTTGGATAGACCTTCTCGCCAGAGCATCCGCCGACGTTGAAGTGTGTCACGTAGCTGAGCATGACGCCGACCCGCCGAAGAAGAAAGGTCGGCCAAAGGTGCAAAAGAAGGGAGCAGGAAAGGGAAAGGGAAAGAAGGGACAGAAGGAACCAATGGACTCAGAGGAAGAAGTCGACGACGCCATGCAGGCTCTTATCGAATCTGAGAACGAGCCCGAACTCGATCTGCTGGGAGACGAACTTCCACCTCCGGTAGTCGCACAAAATCCTGGCAAGAACGCCCCACGACAGCCTCTTGAAACGCGCGGAAATCTGGGCCTCGGGACTCTCAGCACCTCTTCACCCTCAAAGTCGCGAACTTTCGACGAGTTGGATCCTCCAACACCTATCATTGTTCCCACTCCATCTACACCCTCATCCGGCAGCAAACGGAAACACGCATTCGACGGCGTTGTTATCCTTAGCCCGAGTCATTCAAGTAAACGGGCTCGATTGGATTCTTCCATATAGTCAACTACTCGTTTTTCCACAGCAATGTGTAACCCTACGCATACCCTGTAGTTTAAGTAGTAAATAAGAGGAGTTAAGGTTGTAAAATCAGTAAGATATTTAGAAGTTATTTATGTCCATGAGATCCAACGAGTTGTTTGCCTGAACAAACCCAATAACACGAGGGATAAATAGTGGGTGCTTGCTAGCTGACGGGTAACGGGATGGGAGGGAAAGAATACAGTGGGTTAAACGGTACATCGGTGTCGTGAGGGATGATGGTATGCTGCGGGTCGAAACGCGAATGCGAGAAAAGCAGGGGGACATGTGCGGAGGGAAAAAACTTCTACGCATCAGAAAGGGAGGAAGGAAAATAGAAGGGAAATCTAAATGCTGCTGATACGACGACTATTCGTCTATGCTCCCCGTCGTTGCCGTTGAAGGCTTTTTGCGTCTCAACGAGGGCAGCATCTTCAGCGAAACCTTGCGTTTCGACAGTGAACTGCCCAGCTTCGACTTCGGCAGCGGCAGATGTCGACTGCTCGCCCGCTTCTCGGAGAGATTGCTCTGGATCCGCTGTATCGCGACGCCGCCCTCCTCAGTCGAGAAGTCGAACCCGCGATGTACCGACGTCGCGCCGGTAGCCATGTCTACCCGGCTCGCGCGTCGGGGGTCTATGGGCGTCCGACTGCGACTTCGTATTGACATGTTATCGCCGCCTTCGATGTACGACTGACGCGAGCGGATCGATACTGGACGAGACAATCTCGACGACATGCGTCTTGATGCTCGCGATGTGGATCGGCGCGGCTCCCAGGTCGACGTTCGGAAGAGACCAGCGCGATCCTGTTCGCGTAACGATGCGAGGTCAAGGTTGGGGTTCATGCGCTTGAGATAACGCAGGGTCTCAAGGTCTCCAGGATCATAGCCGAGTTGGACGGCGCGGTAGAGCCAACGGGGAAGCAGGCAGAGCAGGACGATCAACGGCTGAGCGAGCCAGAAGTACGCCGATCGGAAGAGGAAGTGGTTGTTGCCGAAAACGTCGGTAATGAACCAACCCGGGCTGATTGAGTTGTACACCAGCTAAACGTGCACGAGATCAACAACGATGGTGTCGGATGCAGACACTAGCTTACCGTGAACAACCACAACAATAAGATACCAATGAAGACCGCAAAGAAGACCCAACCGGTCCACACATTCGTGTTCAAACCATTGAACAGACACGCAGTCGTGACAGCGGCGAAAACCATGGTCTAATAAAAGTTAGTAAGCCTCTAGATCAAGAACTCTGGGAATAAATCCTTACAGTTGTGTACTCATACTGGGCGACATCGTATCCATCAGATCGCGCAGTGGTGGTCATGTACGTGTATGTCATCAGGAAAAATATCACGACCGACTGATAATATATACGTCAGCTTGATCACACATCAACCAGGTTAAAACTCACCTGTACGACAGCATCGAATATGTAAATCCCGAACTGCTTCAATGAAAACCAGGTGCGCTCTCTACCAAACCGGTAGAGCTCAGGGAACGCCATCAGGACGTCAGCATCTGCAACAGTTTTGTCGTTAGCAAACAAGCAAAACAAGCAAACCTATAAGACAAATAAATTACTGACCAACGATACGATCGAAAAGACCGATCCCAAGCACAGGCGCGATGGTCCAGAACGAATTCCAAAAGAGCAGATACGTATAATCGAACGCACTACACGCACGCACAAAAACAACGTCAGCTCCGTTCCATCCACAATCAAAGAACAGAAAAGAACACATACTATGCCGAAGTCCACCCGCAATAAATCTGGAACCACCACAGCACACCAATGCAAAGAATGTTCTTATAAAAGAAATTGATGATCATCGTCCCGTTGCGCGCGTACGACCAGTGCCCGTGCACGAGCAACAACCGCTTCAGGAACCGGAACTGCGCGATCGCGTAGTCGGCCGAGTTGACGGCCTGCAGACCCTCCTCGCCGGAAATACCGACGCCGACGTCCGCGGCCTGGATCATGCTCACGTCGTTGGCGCCGTCGCCGATCGCGAGCGTCATCACGCCGAGGCCGTCCTTGACGAGCCGGACCACGAGCGCTTTTTGCAGTGGGGAGACGCGACAGCAGATGACACCTTCGCATTCCATAGCCAGGTTTAGGAGCAAGTCGCGATGTTGTTGATCTGCGAGCGCCTGGAAATAATAACCATATTAGCAAAACAACATACCAGCAGAGATGGTGTGAAAACGAACCTGGTTCAGAGCCGTACCATCAATAACCAAAACATATCCACCCGGACGGTCGCCATTGCCCTCCCCAACCACAGACGCGACACCCATACTCAGCCTGCGCATCGGCACAGGCCTCGAATCCAGCGCATCCGCCGGCTCCTTGGGCTCGTTGCTGCCAAAGCTCATAAGGTCCTCATCCTCGAGAATACCGCTCTCCGGGAAATAGTCCTCGACGGCCTGCACCATCTGCTGGAAGACCGGTCGGCCCTCGTCGCTGCCGCCGCGGATGATGATGATATTCGAGTCGTGCGCGATGAGGTTCGTGCTGTAGCCGATCGCAATAGCGGTCTCGAGCTTGTCGCCCGTCGCGACCCACACCTTGATGCCCGCCGCCTTCAGATCCGCGATTGTCTCCGGCACACCGTCCTGGAGCTTGTCCTCGATCGCCGTCGCACCCAGCAAGCGCAGGTCACGCTCGATGAGGTCACAAGTAGCTTCGACCTTTTCCTCGCGATCGTCCAGAGCCGTAAGAGCATCGTGGTACTGTTCGCTCCATACCTCGTATTCGTCCTCTGCGGAATAAGATTAGCACGAAAAAGATGTGATAGCCAGGGAGAGAAATATACGCACCAGGTATAACCTTGTACGCCAACGTAAGCGTCCTCAGCCCCGAATTCGCAAACTCGTCCAAATGCCCCTCCGTTGTCTTATTCATCTCATCCGCGCCCGCCTTCAACCTCTCAAACACAACGTTATCCGCGCCCTTGGTAAGCAAAAACAGTTTCCCCGCGCTCTCCTGCTCCTCTTCGCCCACCTGCCCCTCCGAGGACGACGGCAACTTCCTCACAACAACGCTCATCCGCTTTCTTGCGCTCGTAAACTCCAAAATATTCAACAGCTCATACCGCTCCACCTCGGGCGAAAATGGCGTCTGCAGAAACAAAATCTCGCGATCGCGCCCGCGGAACACAAACCCCACGTCCGCCGCCGCCTGCACCAGCGCCGCCTCGTCCGGGCTTTGCGCCTTATACTCGAGCGCGCCCGTCTGCCCGTCGATCGCCGCGATCACCGTATGGCACAGCGCGAGCACAGTGAAGAACCCGTTGAGCGCGCGCGCGTGCGCCGCGCTCTCCGTGCCCGGCTCCGCGTTGGCCGACGCCTCGAGGTCCTGCGCCAGGTTCGCGTCCTTGAACCGCTTCAGCACGCCCGCAGAGAGCTTCACGTCCGTCGCCGCGAGCGGGTCGGGCACGTCGCCCTGCCCTTCGTGGTGCCGAACGCCGCCGTTGCCCGAGGCCGAGGTAGATGCTGCTGTCGAGTCGGAAGACGAGGGCCGCATGTCCTTGGGTTTTTCCGGCGCGCCCTTCTTGACGAGCACGTCCGAGTCTTCGTAGTCCTCCTTCTCGTCTTCGGGGTCTCCCCGGTAGGCTACACCGCCGACCGAACATTGCCGGAACACCATGCAGTTCTGTGGGATTTCGGCCGAAGGTTAGCATTTGCGTGCAAATAAAATAGCCACGATGATGAAAATGAAATACAGATGGACAAGAATAGCCATGGCACTACGGGCGGCCGAGGATGTAAGAAATCAGAAGCAAGGAACGAACCTGTGTCAACGTCCCCGTCTTATCCGAGAAGATGTACTCGATCTGCCCAAGATCATCCGACAAGTTATAACTCCTCGCAAGCGTTGCCTGGCCCGTCTTCTGATAATACATATCATAGTCGAAGTAGATGAACAGCGCCTGGCACGTCTTGACCCCCTCGATGGAGATGTAGAGCGAGATGGGCACAATATTTTGGAACCTGCATCACATCAGCATCACATCGTGATGTCAGTATCTGAAAGGCGAGACGAGAGATAGCGACGGCCTAACGTACGTGATGAGCGCGAACGCAAAGGTGATGATGCCGTTCACGCGCGGGTTGTCGTCGGATACATCGTCGTTGTAGAGCCATGGTGCGCCCTCGGGATACTGGACCTTCTCGATCGACGAATCCGCGATGGCGCAGGCGACAGCCATGAGCGCGAGGAGACCCAAGTTCAAGAGCCTATAAAACCAAACTATGTGAGCACGACACGGAATATATAAATATGAAAGTTTAAAGCGTACACCTGAGGGTTCATCTGCCTCTCCACCCGACTCCGCTTACTTGGCGTCCCGCCCGAGTTGAGCACCATCTTCGTATCCACGCCCGTAAACAGCACAACCCCGATCGCCCACTTCGTATTCCGCAGCACCGTCCCTCTCAACAACACCGTCTGCAGATCGACAGCCGCCCTGGCCCCGTCGCGCACCACGGCCCCGTTGAGCTTGTACATGTTGATATCCGGACGATCCAGCTCGACCGCGAACTCGTTCCGCCTGTCCGCACACGCAGCAGCGCTGCTGAGGTCCGTCAGCGCGGAGCACGCGTTGCGCGACTTGAGATTCGTCTCGCCATCGAGGTTCTTCGTCTCCACGAACGCGACGTTCTCCTCTTCAGATGTCGCGCATAGAAGCATGTCCGCTGGTATGGGCTCGTCTTCCAGTATGCGCACGAAGTCACCCACACGGACGTCCTCCCAAAGGCTATTCTTCCAATACGGAGCGCCTTTCTTCGACTCGCCGCCGAAAACGGAGGCGAGGCTGCGCCGACGCTCGGCTTTTGGGGTGACCTCAGCTATATCTATGTTGGTGTTGGTGTTCGTCCGGCTCATGCCCGCTTCCAGTGCGCTGGGATCCTGTTCCTCATCCTCGACATCCTTACGTTTCTTATTCCGCGAGGGAACAATACCGCGAACGAATGTCTTGGACTTTGCGCCGGTGTGGTTCGGGTTGACCCAGGCGCCGCCAGAGAGAACTTGCACGGGGGTGTGGTTGACCTTCTTGTCGGACTGGTGCCGCTTGATGTCTTCGTACCCATCCTTGACGGCGGTGATGGCGAGGACGATGATGAGTGGGAGGAGAACAAGTCCAGGAGAAATGGTGGAGAATTCGGGGAAAAACTGGAGAATGGCGATGGCGGCGAAGAAGCTGTCGGGGGTAATTAGCACGACGTCACAAGTATTTCCAGATTCATAGTAATATTCAAAACTCTTCGATCATACCCAGAAATGAAAACCACGTCTCTGTTTTGGCCACTTGACCAAGAAACAAAACATTAGACACTCACACATTAGCAACCCTCCGGAACTGCTCAAGCAAGTTCCTCGGCAAGAACGTGATAATCGTGTACTTGGACGTGATAACCTGGTTCGGCGTGTACACGTACTCCTTGTGTGGCCGTCCTTTGTGGTCGTAGTACTCCGGGGGCAGGTCCTGGTTGCAGTAGACCGTGCGGGGCACGCCCGGCGTGCGCTTGCCAGAAAACAGGGACTCGACGCCGAAATTGGAGAGCCAGGCGAGCCATGCGGGCTTCTTGCTCGCCGAGCCCTTGACGATGCCCCTGCCACCCCTGCCGCCCTTTCCTTTTCCCTTTACGCCCGTTGGTGCTCCTGCTCCTGCGGCGCCTGTATTCGTGGTGGAGGAGCCATTGACCGGAACAGCCGAGTTGTTGTGGGCGTGGTCTGGCAGCTGAGGGTCGGGATGCCCCATGGTAGTCCGGGGACTGTGAGCTGCGGGGGAAGATGAACCAGAGCTGGGTGGAGGGAGGGAAGGAGGAAGATGTGATCAGGGCGCGGGTTAGTACGAGTATGTATGTGTCCGTAATGACTGATCCTGCTGACTCCTGGGCACTGCCGTCATGCCTCCTCTCACGCCCTCCTCGGTCAAAACTCCAATCCACAGACACACAAACGCACATTCCTCTCATCATATCGCATTCGCTGCCATGCAACGGACAATCCATTCCTGCGTCTCCAGAGGACAGCCCAAACTACGGACATTTCCATGTTCAACTTGTCTCGGCTGAGTGGGCTCGGCTTACGTCTTGTGTGCGGCTCGCGGAGAGTCTATCCGACGGATGCACTAAAATAAGGGGCGATTACTCATAAGGGTCATCTCACATTCAGGGCCAAGCCATTCCCACCCTCTCCCCCGGCATTCCCGAAGTACCCGCAGCTGCGCATCCATCGACACCTCATGATGAACCCACAGACGTCGACATAACAGTCAACCAATCACCTCACCACGAGGATCCCCATGAACCGCCATACACTCAGACAGATGGACACAAAAATGGCTGTAGCGCGTTAACTAGTCAATGTTCTAAAACTATATTTTGAAAAAGAAACAGAAATTATAGAAAACGAGAGTGAGAGTGACGGGTACCACGATTATCAATCCAAAAACGCAACAGAAAAGCGAACGAACAAGACTGAATGGATCATGGGGAATCTGAGCATCTCAGAAGACATTCAGAAGCTCCTCCATGTGAGATGGTGGGGATGGGTGGGTATATCCAATAACGAAAAAAGAAAAGAGGCGTCCTGTTTTACTCCGCTCACAGCTTCGAAGCTGCACTGCACACACGTCCCCGCCGGCTTCGCATCTCGCGCGGTCCAACACGCATCACGAGACAGGTGCCAACGCGACCAATCATTGTCACAGGGCGACGACGATAGGCGCCTACTGTTGGTTCGCCGGACGCTGAACGCCCTCCTTGAGCGCGAGGAGCTGCTTTGACCGGAACGCCTCGTAGTGGATCTGCGCCGTCGTCTCAATCAGGTCCTGCAGGTGCGTCCGCGTCAGGAAGTTGCGCAGGTGCACAAACTCGCAGTGGCTCTCGTCCTCAACGTTCACCACGCCCCAGCGGTTCTTCCGTGCGCGCACCGACTGTCCGTTGATGACGACGCTCGACTCCGAGCCGACGACGGCAAAGGGAATCATGCTCTGTGATATCTATCAACAATTGTTTCCCTTTGCGGTTATCAAAAGACTCACCCGGATCGACTCGTTCAGCTGAATCTCCTCATCATCGTTTTCGTCCGTGTCAAAGGGGTACAGGCGGATGTTGTGGTACACCAGCTCCGCGCGAATCTGCAAAGCTCTGTGTCAGCAAATGTCCTTTTCTAGCACGTGAATTTTATTCAACATACCTTCTGCTTGAAAGCCTCGCGCTCCTCGAGCGTCAGACTGTCCGACTTCGCGATAACGGGAACGACGTTGACAACTTCGCTCAGCTTCTTCATGACAATCACATCAATGGCGCGGAGCGAATGGCCCGTCGGGTTGATGAAGTACAGGCAGCAGTGGATGCGCGTGTCCTGGATGTAGCGGTCGCGCATGGCAGTGAGCTCCTTGCGGAGGTACGCGCTGTGTTGGTCCTTGATGTACTTCACAATAGGGTCCCAGCTAGCAGTGGTCAGAATCATTTCCCGAGTATAAGTAATCGTCGACCTACCAGTTCTCGTTGTTGACCTGGTCGCCGTACCCGGGGGTGTCGACAATGTTCAGGCGCAGCTTGACGCCGTTCTCAACAATAACTAAGGTACCAGCATCAGCATCAGCATCATGTCGTCACGCAGACAAAGGCAAAAGTGCAATGGCCAAAGAAAGCGCAAAAGCCTAATAAAACGTACGAGCAATACATACCATGCGAAGCAGCCTGAATCTCCGTCGTCTGGCGCACCGGGTCGTCCGCCTCGAGACGGCCCTTCGAGTCGATAAGGTGCGACGCGAAGATAGTGTTGATGAGCGTCGACTTGCCAAGACCAGTCTGGCCTGTTGAGTTTGGCGCGGGGTTACGAATCATTCACAATTGGCGCCACAAGGTTTTCCATAGAGCAGCACATGACAAGCGAAATCGTTAATAGTCCAGGAGAACGTTTGGAAATAACAGAGTTGTAGAGCGACAAGACCAGACACAACGAGCAGCAACCGAGAAGGGTAGAAACGCGTCAGCCCACGAGCTCTTCGGTCTGGCGCCCAGCGGCAGAGAGAGTGGAGAGGGTTGAAAACGCACCGACAACAATGACGTTGAACTGGAACCCGCGCTTCAAGAGCTTATGCTCGATCTGCTGCGTGATAGAGTCGAACCCGACGTACGTCGTCGCGCGGATCTCTTCGACAGTCGGCGAGGCCATGGCTTCTTTCTAACACAGGCGTTCGGGTGTGAGCGAGAACAGGGGCAATAGTGCGAAGGGGAACGAGAGGAGGCAAGTACCTTGGGGGGCGAGAGGGGGGAAGGAGTGTTGCTGGAGGTTGGGTCAAGCGAAGGGGAGCGTGTCGTGCAGGAAACGGCAACAAACGAACAGAACCCGTTCGTGTGGCGGGAAATTTGTCCTTTCCGGGGTCTCGGCTGGGGCGACGCGAAACGTGGTACGGGGTCCAGCGGTGGCACCACTCTTCTGGGTTTCTCCTTCTCGTCGAAACAGTTTTTTTCCCTATCATCAAAGATTCTCAGCAAAGCCTCGATTTACTGCAATGTCTCTTGCTTCATCTTCTTCCAATAACCGCGCTAAAAGAGGCGGGGCTGCGTCGACCCAAAACAACGTACTTACACCTCGCCGTGCTTACACGAGCATCTTCTGATTGTATGCAGGCTTGTATTGTTCCCGATCTCTTGAAAGACGACGCTCAACCTCTAGAGGCATTCAAAGAGCTCAATGAATCTGTGCGTCTGATGACTGCGACAGATTCAACGTCCTGGGGCTGTTTCCAGACCAGTGGTTCCCAACCTTGCTAATGATCTCCTTTAGCTTTCGTCAATTAAAAGGAAAGTCGACGTAAGGCTAACTCAAAACCATACTCTCGTGTGTTTGACTTAGCTCTTTGGGCAGCATATCATCCGAGAAAGCACACTCGCTTCATTCCAGGCCACAAACTGCTTTGCCACTATTCCTAACGCAGAAGAAACCGCCGACATCCGTCGTGCTATATCCAGTGCCTCTCTAATGAGACAGGAACTCGGCGATGTGATAGCTGCGCTGGGCTATCTTCAGAAGTCGCTTGGTATCTTCTCCGACACCTACAAGAGATCGATCTCCGCTGTTGGCCGTCTACCCGCGGAAATTCTAACGGATATCTTTCTGCTATCGCGCACTCAGTACCTCGGTATTGAGCATTCCGCACACAAAACCGCTCGAAATATTGTCCACGCCTCCTTCAACGTAGCGCAGATCTGCAAACACTGGCGAAACATAGCTCTGAACACTCCAAGGCTGTGGAACACTATCCATCTCATCGGGGCGAAGGACATCGCCACCGAGCGGCTATATGCGCAGCTGGAGATCCTCTCAAGGACGGCCTCTGTGTCGCCATACCTGGTAATCGGCCTTCCTGCAGCACATGTCCGCTTTCTACAGCGGTGCGATAACAAGGAGCTTCTACGGACGTTCCAGAAGAAATGCAAAGGGTTAGACGTCTACACCGTCCAAGAGAACAAGAACCATCCTAATCATATCGCTGACTATGCCAGTATATGGCCTGTGCTGATTGGCTTCAAACAACTTGAAAAACTGACACTTTCTGACGTCCTTCTCTCTGAACCTGCGATCGAACACACTACGTGGGTGAACTTGACCCACCTTCATCTGCAAACAAAAGGAGGTCCAATTACTAGCGCATTCTTCGGCATGTCTCCCATGCCTGACCTGAGGGTTCTCATTCTCCACTTAGTCGGAGAAATCCGTCTGGACCTTGATTTCTACCCCAACCTCACGGACTTGTACTTCAGCGGCTCGATCAAAGCCGACCCTTTCTACCACGAAAAACTCGAACGTCTGCTCATTTCTGACGACAAAGCCCTAGGAAGCTTTCTAGAAGCGGCGACTCTTCCCTCTCTCAAGGAACTTGGGACATACATCAACGACATAACAGAAGCGCCCCTGACTGAATTCTTACTCCGGTCGACAGTCCCGCTCAGGCGACTTACGTGTATCAACATATTATTTCGCTTCCCGAAACTGGTGACTCACCAAGCTGAGCCCATGGCCCTCGGAAACCAGATTGGCAAAACGTTCTCTGTCCCTCTAGTGGAATACTACGGTTCCTGGCTCAATACGCAGATGATGCTTGATTTGAAAACTAGATGGTATGCGCAGAGCTGATGTCTCATATGATATGATACACACAAAGTAGTAGTAGTGACAGTCGTACGGAACCCAACAAAAATGCTCGCTATACCGTTATATAATAGCATAGCTGCCAATTAGGAAACGGCAACACATGAACAGAATCCATTGGGTGGCCCGGGGGCCTGCTTGAGCTCTCGGGGTCTTGGCTGACTTTCGATCGTCGCGTCGCGTCGCGCCTTTGGAATTGAAACGTGCACGACCGTTAATGTGAACTATGGCCGCGTCAGCCCCCGGTCTCAAGGCCAGGTCTGCCATGAACGGCGTAAGTCTACGCATCCGTACGATGCATTTACTGGAGTGCCTCTCATCTCACGATTTGTAGGCTTCCGAGCTTCCCCCGTCATCCAATGAGAATGGGATGCCTTCGAAGTCACTACAAGAGCTTGCTAACGTTGTAAGTGGAATTAACAAGCATACGAGCTAAGTCATGGTTTTTTCTAACTAAGGTCATGCATTGCTACCCCTTGTGCGTAGCTTGTGCAGGTCGGAGGCAAGGTCAACGTGCGAGCTTTTGACTTCCCGTCTGCACAGACTCTCACTTCCGCATTGTCGCCAGGATATAATCAAGTCCAACACGCTGGCATCGTTCGAACAAACCAACCACAGCGCGTTCACCTCAGAGGAAAACGCTGAGGCGCTTCGTTTCCTGTCAGAGGCATCACCCGTGATAGACGAACTCAATCATGCCATCACGACATTGACCAAACTCAAGAAAGACCTGGAACCATCCGTACACTCCTGCAAACGATTCGTGTCGGCTGTTGGACGCCTCCCCGTAGAAATCCTAGCCAGTATATTCGACCTGGCACGACCCTGCTACCTAGGTCACCAAAAACCTTCCTTTGGCAGTCAATACGGATCTTATACAAGCATTCGCCAGGGTTTCCAGATCTCGTTCAATGTAGCGCACGTTTGCAGACGATGGCGGACCATTGCTTTGAACTTGCCCCGGCTGTGGAACACAATACACTTCTCAGCATCACGAGACGCCCTTTCAAAAGGGATACAAGGCCAGCTCGAGATGCTATCACGTACTGCATCTCTCCCTGCATTCCTCGTCGTTGGATTCCCCGCAGGCAAACAAACGGAGAATTTCATGCGAAAGTGCAAGAGAGGGTACTTGGTAGACTTCGAGAAAAAGTGCAAGGGACTAGATATATACCCCGTTTCGTCCATCAGATCACACTACGGCGAACTTCAGTACGGCCAAGCATCGGAGTGGGTCAACAGTCGTTTTCAGTCCTTGGAAAGACTTGCACTCTTCGAAGTCTCTTTCGACACCAACTATCTGTCTTTACGCGCTCAGCTACCCAACTTGACGCACCTTCATATCCGATCAAAGAGCGGCCGAGAGACTCAACACTTCCTTCGCTTGGCCTGCCTACCTAACTTGACAGTCCTAGTTCTCAACTTGAACGACGGTAAAGATGAAGTGGATCCAGGACAATTCCTCAAATGTTACCCCAAACTCACTGATTTTGTCCTTTACGGTTCAGTATCAGACGGGACTACACACTTCTCCCATGACCAACTTAGACGCTTCTCCGTGCTATGTTCTTGGACCGGCTTTTACATATCGGCCGCAAACGTTCAAACAACGTCGGCCAGGACCACGAAACTTCTAACGCTGGCTACCTTCCCTTCCCTTACCGGGCTTACGATGCCCTTATGGGAAAATGTGGAGGGGTGCCTCATGCAGTTCGTGCGTCGCTCAAAATGCCGCCTGACTCATCTTTGCTTTGTCAATACCACTTTTTGTCGCCACAGATATGCTTCTTCTCCCTCCAAACATGCCGAAAACCTATCTCAGATAGACCGCTACAAAGCAATTGGAAATGAAATTGGCGAGAAGCTTGGAGTTCCGGCTGTGGAATATGATTGGTTATTTCAAGGTACACGTATGATACAAGAGCTCAGAACTAGCTGGTACGAACGGGATTGCACTGCGGAGGGCTATTACTGGTGAATTACATCGGTAGTGGATACGCCTGGCTTGCACAACTACTGTATATATCATAGACACCAGAATCATTTTATTGAGGTACGTTGCTTAATACATGCTAATATACGGACTGTCGACGCCTTCATCTCCAGTGTGACTTGGTTTATTTAACTGTTAACCTAAACAAAGTCCAGGACGCAAAGCATGCGTTGTTCTCCTGTATCATCTTCAGGTGACTGGTACGTATACGCTAGCCTTCCCGACCACGGCTCGCTCTCAAGCGATTCTAACACAATATCCGGATTGCGGAAGTGATCCTGGATACCCATTTTTGCACCAAACGTCTCTGGAGTCGACACCATGCTAGCCGTTTGCGTTTCGTCGTCGTACATCACCTGGGAAACACCAAACACAGATTGAAGGTCACAATAAGCGATTCGCGTGGAGCCATTCCACGCTGGGGTGAGGATGAGATTCATGGTCTTGTCAAAACGCTTGAGCGTCTGGATCGACAGCGAGAGAGTACCACAGTCGCCGTCTGATACCGGTCCGCCTTCAGACGGGATAGACAGTCGAGCAACTATGACCGTACTCTGGTGTGGGTGCACCGGCTCGTACTGTGTGCCAATAATGACAATGTCTGTGTTTCCTGTTTCACGATCGACGACCGAGTCGCGCAGAATGGTGGCGAAGAGGAGACATCTGTTTTCAATGGTCATTGAGGCACTAACGCGACCGTTCCCCACGAAGACAGACGAAAGAGGCCTGGCGTATATGCGCATGGCGTGTGGTACCGAGGTGCTGTGAATGGCCACTAGATGCGTTTTACTGGCAAAGCATTGTCCTGTAAACGGTTCGTCCTTTACGTTTGTCATAAAAAACGTAGGAGCGAGAGTACGAGGGCCAATTACGCACAAGAGAGGGGATGCAGACAGGTTTTTCATCCAGCGCGCGAACATCCCATACGAACGTATCTCCCCGTTCAGTCCTGACATGCACAACAAGCGCTGTTGGGCTGAGGTGTGAAAACACATCTGAGTCTGCGCTTTGCGTGAAGGTTTCATCGTACACTTTTCGAAAGCGGAGCCCCAGTTCAGAACCATCATCCTGATGGACTTGTAGTACGATACTTGGAGTTGATGGGTTTCTGACATGTTTAGAGGCCTGAAGGGACACTCACATCCGCCTCTTGTAAAAGGTTTCTCGCAGAGCCATCACGATTACAGTCCGTTTTTGGCCATCGTAATCCGTAACTTCTAGACAGTCCACCGAGCGTACCCTGAAGTGTACCGCCTCAGGCTCTGCATCCCTGTCCACCTCCCAGATAACTAGTCGGCGGGATTCTGCATAAGGTTCGAGCTTTGATGTGTCGAGATCGAGACAGACGACACGGTCCCAGCGACGCGTGACCTCAAAGGTTACCGCCCACCTCCTGCAGAGTCGAGCTGAAAAGGTGTAGGTCACTAGGCTGAGTATCTTAGCGGCGGTCGGCTCGCCGTTGATAAACATAGCATCGTGAACAGACGATGTACGTGTGAGAATTGTCTCGAGAGTTTTACGAGACTGCGAGGGAAAGGGACCGAGTGGACGCGGATGGGAACAGGTCCTATAGAGCGCATCCCAGACGGCCCGTTCCAAGCTCACGTCATAAAGGGTTTTACAAGTCTACTCGTAAGTTCCGGTTAGCAAGGAATGTGAAGCACCAAGATTGTAGGATGACCATGCCTGTCTAATGCGCAATACATCTTGTACGTCAAGCCAGCCCATGACCTTGATAAGAACGTCAAACGGGAGCCTGATCAGGCTCAAGGTCATGATAGGAAGCAGAAATCTGCAAAGATGTCTGGATACAATGTCAAGAGCCCAACCGGGTCTAGTTCAACGCGATGGTGCGGGTCTGAATTGGCTAAGTATGTATCCTGGGCAGACGCGAAAGGTCTGTCCGCATGGTCCCAGAAGTTGAAGGAGTCAGGGTATCTATAGACGCAAAACTCGCACACACAGTGCAACCAATCGGGGTTATACTCGGACCTACTAGCATATAAGTAAACTGAGATTGTTGGGAATTTGTTCGACAAACCTTGGGTCCTTCGTTTCAAACTAGCACGCCAAAAGCGAGATGTCCTTGAAAACGAGCAGCTCGTCGGGTAAAACCAACGCCGATTGAGATGCTAAACATGCGATGTCCTTGTCGCCCACAACTTGGGCATGGCAGCTACCGCTAACAAGTCTGTGCTTACGGGGTCTCGGCGACTCACCATGGTGCAGCCCGTACAAGTGCACGGGGTCTACAACAATTATAAGTTCCGCGACGCGTTACTGCACGCGTCGTCGCGTTCGCGTTTTCCACAGTCCCACCGCTCCCCCTGTCCTTCAGAGTTTCTTCCTTCGCAAACCTCAGAGAACAACACTTCCTTACTCTGTGAGACCCTTCTGGACCTGTGCTATTTGGAACATATCTTCAACTGGCTGCCTGAAGCGCTCAATATGGTCCGTCGAGTCCAGGCTCAAGCGAAAGCGTCCAAGAACAGTGGCAAACACCCCAACGCCGTAATCCCGCTGCCGTTACTCGTGGTACAATATCTGAGTAGCACCGATCAGATTACGTTAGATTCATGCTGCTTAGATGAGGGCGGTGGACCATACAGGGCTCTTACAGAACTTACTGCTACTGTGAGTACTTTTCTGACAGTTTGACTACTGTGGGATGCGTCTGACTGACTACACATTGCATTACCCTAGGTACGCTCCGTCGAGGACAAGGTCAATGTACGAGTATTCATAATTCATCTTTTCGGAATATCATTGACCCAAGTATGCTGTTAGTGTGCCATGAAAGCAAATACGCTCGCTCCGTTCGCAGGCACTAATCACAGTGTCATCTCACCCCAAGAAAGAGAAGAAATCCACCGCCGCATAGCTAACTCATCACTTCTAAGCCATGAACTCGACCACGCGATTTATCGCCTACAAAGTCTCCGGAACAATCTTCACCTCTCCACTAAGGGATGCAAGAGACTTTTATCGGCCGTCGGCCGTCTCCCTGCGGAAATCCTGTCCTGCATATTTCTCTTAATTCGCCCCCAGTATCTTGGTATTACAAAGGCCCATCAAAAGTCAATCGTCAAGAACTTGAGGACATCCTTCAACCCTGCACAAGTTTGCAGGCACTGGCGGACCGTCGCGCTGAATACTCCCCGACTTTGGAACGTTACCCACCTCAAAGGGATAAAGGATGTCGATGAGAACAAGATATGCGAGCAACTTGAGATTTTGTCAAGGACAGGGCCTATCCCACCCTATCTCGTTGTCAGGTTCTCTCAAGAGTATGAGGATTTCTTACGGAGATGTCAAAGCCATCATGTTCTATCAGCCTTTCAACAGAAATGTACGGGGCTAGACGTATACGTAAAGGATATCTTGATGAGTAGACCTCCTAACGCACCGATCGACCTCTGGCTCTGGCTCCAGCAATTCAGCAGACTGCAATCCTTGGCACTCTTGAATATCCATTTCCCTTCATCTCCCCCGCCTTCGCGCATCAGATGGGACAACTTGACGCATCTCCAGCTGCATCTGAACACTACGGGACACCTTGATAGGTTTCTCAGCGGAGTTGATGTCCCGAAGCTGAGGGTCCTTGTTGTCAAAATCCCTCGTCACATGATACTAAACGTCAGATCAGTCATCCTGAGGTACCCTGAGCTCACAACCTTGTTCCTACGCTGCTCGGTGCCTGACGAATATGATCCGTTCATCCATCCGCACCTACAGCGTGTGGCCTTCTACTCAAGTGCTAGATATACTCACAAGTTCTTGATCTCGGCGAACCTCCCTTCCATCACAGAGCTTGCAATATCCGTTCATGACCAGACAGAAAAACGTCTAACAGATTTCGCTTTACGCTCGCAATGCCATATCAAACGTCTCACATTCCTGAACCGACGATTTGACAAAGGCCATCATGAGCGATCAGGTCCTAAAACAAAACGCCTTAGAGAAATGGGTAACACCATTGCCGAAAGGTTATCAGTCCCAAAGGTTGAATTCAACAAGAGCTGGGGAAGTTCGCAAATGATGCGCGAGCTCAAGTGGCGTTGGTATCAACAACCAAGTGCACCGGGACATCTTGTGCATGCGGAAGAAGATCCAAGATCTCAAAGGCCCTGGCGTACAACGGTGGATGAACATGTTTTCGACTCCGAGGATTCGGGTTCCAACAATTCAGACACTAGCGAAAATTGGTCAAACTCCAGTGAAAGTGATTCGGACTCCAGGGGAAGCGAGTCGGACTGATGACGATATTCAACTTCCCTCTCGGAGTGTAGCCTCATAGTTATGTTGACCGCATCAGCTCTAAGTTGTACTTTGTAACAATGCTGCGTCATGCACTAACTTGTAAGGGCTTTCCCTCAGATATCGTGTTTGTTGGGACTGTGCCGTTTGAATTTGAGTACCTACAATGGTTCGAATGGCACTTAATATTGCCGCTTAAATTCAGTAGCAGGGTCCATCAGGGAGTGATAAAGGTTGCTGTGGCTGCATGCGTTGACAATGAGGCCGTAGCACGAGCATGTGCGTAGGCAAAGGATAGCATAGTACTTTTGGTGCGTGCAGCTGCAGACAAAAGAGCATCCAGGCCCCATGGTGCTATACGAGATCCAAAAGGCAATGCATACGCTGTTCACCTCGCAAACCATCCTCGTTTCGCCCGGATCCTTCGCCTACATAAACATACGATATCATCCCCAGACACCGTTGGGCTCAAAGGCGAGTACACGGAGGAAAAGGGGCCCTCGAATCAGCGCTCAAGAGTTAGATCATAGACATGCTTTGAAGTCTACTCCGAGAGCATTTTTGTCAAGCAATAGCGGGATGAGAGATGATGCGAGCACTCACCCGCCGCACACAAGGCACGTCTCGAACATCCGGGTGTTCATCAATTTTGAGGAAAACGTCAAAAAGTTCGCTCGGATTGATGGGCATGATAGCGAAGTCATAATGGCCAAGATGGGTGCATCGCAAGGACGCATGCGAATTCATTCTCGCTGTCCTAAGTTTGGACATTGAATAAATGGATTGAAACTGATTGAACGACAGACGCGTGAACAGCAAACGTCGATTGGTGAAAGTGTTGGAAACTCCGGCTCAGGGGCTAATTGTGAACAACACTAGGTCAGTCAAATCGTGGCCCAACCTTATTGCAACATCGCCTAAACGCTAATATTGTAGGTATATGATACGATTCGAGAGCAAGTGGGGAGAGAGGATCGAAAACGAGCTGAAAAGGGGGGAAATAAGGACAGGCCCTCCAACTTAGACTAGACATGGACTACATCGCACTCTGCATCATTCCATCACGAAAAACCCGTGACTATTGTGACATGTTGTAGTGTGTAACATACTTTATAATGTCGGCTTGTTTGCGGGAGCTTTTTATGAGGCAATAAAACCGCTAGCGTACCAATGCAATGCAGATATAAAGAAAGTAGCTTGTTTTGGGCGTTGCAAGAGTGTAGAAATGCGCGGTATCATGGTTACAAATCGTTGTATAGTATCCTCGAGTCATTTGCAGAAAATAACCTGAATTCAGTACGAATATGACAAGTCTTCGTCCTCGTCTCCATCCTCGTCACTATCTACATCCTCTCCATCTTCTGCAACCTCATTATTGTTTCCTGTCCAATCGTTACGAGCCTCTTCCACTTCGACCAGGTCCTGTGAAGGCGAGCTCACCGTGATGTCTCCATCCTCATCTAAGCTGACAAACTCATCCGTTTCGTGCAGGAAATCTGGATGATTCAAATGGCCTACCCCCCATCCAAGGTAACGCATCATCACATCTCTGTCTACGAACCTGCGCAAGTGCAAAAACAGCAAAGAGATAGGGCGCAATGGTAGGCATCGGGCCGTACTTGATTGCGAAATGAGCTTGAGAGAGACCACGCCCAGGCGTTATGCATCGACGTCATAGCCGGCTCCACCTCCGAGACTAATGCACAGGAAGCTGCCTTTATTAGCAGTGCGCGACGCGATTCAATACGACGCATCGAGTCATCAATGGATTCCAGAGAACAAACTTGTTGGTAAGCATCGAGTCATTTGCAGCGTGGTGGCACTTTACCTCATATGTTTTCTCCGATTTTGAATAGTACACCACGAGCGGTGATGGCGCGCGCCGACCGACTCCACCTATGCTACACCTTTAAACCACGCTAAAGGTGCGTCTGCTTGCTCACCATCATGATGTCTTTCACCCGCGCACCCCCGGTCTGTATCTCCCTCTGCTTGTAAACCTCGTATTGTCGCAAACAGCGCAAGAGGTCTGGACTCGGCGCTCGTCAACATGAAGATTGTGTCGCTACTTCCCTGGACAATCCACCTTGACGCCGTCGCCATCTCTCGTCCTCACCAGACCCTCCATTTGTTACGTAGCTACACTCGTAAGTCTTGTTTCGATGTTTTGTGGGTGTTGTACTCACTGTACTTCACAGGTACGGTTCTCTTGAGCTTGAGTACATTCATTGCTGGTGATACAAAGGATCCAGGACAATTCTCTCACCGCCAGTTTTATCATGAGCTCGTCGGATCTGGTAAGTCTCTCGTGAATAATAAGATGGATGAATCACTTGTATGGTGAAACGAGTACGTCAAGTCTCCTTCCGTACTTTTGATGCTACAAGCTAACTTTTCACCGGGTTTGTTTTCAGACAAATATTCCTTTGCAGCTCCTCTTCGGATCAAGATGCCAAGCCGGATACATCAGCTGGGATACCCCAGAAACAAGCGCAAGAACAGTGAGCGAGGCTTCAGCGCTTCAGCAGAGCTCAGAGAGGGGCAAGCGCGATCAGAACACGGAGGGCTGAGGAGTTCACAGTGTAGTTTAGTAGTATTTGTGCAGGCCTCGTTCAAAGTCATTGAATACGGATTGTTGTTTATTCTGTCTATTGCAAATGGTCTGAGTGACGAGCAGCTTCCTTCAGTGTATAATCTCAGTATAGCGTATTGTGCACTCGCAGCAGGGTAGCTGTACCAAAGTTACAACTATCGTATAATGAAACTACGACGAAGCTACTTTGCGCCGTAATGCTGTAATACCCATGGTATAATATACATACAACTCTCTAGTAACGTGTTTCGAAAGCATCTGTACCAGTGCCATAGATTGGTAATAGCGCCACTCTAGATCATTTATCACTTCCTTATCGACCGTGTTTCACTGTTTTGACACGATGTGAGAATTTTAGGGCACTACACATACTCGATTAAGAATTGTAAACACTAGAGTGCGCTACTGTGTGTGTATAATCTTCCCCAGAAATTCGTGATGTCATTAATTCATTGTCTGACACCTCTCTCGCATCGAACCTGCCTGTTGACCAGCTTTGACCGATATAGACAGCCCGTGAGATCGGGAAGGGCAATGCAGGAAGGGCAACACATGTGAACAGCGTATGTTCGGCGATTTCCGCTATGAACAAGGCCGCGAAAACTTGACGCTATTGTACATCGACTGAGTAAGAATAATTCATGAGTAACTCCGACATCCCGTGTCTGTAGTCGGCCTGTCCATGGAACCGAAAGATCTGCGTAGGCACAGTGTGTTGGCTCCCACTGCGGACGGATTGCAGCCGTTGCTGCGAGTTCTGCGGGTGGTGGTCAAAGAGAGTCAAAGAGGCTCTGGACAGCCCTGAACGTTGACACGGATGCTGTGCGGGAGTAAACTTGAGACGGGCGCTGACGGGCGTCCCTTACTTCTGGAAGCGAGCAAGTGGGAGACATGCGCACATAGAACTCGAAGTACCAAGTCCTAAGTCCGCAACGCGTCCGGAATATTCGCTAGTATTGGTGATGTGTCTTCTAGCTGCGACGAGAACACCAAGATAGGGCCATTGCTTGCCTAGTTTAACAAACCGTCGAAGTTGGCTGCAATCTATAAAGGGAGAAGGCCGCATCGATGGGGGTATCTACGCAGCCGCAGCCGAACGGAGCAAGTCTGAAGCCGCGCCGCGAAGTGGGCTTCGAAGCGGGTGCTGTGGGTATTCTAGAGTTGCATGCTGATTTCCCCAGTGCTGTTAATAACCGTCTGAGAGAACAAGAGAGGACACACAGGAGTTGAGGGCAGAAATAAGTCGACGGCAAGACATCGGACCAGCGTGAGTTCGAGTCTGTCATGATCTGACAGGATCGCGATGAAGAAAGTCAGCTGAGCTGCTGACGAGTGATCATGTAGCAAGCACGACGAGGGGCGAGTGTCGTCGGGTGCACCGTGCAGAAAGGCGTTGATTAGTGACTAGTGACGTACCATAAATAAGAACCACGATTGTATTGCGACTCTAAGCGCCGAGCTCGGGTGCAGACGAGAAGGAGCGGTGAGAAGTCCGTTCTCTGCGGGATCATCCGCGCAATCTTGGGATACTGGTGGCTGTCAATGATTTGATCTTCAGCATCAACTGAGCTGAAGATCGGCTCATGCGCTAGCCTAGTGATTGGCCATCGAGAACGATAAGACCCTCTAAGCAGACGCGTTCGTCAGCGGGGCCGTCACGTTCACGACGCCTACACACAATCGCGGCACAAGCCAGTCGGCGGGGAAACTCACGCGTAGTCGGGTGCTATCGAGTCGGAGATGAGAGGGCTTAGTCGGTTCTCGGTCGAGGAGCCGTTCTGCGCCGCTGGGGGGGAAGTGGCAGGCGATCAAATGAGTGTTGATGCCGGTCTGGAGCAGGAAGTGGAGGTGCCAACCTAGCCTAGCAAGACTGTGAGTGTAGTGAAACATGTGCAAGGCTCTGAGAGACCTGCATGGCTGGGTCGGGGGTGGCAAGAAAGGTGACACAGTGGCGACGCCCATTGAGCACAGCCATGAACTCTGTCAATCCTTCGGAACGCGTCGATCCTTAATGCGTTAGAAATGGAGGTTTCCGTTATTGGGACAGGGTTACCGGGTCCTGAGCAAGTAAGACACTCACGATGAACCGGGGTCCGTGATGATCTTGTTCAATCGTTTGACGTGATGGTGCACGGTTACGTTCCAGTTACGTTCCTCACTATAAGGCCGTTGTTCCTGCACAGTTTCATTCCGCTCTTTTCAGCCTTCCTCCCTTTTCTTGCCATCTCTGCCTTGGCATTTCTCTCCTCCTTCCCTCCACCATCTCCCCGCAGGCTCCTCCGATAACCAGCAGCCATGCCCTCCGCCGGCGAGAACTATGCTGTCTACTCCAGCATGTATTCCCTGGCAGGCGCCGTCGTCTTTGCCATCGTATACTTCCTCCTCTTCTTCGCTTTCGTCTTCAAGGCCATTAGCCGCCCAACATACGTCCACTTTATGTTGGCATTCTTCTGCATCAGTACGTTTGTCAACTCAAAGTTAACAAAACTGCCTTCAACTGACGACATTTTCCCCAGTCCGTATATGCGCCTTTGTAATCCGTGCACTCCTCATCAAGGAAGAAAGTATCGGCGAGAACCTGAACGTCTTCATTGCATACCAAATTATCTACAATGTCGGTTTCTTCGGTATTCTCTACTCCGCATACACTCTCGTCCTCGACCGGTATGTGGCAACGCCCAAAACGATCGAGCCGCACTCTAGCTAATATCCACTACAGCATGTCTTTTGCCAAGCGCCGCCCGAACGGCCCCATCTCTATGCTGCTCTCGCGCCCCTTCCTGTTCAGGATTGCGCTGTCTGCTGGCATTGCCCTCGGTATCGCTGGCGCTTCTATAGCCGCGACCGCTACGAAGGCGTCGACGGCTAGCACCGGCTCAACGCTCCGCGAGGCCGCTGTCTACATCTTCCTTGCCCTCTCGGCGCTTGTCTTCCTCCAGACGATCTTCCTCGCCCGTGCTGAGTCATCAGGTACGCTGACCTTCACCTTCTGTCCACAGCCCATAGCATGCTTACGCGAAATCGTTCTCAGATGGCACCTACAAGCAAACCATGGATGGGTTTGGCGCCCAGAATGGCGCCTTCATTCTCGCCCTCATCTCGCTGCTCCTGGTCGCTCGCGAGGCGTTCTTCACTGCGACGATACACAACACCAGCGAGCAGAACAACGAGAAGCTCTGGTACCCGCTCTCTGCCCTGACCGAGCTCGTTGCCGTCATCCTCTTCCTCATCCCTGGCCTCGTGCCCGCACGGAAGGAGATCCGTGACAACAACTACTAAGCGAGGCGGGTACTTCCTTAGCGACGGGGTTGGATTTAGGTGCCCAGTATGGCGGATAGATGGATTGTTGGATGGACAGATGCTAGTTCGTCGGATTGGCAGATAGTACTCGAGCCCAGGCAGAGTGCTAAATGTAGGGGTGCGGTGGGAGCGCATGCGTATCATGACTCCGCACTTTTTGCGGATCTATATATCTCCTCTCTGTTTTCATTCCTTTCTTTGCCGTTTGCTGTCTATCTGTCTCTGGTCCCGGCTGTGGGCCTAGTAATGTATGTTCACGACTAATTGATATTTATGATTCGTGTCGCTTGCGAATGATACCAGATTCTTGCGTTGTCATAATCCATCCAGAGTGTGCAGCTCAATGCGGAACGAGCAGATGAAGCGTGTATTCGATCAATTCGTTAAGGCGTCAAAATGACAGGCGTCGATGTCGTTTGCACATCATTTAATATCAAAGCATCGACAGCTGTCGACCGTGGCTGCCAGTGGAGAAGGGTTCCACTCTCCAGAGTCGACTGTTCCAGGCTGGTCAGTATTATTCCCATACACCGTCATGGTCGTGGTCCTCCTTGAAGTTCGCTATGTAAGCTACTCTTTTATGAAGGCACGAATCCTGTAGATCATCCGGGCTCTCGCGCGCAGATCTCACTGGCAAGTCGCTTTGTAGAGCTACAAAATATTGCGCTAGGCATGAACTCCTTGAGGCTGAGAGTTCGGAGGAACGCGATTAACAACCAATGTGGTGGATCCCATTCAAGCGTAGCGCGAACTTAAACCGCATATACTGTATGCGACTCACAAGGTACGATCGAGCTGAACTAGGGGATGAAACGCGCTGAAGGGAGTCAGATCCGATCCGCAAGGCCTCGCTGCATTATGCAGGCGTAAGTTGGGCGCAAGTCTATGCCAGATATGATGCTTTGCACATACAAAAATCCAGGCAAACGCGACAAACATTGAATGTACGATTAAACTAAACCTTCGAAGCCGGCGTCAGGCACCTAGACAGACGGAAGAGGCAACACATATCATATGGCGCACACGTGGCCCTCAAAGCACACAGAAATACTCAACAGGTGAGCCGTAGTAGCTCCATCATCGTGTTTGGCATTACAACGTGATATACCAGGATAAAAACATAAATATGATACCCGCCCGTCCCGTTGATAGTGAGTGATAAATTACATCTCTAGCATCACCAATACACCCGTAGCGTCACCCGCGAGCGTGCCACTCGCGGCCGAGCCCTCGTGTCGTCCGGCCGGCGCGATTTACATGAAGAGCTGGCCGACGGCGGAGGCGGAGCCGTCGTCGTTGTACAGGCACGAGCCAGTGCCGGCGTAGCCGGCGCCCGCGGCGTCGTTCTGCTGGAAGAGCGAAGGCGAGCTGGCGACGAAGGGGAAGTAGAGCTGGACGTAGTCGGCGCCGTCGAGGAAGGGAATGGCCTGCTTGAAGAAGTTGACCCTGTTGCGAGAGAGCGGACGATGAGCGTTCTGAATTATGAACGACACGGAGATGAACGGCGGAAACTTACTGGTCTGCCTGGCCGCCGGCGGGGTTCTGGAGCGCGAACTCGGTGATAACGATCTGGGTGTTGGGGAACTTGCTGTTCGCGCTCTCGACGTAGCTCTGGAAGGTCGCGAAGTCCGGGCCGTACCAGTGCTATAGAGTAGACGCGTCAGTACAACCGAGAAATAAGGGAGCTCATCCTTGAAGCGCGAAGCTCACCAAGTTGATGTAGTCGTACGAGCAACCACCGTTGCACGCAGAGATCATCTGGCTGAGCCAGTCGAGACCCTGACCGGCGCTGGCGGACGACGTGACGGCGGGGAGTGCCTTCTTGATAGGGATGGCGTTGATGTTGTTGATGTACCACGTCGCGGCATCGCCGGGCGAGATCATGCCGGTGTCGGGCTCGTTGAGCGTGAAGAGCGTAGCCCAACCCTGCGCTGACTGGCGCGATGCGAGCTGCGCGATAGGCGACGAGTCACAGTCGGTGCAGCGCTGCATGCCAATGAAACCGAGGTTGCCGATGCCGTTTGAGCATGGCGGAGCGTAGGTCTCGTAGTCATAGATGGCGACGATGTTGCCGTCGCCGTTGTTCAGAACGTTCGTGTCGAGAGTGCTGTCATCTGGTGTTGGAGTCAGCGTCTGGGACAAGCGGTCAGGTCACTGGCGAAGGCTTACAGTAGGTCCAGGTGAGACCACGCTTGCCAGCCTGGGCGGCAGCGGTGAAGAGAGCGAGAGCAGCGAAAGCAGTGGATAACATTGTGAAACGGATGGCTAAAGGCTTGGTGGAGGTCCCGCTCCCTTTTTTCATGTATTTATACCACTTCCGAGGACAAAGAGGAATGTTGTAAGGCACCGTCGAGACCCGTCCATGCTACGAAACAAACCGCCAGCCTCGCAAGATGCGAAAGATGGATGTGCATTGAAGACTCCACCTTCACATGCAACGTCCAGCGAATCAGTGTAGCGAACTAAAATCCGTGATGGCCGTCACAGCTCAGCCAATGACGAGGCAAAAACAGCCTTCGATCACGGACTGCGCGCATAAGAGACCGGTGCACGAATGATATTACCGAGGAGAGTGCTGGAGAACTCTGGAGAATACAGCAACCAAGATTGAGACGCCCGCGCGAATGAATACATGTTGGTCTGGGCGGCAGAGTATCATTCGTGGCATGGTATAAGGCGCGGCGAGGTTGACGAAACATCAGGAAATGGGGTTCTCGATCAAAAACGAAGAGGTGGTCAGTTGCCTGAGAAAGGAATGTCGTGACGACGGCAACCACGGGGGACGGGGATTGAGACGGAGGCTCTACACTTGCCGACGTGGACACATACGACTGAGCGATCGCTGAAACTTAGCATCACTCCACGAGCGCGTATAAGCCATAGGGAGGGAAAAGTTACTCGGTTCCGAGGCAAAGCAGAGGTTAACATTGTCTGTCCACTTGTGCGAGTCGTCGCCCTGGACCAGACTGAACCAGGTCCTGAGCTTGACGTCGCCAGAAAGCCGGAGTCATGTCTTAGAGATGGTCCCTCTCGCCGTCGGTCCCTTGCAGATCTCCAACGAGACGACCACAGAATTCCCGCCCGTCGGCTTGTCAACGCCATGAGGTCACAGGTACACCACAGTATACCTCATGTTGAGCCTGCACCGCGCTTGCTGGCAGTCAACAAATATCAAAGACAAAAAGCAATCGCGAGTGAACAAGTGTGTATCTACGAGCCATCTTGTGACACACCTCTTGTTGACTTGCTCGTCACGGGCAGTGCTCCGAGCGGTGAGATGGGCCGATGAGAAGGACAGAAGAGCACAGCAATCGACGACGATGAGCTGGCAGAAGCAGATGGCCATCACGAACATGCCGTCATCATTCTGACGTATCTCAGTTTCCGGCCTTTGCCGGCCGTGCAGCGCCGTAGAATACGAACATACCCCTCGTTATAAACCTGCATCCTTGCTCTCAGCTGCTCATACATGCTCTATGCTATCACGGACGGTTTCCACATGCTGCTTACATACCTGGATCTGATTTGGACGGCACACTTAATACTCTTATAGACGGTCGCAGAAGTTTGGGCCGCCTGCAGCTCAATGAGACAAGGCACGACACGCACCTGGGGCTGGGGACTCTGGCTGTGACTCCTCACCACCGGACTGAGGCTCTGAGTCGGTGAATGCAGCTACACTGACTGGTAGAGATTCCGACCCATTTGAAGGCGATGATTCTCGAGGCTGCCCAAGAAGCAGATGCTCACCATACGATAGGTCTATCCAGATGCCGGTGTGTTTGAGTTAGGATCCCTCGCAAGCGCCTACTGTCTACACAATATTTGAGATGGAAGAGGTCCATGAACCTTCTGCGCGACATCCTCTAGCTCTGACACCTACCCACCAGAAGACGGTCCGAGGGCACCACGCCTGTTGTAGGAAATTCTTTCAAGTCGCTTGCTCGATACCCTTCACAATCGGAAACGCGCTCCTTGTTTGGGCATAGGGCGTGCGCGTGAATCCTTGTCTTACGATGGCGTTCAACAACTGGTCGCCCACCTCTGCCAACTTCTAGACTAATTCTTGATGTTTCCAGACTTGCTCGGCTCGGCTGTGACATCTTCAAATACATGTCTACCACCACCATCATAGTTGGTTCTGCCATGGCCGGCCTGCCACTTGTTGAAGCTCTCAGTTGTCTATTGCATCGTCACTCTCATACCACTCCGTGGCTATACAACGACCTTTGTCAATATCTCTGCCGACATGACTTCCTGGAACTCAGTAGATATACCTGCCCAGTAAGGGCGGGGTTCTGAAGCCGGCCATACAGTAGCCTCGAGATGTCCGTCCAACTACTGCTGCTTTTGACGTCTTCTCACGTTGCACAGTCATACAGCTGCGCACGGGCAGTTCGATGGAGAAATGACTTGGTTGTTCGCCCACCGCATTTTGTTTTGACCCATGATTTTGGCCAAGGATGCTCACGAACTTCCGGTCGAGCCTACCACCCCGACTTTGGCTTATGACCGAATCGGACCTGCTTGCTTCAACGGGTCGTCCTTTTGACAAGCAACGACAGCGTCTGTGGTGCACCCACGGGCTAGCGGCCTCCATTGCATCTGCCATGGCATCATTTGCCCGTTTGGCAGTTTCAATCCCTCGCATGCTTCTTTGGTCCCTTGATGATGTCGTACTTCAGACCGTCTCTTGGTCCAGATCCTTGAACGCATCTTCTCGCGTTTGCAATAGTATGAGGCTATTTAAGCTTTAGGCTTATCTTAGACACATGATGTAGACTTGGAGTCAATGTCCAACTTGAGAATAGGAAGATATTGTTCGAGAGACGAGTTCGCACGGTGCACGGCGATGTCAGAGTTGCTCACAAGATCAACACCGTGACAGCTTGCCTCGTGGCAATGGAAAGAATATGGCAAGCCCTGGAGGCAGAATCACGATGAGCGGGTTTAGACAGTCAAAAGCAGGGCCTGTGTCAATATATATGCTGCGCTCGAGCATTGTTTTCGGCCAGGAGTGGACGTCACTTCGCAAGGGGGATGTGGGGTTAGGCACGTCCAGGGTGGCGGAGGGAAATCAGTGCACGCGGCTGTGAGGCCGAACGGAATCAGTAGGCAACTCCCTTCCACACGTTGTCCACTCCTCTTTTTCCGTCTCGTCCCCTCCGATTCTGTTAGATATCTTCTTTCACTTTCATCTCCCAGTCTCCTCTTCATCTGCCCTAACCCTCGATCTACTTTATCCACCAAAAATCTAGTCAAATGTCTGGCCAGCCTCCTCACCCCATCTCACCTCCCCCGGTCCCCGTTTCGCCTCCATCGACTGGTGTGCGCCGCCATCATACTATCACAGCGACATCTCGTAGAAATGCTCGAAATGTCATATCGGAAGAGGGATCCCAGGAGCAGCAGCTTTGGCACGATGACGAGCCGGTGGACGAAGACTGGGTCGGTGGAGTGGGGGCCGTTGGAGAAAAGACGAGCCTACATAGACAAAGCTCCCTGCCGACTAAATACGCTCGAGGTACGTGAAATATGCAGCTTTTTATACCGGCCCTCCCTGAGGCGCCGTGTGTATGAGTCGATGAGCTCGGTCACGTCTGACGTACGGATCCTCGGCAGGCATCCACGGGAAGAGCGCCAGACAGCCTGGTAATCTCACGCCGAGGACTATGAATAGCCTTACAGCGATTGCTGGGCACGAAGGCGATGAGGAGGACTGGGAGAACGAAATGCGTGGATATCCGCACGAGGATGGGGTACGTTGGTCATTTCGCATATCTTAAACCATTGGCCCCTTTCGTCTCGTGGGCGGAGAAGTACCGATTCGCCACTCAATCGCTCCTGTCCCGCTATCCTTTGAGCTTTCGTCCCTTATCCTTTGACCATCTCCTCCTTACTACCTAGACTAACGTCTGGCCCATTCTTTAGCTTGACATGTCCAATGACCCTGCGCAGCATCAGCAAGTTATCGATGCGCAGGCACAATCTCAGTCCGGCAACCCTTCCCCGCTTTCGCCCCACTTTGGCGCTCCCAACGCCCCCTCACCGCCTCTCGCAGCTTCAGGGGTTCGCCGTCACCAAAGCCTAACGTATGGCGCCCAGGGCAATGCCAGACAGATGCCCGCTGCTACTGCCGCTGCCGGGTTGAGGAGAGCTGGCACTCTTCAAGCTACCGGTCGTCACCCTTCCGCGATGGGACCGACCCCTCACAGTCCAAGCCCGCCCAACGAAGAGGAGCAGTACGAGTACGAAGAGGATCTAGTGAACCCCTATGAAGACGAGTCATACTTTAACTCGCGCTCCCCTCCACCGGGCCAGCAGCAGTATCAGGGCCAGGTACAGAGCCAGGGGATGTATGCGGGCAGCCTGGGACGCTCACCTTGGAATACGCCTGGCTCAGCATTCAGCCCGGGCAGCTCGAGCAGCATCGATGACGTCCAGCGGGCGCTCTCCGCGCTAGAGTTCAACAATTCGAACCAGATCTACACGCCCAACACGCAATACGGGACCGGTAACCAGGCCTCGTACCCGCCTCGGTTCAACAACAATGGCAATGGCGGCCAGGTTCCGTCTGGCTTGCGGCCCGGTAACGGTCACCCGGCGGTCGACAATGGGCGCAAGCTACAGCTCGTGACTGATCTCGAGGGCAAGCCGGCCAGCGTACAAAGCGCCGCGCCATATGTCCCGCAGGTTGGCGGGCATCAACAGCAGCAGCAGCAGCGTGTCCCTGGCGATGGTGGTGACCACGCGCTCACGGCGGGAGGCACGAACTGGGAGCAGAAGGACAAGCTCATCGGAGGGCGGACATCGAACCCGAACCTTAACTACGGCTACAAGCAGGGCCAGCAGGGCAACATTCCGAACGTGCCGCCCATCCCTCAGCAGTACCTTAACCAGAACGTTGGTGGACAGGCGCCGCGCTTGGGTCAGCAGCAGCAGCAACAGCAGCAGACGGCATTTGGCCAACAGGCACCCTTACAGCAGACGCAGGGCGAGGGTGGCGGACAGCCGCTCTCTGGATTTATTGGCTCGCCGATTGACGTGCCTTCGCTAATTGCTGTGAAGGGATACAATCCTACGCAATTCGACACGCGTCCCGCTTTCGTATGTTTATGCCTGAATTATTTATCATGCATATATATTAACGTTACTTCCCATTAGGCGCGTTACTTTGTCATCAAATCGTACACGGAGGACGACGTGCATAAGTCCCTGAAGTATGAAATTTGGAGCTCGACCGACCCGGGCAACAAGCGTTTGGACAAGGCTTTCAAAGAGTTGGCGGGTAGAGGCCCCATATACCTGTTCTTCAGTGTCAATGCTAGGTGAGAGATTGGCACTATTGTCATCGAGCGTTGACCTAACTATCTATATAGTGGCCACTTCTGTGGGATGGCAGAGATGTTGACGCCGGTTGATTACACCCGCAGCAGCACTGTGTGGGCTTCCGACAAGTGGAAGGGTGTGTTCAAAGTGCGGTGGATTTTCGTTCGGGATATCCCCAACATGAACCTCCGGCACATTCGCTTGAAGTGAGTGCACCGCTAAATTACTGTTAGCTGTCATTTCTGACCTGAATCGATAGCAATACGCAGGAGCGCAAGCCTGTTACCAACTCCAGGGACACGCAAGAGCTCTTGCCCGAAGCCGGTCAAGAGATGCTCCGCATTTTCCACACGCACCCCGCACGGACTTCGCTGCTGCAGGACTTTGCGTTCTACGAGGTTCGTTCCACGTGACGTTAACCTTCTCATATCTAATAAAACGTCTTTTAGCTGCAAGCGATGCAGAAGGTGCAGGCTCAGCAAGGCGGCGAGTCGGTGGCTCCCAGCCAAGGACCGCCTTCTTCTCCGCCGCAACAGCAGCAGCAGCAACAGCAGGTCTTCGCCATGGGCGGCATGGGCAACCCGGCCTCTATGTACGGCGGGATGTCGCCGCAAATGAACGGCGCTATGTCCCCGGCGATGCTCCAGATGCAGATGGGCATGATGAGTCCGCAGTTTGGCATGCCGCAGAACCAGACGATGCAGCAGAGCGTCATGCGCAACACCACGAGCCCTGGACCTCCCGGTGGCCAAAGCTACATGAATGTCCCTTACTAAGAACGGACGAAGAAGTTAAGAAAGAAAGAACGAATGGACGGATGGATTCAAATAAAATGAAGCAAAGGGCGAAGAAAAATGGCGGTCACGACGTGGCCTTCGCGCCTCCCTGAGGGACGCGCGTCGTCGCAGACTCTGAAGATGACATTGACGGTATAGAATCTCGACATATTGATCTTGCAAACGCCTCCCCAACACTTCTTGCTCCAACCCCCATGCACCGTTGAATTATTAACAATGTATCACTGACAAGCCTTTCTCGCTCCCTTTTTCTCTTTCTTGCAACCCCCAGCCCTTCCCTCGCGTAACGCTTAATCGCTCCATGTCATCTATTGCTCTTGCTTCAGCTCTTATCAATCCCCTTCCTCGTTCTCCATACGTTATCGTTTCGAGACTTCGCTTTCCCCAATCCTTTGTGTAATGCAGCAGCTGCTCCGATGGCCATGGACATGGGACACTAAATGGACATGGATCTCATATGTTCAACAGATCACGCTACATTGTACTTGTTCCATCAGCACAACGTTTCACAGTCCCTGCTATAGCTCCCTCTGTAAATCCGCCTTTAGTATCGCCATTGCTCTTTGAATTTTATGGTATATATGGCAGTGCGCAAAGTGATGAACGTGGGTGGTATTGATGCAGTTTTTCAACATGTAGGCAAAGAGGTATGTGCGAGAGGGTACAACTAAGGCATCTGGTCTACTGTGTGCGCAAAAGGTCCTGGAACTGCTTTACCACAGCGTCTGCGAACGCGCGATCATTGATATGCGCATCGATCTCCTCCACTCTGCACTCAAGTCCGCCTTCCCGGATTGCGTTTAGCAAGGCTTGATCTGCCTCCGCATCATAAAACGGCCCTCCCTCCTTGTCGATCCCAGATAATCCTCGCAAGGGCAGGATAACACGGGTCTTCTCTGGCGATGCTTGACGCAGCTTTTTCACGATCGTTTCTCCGAGCGTCCTGCACTCCTCGGCTGTCGTGCGCATGAGCGTGATCGTCGGGTTGTGGTGCACGAATGTGCGGCCCTTGTCGGCGCCCTGAAATATCTCGGGAACGGTCGCCGCGGGACCGAAGTTGACCATGTCGAGTGCGCCGATGGATATGACCTGATTATACGGGATCGGGATTCAGTGAATCGATGTTAACTGTCAACTGTTTCCTTGGAAGGTGAAGGAAGTGGCGAAGACTAAACTCACCTGAGGGATCCCCGCCCGCGCAGCGGCAGTGAGCCTGTCAGGCCCTGCGGACAGTACGCCCCCAACGAGCTCGTCCGCGAGCTCGGTGGTCGTGAGGTCGATCACGCCCGCAAAGTGGCCCTCGGCGATGAGCCGCTCCATTGACTGCCCGCCGGCGCCGTTCGCGTGGAAGACGACGACGGAGTACCCGAGCTCCTCCAGCGCGGGCGTCATCATCTCCACGCAGGGCGTCGTCAGCCCAAACATCGTCACCGCAATCGCCGGCCGGCCGTCTTGCGCCCCCCGCTTCTCTACGCGCGCGGCCTGCCAGGAGGCTTCGACCATGCCCGCGATGGCGCTGGCCGCGTTCGTGAGGACGGTGCGCAAGATCGGGTTCATGCCCGCGATGTCCGCGACCGAGTACATCATCGTCACGTCCGCGCCGCCCACGTACGCCCGCGTGTCGCCCGCGGCCATCGTGCTCACGAGCATCTTCGGCGCGCCCAGGGGGAGCGCGTTTCTGAACGCCGCCGCGCACACGCTCGTGTTGCCCGATCCGCCGGCGCCAATTGCACCTGCGACCTTGCCTTCTTCGTATAGCTTCTGCAGCGTGACGCGTAGGGCATCGGACATGGCAGTCATGGCTGCTCCGCGTGTGGACATGTCGGGCGTGGAGGCGCCGAGGAGGTCTGAGCGCGAGATGTCGATTTCAGAAGAGGACGGGGGGTCGTAAAAGCCGACGTCGATGAGGATGGCATTGCATCGCCCAGAAGACTGGATGGTGCGCTTGATGAATAGCAGCGCGTCCAGCTTGGTGTCGCACGTCCCCGCGACGGCGACGGTCGGTAGCGACCCCTTATGAGAGCCGTTCGTAGGCGCCACGTTGCTCCTCCTGTGTTTGGCCGTCAAGAATGAGAGCATGGCTGACCCGAAGAGGAGACGTGAGTGGACGAGGGTGACGTCGACGAACGCACAGGGACGGTGGCACCTGCGAGCTGGATGTCAAGTTTCGTATGACGGCGGAATTAAACGAATGCGGCACGCGCGGAGCCTTTGGAGCTGTAAATGAACGCCCAGAAGACATGACGTGCGAATGAGCGTGCGTGCAGGAAGGAGTGCAGGAAGGCCTGCCCTCTACACACACGCGGAGAGCCGACGCGGGGCATGTGTGGATGTCAGGAGACATGCGTGACGTTCCATATAGGGGGTGTATTTTAGGTGCTTGGCGGGCCGAGAAGACCGCGAAGATCTGGATGATTACATAGGGCGAGTTGACGAGTCGGACTGACGCATCCTCCTTCAGCAATTGTAGGCATGGCGGAAACGTCGCGACAAGCAGCACTCAGGCGGTTAAGGGAGCACATCAACAACGGGGAGGCGATCGTTGGAGGAGGTGCTGGAGTTGGATTGAGCGCAAAGACACAAGAGGCCGGTGGGGTGGACTTGATCATCTTGTATAACTCTGGACGCTATCGGATGGCTGGGAGGGGTTCTCTTGCAGTAAGTCTCCGCAAACTTCCTTGAAGTGATGGCTGTTCCCGACAGACGTTGCAGGGGCTAATGCCGTACGGCGATGCGAACGCCATCATGCTCGACATGGCACGGGAGACATTGACGGTGGTGAAGCACACGCCGGTGCTGGCAGGTGTGTGTGGGACAGACCCGTTCCGCGACATGCGCCGGCTGTTGCAGGAGGTCAAAGATACCGGGTTCACGGGTGTGCAGAACTTCCCGACCGTCGGACTGATCGACGGCGTGTTCCGACAAAATCTGGAGGAGACGGGCATGGACTACGGCAAGGAGGTGGAGATGATCCGCATCGCGCACGAGCTGGACCTGTTGACGACGCCATACGTGTTCAATCCGGACGAGGCGACGCGGATGGCGAAGGCAGGCGCGGACGTGGTAGTCGCGCACATGGGGCTGACGACAAGTGGGACGATCGGTGCGCAGACGGCACTCACGCTGGATGACTGCGTGAAGCGGGTACAGGACATTCGGGATGCGGCGTTCGAGGTGAACAATGAGATCATCGTGCTATGCCACGGAGGGCCCATCGCGACGCCCAAGGATGCGCAGTACGTGATTGAGCGGGTCAAGGGCATCCACGGATTCTTTGGGGCCAGCTCGTTGGAGAGGCTGCCCGTCGAGGTGGCAATGAAGGAAACAACACGAGAGTTCAAGGCCATTCGTCTGGCGTCTGCCTAGTATTATGATGTTATGTTACCTCCAAGTCAGTTTATGCAATCGAGTGATGCAAATTCTGTGGGTGAATATGAGCAAAAATACAGCGCATCAAGTTACCCAGGAGATGAGTCTCAGAACAAAGACAGAAGCGTAAGATTATTATGTCGGACAATGGGGCGGGGGCAGTTCAGAGTTGAGACGCGCCTGAGCTCGCGACCTGACAACAGTCCAAAACAAGCCTATCCCTCCTTCTCCTGGTTCACTCCCCAGCAGCAGCCCAACGGCATCTCACCGACAAGGCCCCCCTCACCATGGCCCTCCTCTCAGATCGGCAGAAGGAAGAACTGTGAGCACAACTCGCCCTATCTGTACCCTCTCATAAACCATTATTTGACGGGAATTATCCAGGCACAAGTCCATGCTCGAGTACCTACACTCGAACAACTTCATCGAGGCATTCCACGCACTCAAGGAAGAGTCTGGCATAGAGTACACACCAGATCCGAAAACAAAGTATGCAGGTCTCCTCGAGAAGAAGTGGACAAGCGTTATCCGACTCCAGAAGAAGGTCCGTCTAACTCTCAATCCTTTGTCCCTCCCCGCACTCCCGCTTACATCTCACCGATGACCTCAAGATCATGGACCTCGAGAACCGCAACGCCTCGCTTCAGGAGGAACTCACTCTCGCACCATCACGTCGAGCCGCGTCCCAGTCAGACTGGATCCCCCGAGCACCCGCAGCACACGTCCTCACCGGTCATCGATCGCCCATCACGCGCGTCGCGTTCCACCCAACATACTCAGTGCTCGCATCAGCAAGCGAAGACGCAACCGTCAAGATATGGGATTGGGAGACGGGCGAGTTCGAGCGGACACTCAAAGGGCATACACGCGCTGTTCTTGATGTTGATTTCGATTCAAAGGGGCTGCTGCTTGGTGCGTAGTGGTATTGTCGTGTATATGCTGGAGCTGATGCGATAACGCCTTCCTTTCTAGTTTCGTGCTCGTCAGACCTCTTCATCAAGATCTGGGACACCCAGAACGAGTGGAAGAATACCAAGACGTTCGCTGGCCACGATCACTCGATATCATCTGTCCGCTTTGTGCCCGGAGATCAGTTCATCGTCAGCGCAAGTCGAGATAGAACCATCAGGATGTTCGATGTTGCCTCGACGTGAGTTCAATTGTGTTCTCCCTCAAAGGTCGTAGATCGGCGTAGCGCAGAATGTGCTGACGCGATCGCAGGCACCTTGTGCGGACGATCACGGGCCACTTGGACTGGGTGCGGTGTGTAATTCCCTCCGAGGACGGAAAACTGTTGGCCAGCTCGTCTAACGACCAGGTGCGTTTTTGATCTCGCCTTATATATGCCGTTGCCCGTTGTTACTAACTGCTTTCACAGACAGCACGAATATGGGATGCGTCAAACGGAGAGTATAAGATGGAGCTCAGAGGGCACGAGAACGTTGTCGAGGTCGTCGCATTTGCTCCCATAGCAGCATATGGTGCCATAAGAGAACTCGCGGGCCTTCCGGTACGCATCGCATATCGCCGTCGCGCATTGTTGATTAGATTCCCTCATCACGTGCTCTTAGACCAATGACCGGACAAAACGGCCAGGCTCGTTTGTCGCTACCGGTGCAAGAGACAAGACGATTAAGCTTTGGGACACGCAAACAGGCCAGATCCTCAAGAATCTCGTCAGTTCATGCATCTCATCAGAGCAAAAATATAACGCTTATAGTTTGTTCCGCATATATGTAGCCTGGTCATGACAACTGGGTACGCGCGCTCGCCTTCCACCCCTCGGGAAAATACCTGCTCTCGGCATCAGACGACAAGACAATCCGGGTGTGGGAGCTCCAAACGGGGCGATGCATGAAGACCGTCGACGCGCACGGTCACTTTGTCACCTCGCTCGCGTGGGGGCGGCAGCTCGTCTCCGCAGGGCGGACCACCAACGGCACTGGTGGTGTCCCCGATCCATCAAAGTCGGGAGACGCCGAGAAGCTCGTTAACGTCATTGCGACGGGGAGCGTCGACCAGACCGTCAAGGTCTGGCTGCCATGATCTCCATTCCCGTCCATGAACGACGGGGATGATGAGCGGTCCTTGGACCGGGCGCAGGCAGATAGAGTAGATGTGTGCGCGGAGCGCGCTGCAAGGATGCGCTTCGCGGCGATGTTCGTTTTTCGACGATGGGCCTTAGCTTAGGGGGAACGCGCGTTGCCCGGATATAGTGGGCAGCATAGACTGTTGGGAGTTTTTATTTGCTCGTTTCGCTCGCTCTACAGTGCGTTCATCCTTCTCGTTCTTCATCCTCTTTGCTGATGAGTCTGCGTCTCCGTTGCGGGGACTTAGGTGGACCATTGAGAATCATTCATCCGACATTGTTTCAGCAATCCAATCAGACAAACCATTGACATTCGTTATGACAGTGCCCAGGGTGCACACCAAACCAACCAATAGTACAATCCTTCATCCTTTTTTCTTTTCCTTCCGACACTCTTTCATCTTCTTTCTCTCCTCTCCTCTACTCGCTCTGTGTACTTTATTCGCTCTAATATCATAGCTGCGCATACCCTGATTACTAGTTTGTTATCGCATCGAGATATATCGTATTTCTGGTCGTAACTTGAAGGCATTGCACATGGCTTAGTTGGACAATTCTTATCTTGAGCATGCAATACTCTTTTCTATGATGAAAGCGAAGGTATGAGCTGCGCCAAGAGCTGCAATGTTGCAATTCTGCAAAGTGCTGTAACTTGATCGTATGTGCCCATAATAAGATTAGATGCGGGGTATGCGACGATAGGGGCCTATTACACCAACAATGGCTTTCTTTGATTCTCTCCACCGTCTCAGTCGGGCACCTTGCTCTGGAGAGCTTGCTGGACGCCATGTCGCCAATACTGACGTTCGATAGCCTACCACTAGACGTTCTCATCAAGATCGCCGAACACCTCGACGTCCAGGACCTTGTTCGACTACGTCAGGTTAGCATTCATTATCGTCGACGACGCGTCGCACGCCGCGCATGTTATTTGCTGATTGACTTAATAGACGTCCAAAACTCTGTTCAGCATAAGCTATGAACGATCGCCATGGTCTCAGGTGTATAGCTCATCACACTTGCCACGCCCACCCGGCCCGCACCCTGCCCAGTCGCGGAAGGCACTGGAGACTATCCTCTCTCGGTCGATGCTGGTCCACAGAAACATGTTTCTCAAGAACGAACCGTCCTGGACACTCGCGTACGATGCCAGCACCAGCTCCTCCGGTGATCCTACGTCTGTGGTGATGCTCGCGGACAGATGGGTGGTCGTCCAGTTCCGCAGGCAGACTGTGTGCGTTGAGGTGGACCCTGCGAACGTCCGGGAACAGCTGCCTCGACGTGTAGTGTGGGAGGTCGACGACAGCAGGGAGGAGAATAACCTGGATTTGCTGAATTGTCGGACGTTTTACGCCTACGACGGGCAGATGCGCGCGTTTCTCGTCCTCGAGCAGTGCGCGAACGAGCGAGAGGTCGATGAACCGGAGGTGTAAGCTTCGCATGTCGATCTTCTGTGCGCGGACGGGACTGTTGACATGCTGCGCAGAATCGTGCTCCAGGTTCATTTCGACGAGGACTGTCAGTGGCCGCGCTTCGAAGCTACCTACCGTACGCACAGTCGCGCCGGGCAAGGCTCTCTTTCCGCCACTGTGACAGTCAGCCCTCATGTGCTCGTCGTGCATATGATTAAGAACAGAGCGGCGCTGGTATGGGATGTTCTGAAGGCTCACGGGCAGCCCGTTACAGTCAAGGACGATGCATTCGGGTCGGAGGTACGTATACGACGTCTTGAATCATCCACGTCTCGCTGATCAATTGCTGTAGCACGTATACCATCTTCCTTGCAGGACTCACTTTCTCACTGTGGTCTTGAGCACGGCTTCCGTGGAGCCTCTCGTGCAATTAGTCGCAACGCCTCTCTCCGATACACTCTCCGGCACAAGGCGCATAACTGCGACAGGGAACATTGAGGGCTTCTGGCTCAGCGAGGTCGTCCTCTTGCGAGACTCCGTCGTGGATCCAGGTTCCGGTGTCACCGATGTGATTCTTCTGGGCCGACGATACAGCTACGACACGGACCGCCCGTTGATGCTATTCCGATTGCTTATACCTCCTCACAGCGCCGCGGGGGGCGCTCCCGCTGAGATGATCATACAGACGCAGACGGTGGCGCCTCTGCCAGCCTTGGCCACGGATATCCTGATAGACTCGTGCACCGGGAGCACGCGCGTGGCATATGCGATTCAGGGCGTGTCAGAGGAGGAGAATGCGCTGGGCTTGGTGGAGGTGGTGTACGACGAGGAGAAGCGGAGCGCGACCGCTGTGTGTGCACCGAGCGTTGGGCTGGAGAGTGGTGTGAAGGACGATTTCGCTTGTAGAGGGGGGGTGCTCTGTTCTTTTGAGGACCAGCCGTGGTCAGGAAGGATATGCTACATTTTTCGAGGCGGTGATGAAGGCAAGCGTATGATTCGTATTTTGGATTTTGCCCAAGTCGACGCTGCAATGAGAATGGGCTGATTTGGCAGAAGGTCCTTTCATTGGCAAAGCGTGAGTCGGGACTTGTGTGAGTACTTCAAGTTGATGTATAGGTTAACGTTGGTGCGAAATATCGCGTTGGTAAATAACCCCTGAGTAATATGTTTTGCCAGCGTGGCGCCTCGTGTGTGGCTTCTTGCACCCATCCTTGTTAGACTCGGATCTTCAAGCTTCAAGCGTGAGTGACGCTTCCGCGCTTGCTTTACACAAACCAATATCCAACATTCAGCCTTGGGGTAACCTCATAGTTTGTGATGGCGTCTGCTGGACAACGTGTCCCCGTCCTCTCCGTTCCCCCAGAAATCCTCACGCGAATCTTCGAAGAAACTGTCGAACAAGCACACGCTCAGGATGGACAAGGAGGTTGGCCCTATCACCCCTGCCAACAGCAGTGTATCATGGACTGGATTCCCATAACTCGCGTCTGTTCCCAATGGCGCACCATCGCCATAGCACACAAGAGGCTCTGGAGTCATATCCTGTTTTTCGATGTAGAGTACGCAAAGCTCATGCTTGCTCGCGCCGGCTCGGTTCCCCTCACCGTCACTCTTTACCTCGATCACACACGTTTTGACTACGACGACCTTCGTAACCTATCAAATCTCCTCAAACAAAACTTACACAGGGTGAAGGACCTGCATCTAGAGGGACCAAACAGAGATCCCGGCGAAGACTTGACGCGGCAGTTCCGCGAGAACCTGCAACAAGGCGATAGCTTAGGCAACAGGGTCAAACTGCAGACCCTGACCCTCGTCTTAAGCGGCTCATGGAGGCGTGCTCTGGCTAACCCTCACAGCATCAAAAAACTGTTCATGAAGTTAGCCAACCCGACTTTGGAGAAACGGGAAGATGCACTCCTGTTTGAAGGCATGGATCAGCTGGAAGAGCTGGTTATAGAACGCTCTTTCTCGATGGCGGACGGGATAAAGGGTCGTAAAATTTACCTACCGCAACTCTCGCGTCTGCATCTCGATGATGGGATGATGTCATGCCTTGAATTCCTCACTGAGCTCCAGAAACCCCGCCCACTTCTTTACTTCGGTCTCAAGACAGGGTCGTGCGATGTCAAGAGCGACCTCCCCTCACTTAACAGGCTTGTCAAGCTCTCCACTCCCAGTGGCGAAGTTAATCTTAACAATCTTTCTGGCCACCACTGTGCCCTACGTGTTGGTACTCCGGCGGAGCATCGATTTTCGAGAGGTGGAACGCGATTCTCGCTCACTGCGTGGCGGAAGGAAACGGCAACTGCATCACAGGTGGTGGGATTTGCCCACCAGGACAAGATCCCCCCGCTTCCTGACATTTTCACCTTTGAGGACGATGAAGACTCGGACGACTACGGGGGATACGGACTGCCGCCCAACCGCAATGGCATGCCATGGTTCCGAAGCACGGATCCGGCTTTGTACCTTGCTGGCGATCTTCGAGGTGGAGTAGGGTCACGCGTGAGCCACCGTGTTGACGGTTTGATGCTTCTATCCAAGGCATTCATGCTCCGTAACGTCGTATTTGCCGACGTCAACGCAACCTTTGGAGAAGAGGACGCCGTTCCCGAGGAGGGTCTGCTCGCATTCTTGCAGGCCATGCCCTCTCTGCAAGTTCTCCAGCTGCGAGGCCTGTCACCACGTCACTTCCTTACGCTGATGCCTCGAGACGTGTCTAAATCCCGGATAGTTCCAGTTCCAGAGCTGAGAGAACTCTGGATAATTGATACGAGCTTCTTCCCAGACGAGGACGACTATGACAGCGAGTCTGACCAACAGACGGACTCTGACGAGTCGCAGGACACGCTAGCGGATTGTCTCGCTGCGCGAGCAGCCCTTGGGAGCCGGCTGGAGAAACTCGTTCTCGAGGACTGCGAGGATATGCAGCGCCAGGAATGGGCGTCTCTCCATGAGCTGGGTATCTCCATTGAAGTGTTTGGTAATTATCCCGTGTGCCAGGACTTGGACGACGTCTGAGGGTCTCTACGTTGTGAATTGCCCTTGGCTGCGCAGTTTCTTTCCTCGCTCACCTATATGAGCTTCCTCCGCTTTCTTCCCTGCTCATTTATTTTTTACGAGAATTATCCATTAAGCTTCAACGTTCAACGTTACTTAATACATTTGCTACTGCTGCGACGCAGTTAACAAATAGCCCCTGAGTATGCTGTGTCGCGCCTTGCCCGCCATAGAGTGACGCCACGCGAATTGATAAATTTAAGGTGCTTTCCATCCGTACCACCAGGTGCTGCTTCAGTCCTGCACTTCGCAGTGCTTGCTATTCACGCCTGATACGACATTGAGAACCGTGTTGGGTAAGCCCTGCTGAGATTTGAGACACAGAGCGCCTCTATACCTCGGAACTTGACTGACATCCAGCCGTAGAGTCTAAAGCACTCACTACTGCGATGTCATCCACAAAGCAGCTTATCACCATCAACTCTCTTCCCAGAGAGATCCTCGAGCACATCTTTGAAGAACGCGTTGAGCTAGCTCATTCTCAAGATGGGATAGGGGTCTGGCCATATCACCGCTGCCGTTCGGGGTGTATCCTTGACTGGATCCCCATCACCCATGTTTGCTCTCGCTGGCGCACTATCGCATTAGAGTTTCAGAAGCTCTGGACCCGTATCGTACTTTTCCACCCGGAGTGGACGCAGCTCATGCTCGATCGCGCCGGGGTTGCTCCCCTCACCGTCTTAGTCGCCCACGATGACCTCCTGGAGAAATCCGACAATATGTGGATGAACGACGATTTCTTAGCAGACGAAGATGATCTCTCAAGCAGCCAAATCGATAGCTCAGATGACGATAGCGGCAGCTTAGATTATGATGGTGACCACTCAACCGCCAATCAAAATCTCCCGCACCAAAGTAGCGACAAGACTAAGTCAATGTTACACAAGCTGCGGGAAAACTTGAACAGGGTCAAGGACTTGTCCATACAGAGTCCCGATACAGATAACCGAGAAGGTCTGACGAGACCTGTGAGACGCTGGTTGGAGCGCGATGATAGCGGCAAACTGGAATCCTTGACCCTCGTCCTCTGTGGCTACTGGAGGGGTCCCTTGGCTCACCCTCAAAGTATCAAGAGACTTTCTATGAAGCTTAGCAGCCCTGTCGTGGAGCTGGACGCGGAGGATGAAGCGCATTTGCTGTTCGAAGGGATGACAGCGCTGGAGGAACTGATCATAGAAAACACGCTCATGATGTCGGAGGACACACTCGAAGGCAGCAAAATCCACCTGCCCAAGCTTAGGTACCTGCATGTTGATGACGAAATGTACCATTGCCTGGAATTCCTTGGTGCACTCACGCAACCCCGCCCGTTTGATTACTTTGGGCTCAAAACCGGGTCGTGCGATATCGCAAGCGATCTTCCTACTCTCAGAGATCTTGTCAAGCTTTCTGCTCCTGGTGGCGGAGCCAGTATCAGTGACCTCTCTGGCTATCACTGCGCCCTTCGGGTCGGCATTGCAGAGGACGCGATTCCGCGCGGAGGAACGCCATTCACGCTAACCGCTTGGCGCCGGGAATCCACCAATTGCTCACAAGTTGTGGAATTTGCCCGTCAAGGCAAAGTACCTCCTCTTCCTCATAATGATTTTGTCGATTTTACCGACGAAGATGAAGAGGACGAGTCCGAAGATGGCGAGCACGAGGACGTCAAGGAGCGCATGAGAAACCGAAATGCGATGCCGTTGTTTCGAAGCACAAACCCGACACTGTACCTCGCTAGCGATCTTCGAGATGAAGACAACTATGGAACCGATCGCGAAATAGATGGCTTGCAGTTGTTATCGAACGCGTTCAAGCTCCACACTGTCGTGTTTGCCTCCATCGATGCGACCCTCGTAGACGTAACTGAGATATCCGAAGATGGGATGTTCACGATCCTACAATCCATGCCTTCTCTTCGAGCACTCGAGCTCCGTGCCTTCTCTCCAAGTTCCTTCCGCTTCCTTAAGCCTCGAAAAATCCTTGAATCCAAGACAGTTCCGGCTGAAAGTCTTCGGGAGCTTTGGATTGCTGACACAAGCTTTTACCCCGACGATGATTATGAAGTCGAGCACTATGATAGCGAGGACGAAGAAGCTTCGGACGTATTCGTACCCAAGGAAGAAACTACACTGTCCGGCTGTTTAGCTGCACGAGCTGCCCTTGGAAATGGGTTGGAAAAGCTTGTTCTCAAGGACTGCGATTATATGCAGCCTCAAGAGTGGACTGCCCTTCAGGCAGTGACATTCACGGTGGAAGTGATTAGGAGTCTTTCGGAGTTAGACTGACCCCCCCCCCCCCCCAAAACTGTGCTTATAGTAGAAGCTCATTCATGCATGTATATCTTGGCGAGAGCTAAAGGAGGTTTAACCTATTGTTTTTGCTGGTTTCCGTCATGCATACTGTAAATTTATCCTCCATATTCGCATGTAGAAATCGGTTTTCCATCGATAACATACTCTATCGCCGTCCGTGGCAAACTAGAATTAGCCCCTGAGTGTCTGAGCTTTACCCGACGCGTCGCTGCTGCTACTTCGCGCGTTTGCCGGTGCCACTCACTCCATTGTGTCCAAATCTAATCCACTGTACCCAAACCCATGGCAGCGAGAGAATGACCACGTTGAATCAGATTGACACGATGCATCCACCTTGGCTACCTACGCTCTTGATATCATGCCCCACAACCTGAATGAACTCCCTTTCGATGTCCTGCTCAAAATTGCTGAACAACTGGATGTTCGAGACGTACTTTGCGTGCGACGGGTAAGTGCTCCCACTGTGAATACCGCTAACTATTGACATCGACAGAAAACGTTTTCCGAGTAGACGTCAAAGCGTCTCTATGATCTCACTTTCGAACGATCAATCTGGGACTCGCTCTACAGGGCCTGTCGCCACCCGCGCCCCCTCGGTCCCTATCCATCTCAACCCCGCGAAACACTCGAGACCATCGTCAAGCGCACGTCGTCTATCCACCATGCGATGTTTGTCAAGCGCGAACCAACATGTAGTCGGGTGTTCGACGTAGAGAGAAACAGTGAGACTCGGCTACCAGTGTGCGGGAGGTGGGCGTTCACGCGGTCCCAGAAACGGGTCACCTGTATGGATCTGGATGCGCCGGACGGTGAGGAGCCACCTCGAATTGTCGTATGGGAAGCAAACGAGGAGGATGACCTCGAGGTGCAAAGGCTTTACTGCATAGACGTGATGTCTTATGATGGCTGCAACCGGGCCGTCGCTGTCCTCGAACTGAATACCGAAGGGCCTCCCATGCGTCGGACTGAAATGTGAGCTTCATCTCCCTTACGCAGACTCAGTCATCAACAGGTAACTGACGTGAGTTATTCCAAGCGTCATCCTCAATGTACATTTCAACATTGCCTCGAGCCCGGCCTTCATTTTGAAGAAGTATACCGACGATCAGAAACGTCCGACGACCACCTTCGATACGTGGGCTGGTATTTGAGCCCTTCGGCGCTGGTGGTTCGGGTGCAAACCCAACATGGCAGTGCACTCGTTTGGGACATTGACCAGCTGCACAAGGAACCCGTTATCATACCCAAGGAGAACACCGTGATCGTATGTACTTTGTATTCGGCCTAGACCCTTCTTCCTTTCATGACAGACTTATAGGATGATGCACGATTGACGCACTTTTTAACATGCAGGACTCATCTCATCACTTTCATTGGAGACTGCATCGTACCGCTCGCCACACGAATATGGGCCAGGCCTCTCGCTTCTGTTCTTGCAGGGACAACGAACATCAGCGCATCGGCTACTGTCAACTACATGTTCTTCAAGGAGATCACCATGCTCCGTGACGCAGTCGTTGATCCGCAAACCGGTCGAACAGAAGTTGTGCTTATCAGCATCCTACCTGATGGATGGTATACGCCCGTTCTAATGGTCACACGGCTACTTCTACCGCCCTTTCAAGATACCTCGATGAGCGGGGAAATCCAGGTATCCACTGAAGTGCTCATGAAATTCACACATTCAATTCAGAGTCCTCGACATTCGACCCCTTCTTGATCATCGTTCCGTCCTGGACTGGATCTACGCGGATCCTTTACTCCCTTGACGAGCCACCGTACGGACGGCTCGCCGCCGCCGAAGTGGCATATAACGAAGAAACACAGACTACGAGCATAATCCGTGCGCCGAACCTTGGTGCCGAGAGCGGTGTTCAAGAGCATTTCCGGTGGCATGGTACAGAGCTACAATCCTTTGAGACGGAGCCGTATAAAGGGAGGATATTGTACTCACACAATCTTCCAGAGGACGGGTCTGAGCGCACAAAGCGTATGCAGCTTTGTCTAATCGGCTTTGCATAAGTAGCTTCCGCATACTTAGGTGCTTTGTCAGACTACCCCGCTGGAGCCCATGTGAGAGCTGCATGAAAGAGGACGGAAACTATGATCCTCTTGAAAGGATGTCACTTCATATAGCTCCTGAATACGCGTTGCCACAAGCGCGTCCCATCAATCTGTCGCGCCAAAAGGTATTTCATGCGGAGCTCTTGCATCCGTACGTTCTTGTCCGAATACTAGCTGTGAGAACTTACCTCAAGTTGCTACAATACACGACGGTGATAGACTCAGAGCATAGGTTGCTGTGCGGGCCCGTCCGGGAAGTAAGCTGGGGAGGCGTGTGTTGAACAATTGCGAGAACATGACTCGTAGGGAATGGCCGGCTCTACAAAGGCCAGACCGCGTCATTGATGATATAGGTGATTGGCAGCCATCCGGTGAGCAAGGACAATCAGTAATTTGGGTGAAGTACACTGTTTATTTAGTGCTTGAGCTCAACACCATTCAAAATGTCGCCAGTAATCTTGCAACTATTATCCATATCATAAAATCACATTTCAGAGGCATCACATAGCGTCCCTCTTCTTAGATCCTCATCCCGCTCATCTTCCCAGTAAGCGCACTCACAGCACCCGCATCCCAAACAACCAACTTCCCATCCGCCCCGCTCGTACTAACCCGCGCCACGCGCCCGTCCGCGCCCACCTCATACGGCCGCACACTCGTGATCGTGTTCTGATGCACCGTGAGCAGCTCCGTGTCGCCCTCGCCCGTGCTGCTGCTGCTCGTCTGCCCGCGCGTGTCCGCGTTCCTGAACGTGTTGAACGCCGCACTGTTGAGGCGCCCCACGGGGCCGGAGCGTGCGCCCCCGGCCTTGGCACCCCCGGCGGCCGAGGTGTCGTCGAGCGTGCCGATGGCCTGCCAGCCCGCCTCGGAGCCGGCGTATACGATCGGCTGGCAGTCGTGGCCCGCTGCGACGAGCGAGTCCTCGGCAGTCCAGGTGAGCGTGACGTAGGGGAGGGAGTTGAGCCGGATGGTGTAGACTGTGGGACCGCTGGGGTAGACGATGCTGATAGAGCTATCGTGGCCTAGAGTGTATGCGGATTAGCGTGTATCGTGCTGAAGATGAAGCAATGTGTACGCACTGACGAAAGCGAGAACATCTCCAGAGGGAGAGAACCCAACGGCGTGCACCCATCCGCCCGCGGGACTACTGTACTCTCCACAGATGGTATTGAAGGGCAGCTTCTCACCCCACACGCTCGGTGCAGGCCTGGAATCGACGGATCACTGAGATAGAGATTCAAGTGAACGCAAAGTTGAACGTACTTCTTGTCCACATCCTTGATGTACGCAGAAAAGACACGCGCCTTCATATCCGCGCTTCCGGCAGCCAAGAGCACATTATTGGGGTGCCAATCGATAGAGAGTACGGTGGAGCGGATCGGCTTCTTGAGCTGCCTGGCAACCCACCAGTTGTTCTCCGGATCGAACGAGCAGATCGCGATCGCGCGCGCACCAGAGGCGACGGCGAACTTGTCCTCGTTCGGGCTCCAGCGCACGAACGTCGCAGCGCGGTTGATGCGGAGGAGGACGAGGGTCGGCTTCCAGACGGTCGCGCCCGTATGTGGGTCGGGCGTCTGCGCCCAGACGTACGCGTTACGGTCCTGCGACGCGGTGACGATCTGGTTCGTCTTCGGCGCCCAGTCGATCGATGTGATCACCTTGTCGTGCTGGGGGGCGTGATCGTCAGCATGCAACGAGTCGGGCACGCTGTGGTGATGACGAGGCGTACCTCGGAAAGCGTCTCGATGTTCTTCCACTCGTGTCCCTGGCGCTCAAAAATATGCAGATGCCTGTCGTTCAAGCTCACAGCGACCTCTGCCGTATGTCCAGTCAGCCAAGATATGTTAGTTAACAGTATCCATGCAATGATAGAATCAAGAGACTAGACTTACGGGTACGATCCGCATTGAAAGCATGGCAGGTCACCGGCGTCTGGGCGATCGAGTAGACTTCGGGGGCGGACATATCTTCTCAGAGCTTGTGTTGTAAATGTTGTGATTGGCCGCAAGCAGAGGACGAGCAGTCTACTACCGCAAGCAAACCGTAAGTAATCGAAAGACAAAGAAAGTTACAGTAACCGCCGACTGCCTTCCTTATCCACTCCGCACTCATATTCCCACGCCGCCGCCGCCGCCGCATCAGGCCGCATCGTGCCGCAGACCTTTTGTTGTCGCGGAGATCTAAAGTGAGGGACCTCGGACACCATCTCTCTCTAAATTTATATCAAAGTTTTAGCCAGTGGCGCCGGCAGGGTGGGGTGGCTGATAGTTTCGCCTCCTCCTATAAGGTTTCCGCGTCGGACGTGCATATCTCACTGGTTCGATCGAATGAACGTTTGAACGCGACTGATAAGTAATACAGTATGCATGTAGAAGCCAAACTTCCATATTAGCTACTCGAGAGCCACAGTGCAACAGCTAGCCCAATCACAGCGTGTTCGATGAATTGACGACCGCTCAAAAAATGTCTCCGCAAAATTTGCCTCACAAAGTTGAATCTTGAAGAACGCCTCAACGTCAACGTGCAACGTGCAACTGTCCACCATGACAGCTACATTAATTATCGAGCGTCCCTGGACCCTCCTGGACCTACGTGGTAGATCCGACTCCGAAAATTGGCCGTACGTACGTTTCTATGTATTGATTATGTACCTGTATGTATTTATTCGGCAATGTTTAGGATCAATAACCAAAGCCTGGATCTCCTCGTCCTACTAAACACGCCTATTATCAACGATTTCATAGCAAGCGATCCATATATGATACTAACGATACACCTATTGCAAAAATCGGCAGAAAGCAATGCACACATGCAAAACCGTACTACAGCTAGTGGAACCAGAGGACGTAAAAAAGGGCCAGAAAACAAGCGAGAGCAAGCATGCAACAGAGACAAAGAAACAGCACCCATTAGAACTTCAAACATAAGCTAAGGTAAAGCATCGTATACAACTAGCAACCCAGTCAAACCCTAACAACATGCATGCAAGGAAACGTGTGTGCGTATGTGTGCCAAGGTCACCAACGTCTATATAGCAAACCATTAGCATCGCTCGCATATCGGACACTTAAGCCGTCGTACTCGTACTCGCGGCCGCCGGAGCGGCGCAGCAGCACCAGCACACCCGCGGCGCGCCCAAGTCACTTGTCCCGCCAAGCAGCCCCATCAAACCGTTCGCGTCTTTCTGATGGCCAGCGCACTCAGCTCCCAAGCACCACCAAGCACTTTCTCATCCGCCTGTCCCCGTGGCACCGGCAGACGTGGATCCCGCCCCCGCGCCAGAGCCAGCACCAGTGTTGCCACTTCCAGCCACATCCGACGCAGCCTGCTCTTCCTCCTGGCGGATGCGCAACATCTTCGCCCACCGAAGACCGCACGCATTGCACAGCGTCTTCGGCCCCTGCGGGCCCTTGCGCCACTCGGGCGAATCCGTCCGCCCACACGTCTTGCACACGTACTGCTCCGCCGCGTGCGTCTTTTTCATCTGTGTGAAGCGAGAGCAGGGAGAGACACAATGAGCACCACGTCATATGACCATTGACCCAAAAACAGCGCGACGCACCTTCTTCCGCCGCGCTTCATCGCCATAGTCAGCCCCATCAGCTGCTGTCTGCTGAGTTGCCACTGACGTCGACGCTGGCGCCCCTCCTACAGCAGCAGCAGCAGCAGCAGCACTCGACGACGACAACGGGTACTGGCTCGCAAACGAGTCGACCGCTCCCGCCGCCGACGGCGGCATAATCGCATCATAGAGCGCGCTCGGACCTATTTCATCAAACAGCAGATGACCGACGTCAGGCACAAACCCCTTGAAGCTGCCAGCGCAAGCCTGAGACACTTTACCTGTCAGCGACGATGGCCCCGCGGTCGAGTAGAGTGTGGACGCAGCCTGCACATGCGGCCGGGCCGCCTTGAGCCTCGCCAGCCGATGCTCAAGGTGTTGAGCACCAATCTTGTAGTCCAAAACACTGTTGAGTCTAGAGCCGTGCCGCATCGATTCATCATGGTGTGGAGCGCACGAGGCGTTACGCGGGCCGAAGGGTGATGAGAGAGGAGCACGTAACGAAGCCAGTCAGCAGACACGCTCATCCAATTCATTGCAAATGGGGACCAAGTGGAGTAAAGCGGAACAAAGGGGCGAAACCCCCCAAAGATAACGCGAGCGAAGGGCGAGGCGGAAAAAACAGGAGAGGGGATACGCACTGAGATGTGCTCACGCCCGGGTAGGGCTTCGCAACAGCGAAAAAGCATCGTGGCTCGCGCTCGTCTAGAATGTAGTGTGGCCTAGCCTTGATCTCAAACAAAGGCTCCTGCGCCGCGTCGGTGCCCACAGGCAGGGGCGGGGATGGCATTTCCATTCCGACGGTGACCGACGCGCCCACGCCTCCGTCGTAGCTGCCCATCGCAGACGAGGTCGCCACGGGCAGGGGCATCAGACTGCTGCTCGTCGCGAAGGCGTTGTGTGAGCTCGAGGACTGGTGTCGATGTTGGTGTGGGTATGACAGATGTCCCTTGAACGTGAGGCGCGAGTAACACATAAACTCTTCGCCTGTGCGCTTCGACTCTTCAAATATGTCGCGGAACCGGGTCTGACCGTCCGCTGCAACGCAACACCAGCGAGTCAGCCACATAACATACACATTCCACAGTCGCCGCAGCCGCAGCCACCACGCATCGAAACACCGCATCACAATTGTGTGCGACATCCAAGCCCCCCACCGACGATAGGAGGGAGCCCTTCCCCCCAAACCACCAACCACAACAAAACTCACCAGCAACAAGCCCAGCCACAAAATCACAATCAATCAACTCCGTATCCCTCCACCCCAGCAGCTCGCTGACCGCGCGATTACAAAACCAGATCCTACAATCCGCACTCAGCACGAGCACAATCGCCTCCGACACCTCCTGGATCAGCAGATCCGCCCACCGCTTCCGCCGCGTAAACTCGAACGTCGTCGATGACATCGCAGCCGCAGCTGCCGCTGCCGCCTGCTGCGATGCGGTGCCGTGTGCGGTTGCGTGTGCGTTCGCATTTGATTTGTGCTTGCTCGAGCTCGGGCCTGCGGGAGGTGGAAGTGCGATTGTGTTGTTGTTGCCGCTGCCAGTGGGTGCGGTGGCAGGTGGACTCGAAGGGTCAAACTTGAGAGACGGCAGAAAGGCAGCCGGGAGGGGGAGACTCGTAGCAGCCGCCATGACAGTACACAGTCAAGAATTCGAAAGCGGGGGATTCGTCGAACAGACTTCTTAAACGGATTCGAGCTCCTTCGCTTCGACGAGGGGTGAGGGGAAAAAATAAACACTGTTTGAACAAGAAATAGCATTACGCATTATATACGTATGTATGAATTTGGAAGGAACGCGGTAACGCGCACTTCGGAATGACGTCACATGCCGATCTGACCCCTCCTTTCCCTCCCTCTTATGGCATCTTCAGACGCGAGGACCCCAATATCCCGACTCAATGACCGCTCGCCGCATGGGATGCCCGAAATGCCCGATAACGGAACCACATTGGCCGCCGCTTCTCCTCCCAAGAAGCAAAGATAACGTGAAATGAACATAGCTGCAGAGAACCTCCACGATATTCACACACCTTCGCCAACACTCGGGCCAACATCGCCCTTCCGAATCAGAACTTACTACATCTTCAACGCCTCAACAGAACAAATCACTCGATACACGACCAAGAGTCAAAAGAAAATGCAAATCGACACCCGATGCACGTTATTACAAAATCGGCGTACGCATAATGAACCCCCGTCAATGGCCGACAGAAGGCACACCTCGTACAGCCCTAAGATACCTCTATGTTATGTGTATGTTCGTACGTTCTTTGAGAAATTCTTGCTTCAGCTCGTGGTATGGAGAGGATATACGCCCCAAAATCCGACCCTTTTGCCGAATGTCCAGACGGACGACCGACAGACCGAATCCATCCGATTACACCCGCTTAGATGATCGTGTACCCTCCGTCCACACGGACCTCCGTCCCAGTCATGAACCTAGACGCATCACTTGCAAGGAAGACAATGGCGCCCTACAATCCCATCATCAGTAAACCAGCTCCACAATTCACGCTTCCACAGAACACTCACCGACAGATCGTCAGGCTCACCCATCTGTCAAAACAGAACGTATATCAGCAACACCCCATACACAAACACCCACGCGACTTACCCTGCCCATGGGCGTAAGACTCTCCCAAGTTTTCTGCACGGAAACAACATTGTCAGCCAACGCGCTATTGAATCAACAAGCAGACACAAACCTTGAGCTCCTGGTCGTGCGTCAGAATCGTCTTCGTGAGCTTCGTCAACATGTATCCCGGGCTGTTCGCAAGCCGTCAGTTCTCACAATCCGGCGCCTAAGGAATCACAACGCACCTGAGCGTGTTGATGCGAACACCCTTCTTCGCCCACTCAACGCCCAGGGATGCGGCCATGTGCCGGACGGCTGCAACCGAGCAACCGAGCATAAGTCATTTAGCCTGTAACGAAGCCACAAAATAAACGCACCGGCTTTCGACGCGTTGTACGGCGTTTGTGGCTACATTTGGGGGGAAAATGCATTCATCAGGACAACCTTGTCGTGGCGGACGCAAGAAATGCCCAGGGGCAGAGCGTTGCGCACCTGGGGAATGTTGACGACCTGAACATCGCGGCATTGTTAGGTCATGGAATACCATACAAGAATGAAAGTAAGACGCACGCTAGCAGACATACTCGCGACGAGGACGATGCTTCCGCCGCCCTGGGGAATCATGTTGCGCGCGGCCTCACGGGCAGTGAAGAACGCGCCGTGCACGTTAATGTCGTACAGACGCTTTATCCGGTCGAAGGGGTAGCTGTACGGGGGAACAAGGGTTGCAACGAAGCGATCAGTGGACACGCCACGTGGGACAGGGGCGGAGTAGGGACGCACTCGAACGCGGAGTAGTTCTCGACGATACCTGTTCAGGGCAGGTGGAGTAAAATGACGGGTGCGAGCGTCAGTTTGACATGCTGCGGATGCGGGCGGGCAAAATACGCGAAACAGCGAAAGGACAGAGAGACAAAGGGTATAAAAGGATGCGTGAACAAAGAACATGAACGCACCAGCAGACGCAACAACCGAATCAACCTTGCCGTACGTATCCATGACAGTCTCAAACGCCTTCTGGACCGACAGCTCCGACGAGACATCGCAGCCGACGCCGATGATGTTGAAGTCCGACGGCGCGTAATCGCTGTTAGCAGCTGTTTTCGGGGGGTTTCAGCAAAGTGCGGCCGCAGGCGAGAGGAGGATGCCGAACGACGGACCACAGGCGGAGTTGACGAGCTCGACCGCGGCCTCCTTGGCCTCTTCCTCCTTCAGATCGACAATGGCCAGGTCCGTGCATCCTCTGCGTTGCGCAACGCGATTACGTGATTGCAAGGCACGGGTTACACGCGGCGGCCAGGCAGGCGGGGGGAGGGCGGGGCCGGGGAGATTGAGAGAGTGCGGGGTAAACGTGTCGTGCCGTAACGAGATGAGAAACAATGGTGAAATTTTGGATTTAGCGCTCGAACACGTCAACCCCACATTTTTAAAAAACGCACGATTGCACAAAAGCGCGACAAAACTCGTTGCCCAGGCCTCTGGCGGCACCCGTGATCACGGCGACCTGCAAAAGTACAATGAAAATTTTCGAGTCAGATACACACGTCTTTCACGCGTTAAGCCACGCAGAAGGGGCGCACCTTGCCCGCCATGGAGAAGGCAGGGAGGATGGGCCGCGGCTTGTCGACGACGGTGCTCTGGAAGCGGACGAGCGCGCTCGCGGGTGCTCTCGAGAGAACGAGCGAGCGGGCGTGCGCGCGGCTGGGCGCGAGGGCTGCGCGGGCGATGAGACTCATGCTTGGATCAAGGATGAGTGAGCGAGCGGGCAGGAAAATAAAAGGATGGATTCGGGTATGGGATGGGGATCCAAGGGGGGTATGTGATGGGAGGAGAAGAACGAAATGGAGAGGGCGGAGCTTATGTAGTTGGAGTTTTAAAGTGGCCGGGGATAGTGCAGCTCTAGATCTGCCCCGCCTTTCACTTAGTCTCACAGCGCGACAACGGACCGGTTAACCCTAACACTAACGTTCGTTAGCCGCTGTGCCCCGCCCCACTCGCAACGACCACACCCGACAACGCGCAAATGTCCATGTTTCAACCGTCATGTCTGCAATTCTACGCACAAAGACTATCGACTAACTCCAAACGGCGGGGACGATTTCGACCGAACGACTTTACCCCACCCGGCGCCAATAGGATGCTGACTGACAGCCACCCGGGAGAAGCCACGGAAGCCAATAGCACGGCCAAGCGAAACGGATATTATTATCTCCACCTTGCCACGCCATTCCCACGCCCTCAACGGCCATCACCCTCCCATGATAAACATTCCAAGATCCGTCCATCCAAAAATCAAAATCAAAATAACAAAGAACGAAAAAAGATGTGTATAGTATTATAACATGCATAATAACTAGCTAGCCAAGTCTGAAGGAACGTGCATAATAAAGCGATTTCAATAACTGAGAGAGAGAGGGAGAGATGGGTATCACAAAACGAGAGGAACATATACGTAGAACCACAACCTCTAGACTGGAGAACCTACACATTTTCGACCGGCGCCGAGGATATAAGATAATAGATCAACGAGCGGAAGGGGTATGCCAGCCCCCCGACCCTGGCCAGGTCCAGGGGTCGATGGCATTGGTAACACCGGCGGACGGGACATGCGTGGCTGATGAGAGAGATGAAAAGATGAAAATCGAAATCGATGGACTGCGGCCACGACCGCGCGACGGAAGCTTGGAACGGCGGACGAATCCCCCGGCACTAAAACCGACAGCGGGGCAAAGCTGTGACAGCACAACCGATCGGCCAACAGCGGCACATTGACAACCGACGACAAGCAGAGATCGACGACAACAGACTGCGGACGATCACAGACACGCAAACTTGGATTTGCGTTTCTGCACCTCCTCCATCCTCGAGTCCAGCTGTGCCCGCGCTCGCTCCTTCGCCCGCCGCTCTTCGTCGAGCCGCGCCTCGTACGAGTGCTTCTCCTCAGCGATCGACCGCCGCGCGTTCTCCACCTCCTTTCGCGAGTTCTCTAGCTCCCCGCGTAGCGTCTCCACCTGGTGGTGCAACGAGTCACGCTCGCGCGCAAGCTCGCTCGTCTGTAGCCGCACTTTCTTCACTATAAAAAAGGTACAGTCAGCGATAAGCCTGAGAACCGCGAAGCCCCGATAGAGTTTCGAAGCAGCGCAAACGCGAGAAATCAGACACGCACAGTTCTTCTCCGAATCCCCCAACGACGTCTCCAGCGTGCCCACGAGGTCCATGTGCGCAGCCAGATCGCTCTCGCAGTGCGACAGCTGCTTGTTCAGCGTCTTGATCATCACCTCCTGCTCCGCAATGTACTTGCCCTGGTCATCGATCTTCGCCGCGATCGCCTTTGCATCCGACATCGCAACCGTCTGGCCCCCAGGTAGCGTAATCGACGCGACAGACGTCGCAGGCGTCTCGTACTGGCCCGATGACGACTCCTTGGACACCGACGGCGACACGATCGACGACGACTGCGTCGAAATGCTAAACTGCGAGTCCGCCTTGTGCACCGGCGGCGGCGCCGTGGGTGCTGGCGGTGGAGGCACAGAGGGAGGGGGCGTGGGTGGAGGCAGCTTGTTCGCGCCGCTGACGCGGCTGAACGCGCGGGACGTCGGGCTCGGGCCCTGGCCCTGGCTCTGTACGGCGGGCACGCCGTCAGGCACGACAGACGCACGCTGGAGCTGCGCCTGCAGATCGCGCACGAGCTCCTCCTGCTTCATTTTCTCCGCCTGCACATTGTCCTTCTCGTCCTTGGCCTTCTGCAGGTTCTCCTGTGCCTCCGCGAGCACAGAGCGGTGCTTCTCCAGCTCGCCGACGAGCGACTCGCGCTTCGACGCCTCCTCCACGAGCTGCGCCTGCTCCGTCCGGGTCCTCTCGAGCTCGGCCCTGAGCGCCTCGACCTCGCTCGCGAACGCGCCCTTCTGAGCATTCGCATCGGCCAGCGCATGCTCCATCTCTGTGAGCGTCCGCTCGTGCGCGACCTTGGCGTCCAAAAACTCGTGATTCGCAGCCTTGTGCGACTCGACCTCCTGAGCCAGCGCGTCGCGTTCATCATGCGCCGCCTTGAGCTCCGCAGCATGCTTCTCCACGAGCTCGCGCTCCGACATCGACGACGCATCCTTCATCTCCGCGAGCAACCGTTCGTTCTTCGCTCGCTCGTCCTCGGCCTCCGCCTTGTACTTGGCGAGCTCCTCAGCGAGAAGATCGTGGCCCTTGCGGAGCGTCTCGCGTTCCTGGGAATGCTGCTTCTCGAGCTCGGCAATCGTCGACGTGAGGTGTTCCTGCTCCTCGGTGAAGTGGCGCTCGCTCGTCTCGCGTGAGGTTTCGAGATCTGTCTGGTGTTGGTCCTGAGTAGCGATGAGCGTAGCTTGAACTTCTGCGATCACGCTCTCGTGCTCGGCCTTGAGCTTGGCAATCTCCTCCGAGTGTGAAGCAACCAGTGAGGTGCGTTCTTCTTCAAAGTTGCTCCCAGCACTCGAGTGTTCGTCGCGCGCTGCTGCAAGCGAGGCCTGAACCTCTGCCAGCGCGGTTTCGTGAGTCGTCTTGAGCTTCGTCATCTCTTCCTCGTGAGAAGCAAGCAGGGCAGCACGTTCCTCGTCGCTCTTGATACCAGCAGCTTGCAGCTCGTCTTGAGCAGCAGCAAGAGCAGCTTGCGCCTCCGCCAGCGCCGCCTCGTGCTCCCCATTGAGCCTGGAGATTTCCTCGGCGTGCGAAGCCAGCAACCCCATCCGCTCCTCGTCTGCCTTCGCAGCGGCACTCTTGAGCGCAGCCTCATGCTCGCCCGTGAGCTTCGCGACCTCGTCCTCGTGTCCCTTCGCAACCTCCTGAAGAACAACCGCCTGCTGCTCCTTGAGCGCCTGCACCGCCGCCCCATGCTCCTCCTCCGCCCTCGCCTTCTCTGCTTTCGCCTCCTCCGCAAGCTTCGCAATCTCCGCGCCCATCTTCTCCGCCTTATCCTCCGACTCCTCCCGTAGAATCGCAAGCTGCTGCCCATGCTCCTTCTTCAAATTCTCCCGGCGCACACGATAATCCTCCTCCCTGCCCGCGAGCACTTTGGCATGCTCCGCGCGGAGCCTCTCCACGTCCTCCGCCGCCTCCGCCTCCTTGCGCGCAACAGCCGCCGCATGCTCCTCCTGCAGCGCCGTCAGCGCCGCGTCCCGTGTGCTCTGCGACTCCGACACCGACGCGTCCCGCGCCCTCTCCGCCATACGCAGCGCCGCCGCGTGGTCCTCCCTGAGCCGCTCGAGCGCCGCCGCGGACTCGGCCGCCTGCTTCTGCGTCGCCTCGCCGTGGTCCGTGCGCAGCTTGGTGAGCGCGTTGTAGTACTCCTCCTCGAGCCGGCTGATGTCCGTGCTGATCTGCTCGTCCTTGGCCCTGAGCGCCTCCGCGTGCTCGGCGGAGGCCTTCTCGAGTGCGGCGGTGTGTTCCTTGACGGTGGACTCGAGCAGCTCCTTGGCCTCCCGCGAGCGGCGCTCGAGTGCCTCCTCGTGCTCCTTCTGCAGCTTGCCAAACGCCTCTTCGTGCTCCTGGCGAGCCTTTTCGAGGGCGGATGATGCTTCGGAGAGCTCGGCACGGAGGGAGGTAACGGCAGACTCGTTCTCTTCCTTGAGCTTGGCCATAAGCGCGTCGACCTCCTCGCCTTTGGAATTTAAAGCCTCTGCATGTTCGCCCTTCAGCGCTTCAACGGCGGCGGCATATTCAGCCTTGGCCTTCTCAATGCTCTCTAGCAACTCGGTCTCCTTAGCCCGAGCTTGTTCGAGCTGGAGCGTGGTATCTTCATGCTTCGACCGGAGGCCTTCTAGCTCATTAGACATATTCAGAGTCTGGACACAATGGAAGCCATATTAGAAAATGCAATTAATTAATTAAGACATGACCACAGTTGTCTCACCTGATCGCGAGACAGCGTCGTGAGCGTATCATGCGACCGCCGTACTTGGGCCAGCTCGGACTCGAGCTTGTCGACCTGTTCCTTGTGTTGTGACTCTTTCTGCGCCATGGACCTAAAAACAATCCATTTCAGCTCGCCCGTGCAAACAATTCACTCGACGAAGTGACACCCACAGCATGAGCTCATTGAGCCTCTCCAGCGACTTGTCCACATCCTCCTCGCTCTCCTCGCTCTCCGCCTCCTGCTTCCCATTAACCTCGTGCAGCTCCCCAGGCCCAATCCCATGCAACTGCATGCTCCTCCTCACCGCCTTAAACCTCGCCATCGTCGCAGGCGACAAATGCGACACATTATCCGCCTGCGCCTCCGCCGCGGGCGTCTCAGGAATCGTCTCAACAACCGGCGCCGCCGCCTTCAACGACAACGCACGGTCCTTCTCGCGCACCGACGCCTCCAGCCCCGTGATCTCCGCCTCGCGCTCGCGCAGCACCTCCTGCAGCCGCATAATCTCCTTCTCCATGCTCGAGTGCGAGCGCTGCTCCGGCCCCGCCTGCGGGCCGCCGCCGTTCATCAGCCCCGCGAGCGAAATAGACAGGTTCGGGCGGTGGTGCGGCATCGACGGCGAGCCCGAGACGGAGCTCGACGTAGACGCGCTGTGGCTATGCAAACTGCCATTGCCGTTGCCATTGCCGTTACTGTTACTGTTGGCAGAGCTTTTGCGTGAGCGAGCCGACGAGAGCTCCTGCGAGAGCGATTGCGACTGCGAGAGCGACCTCGCGTGGAGAGACTCCGCGGAGGTCGCCTGCCGGAAAAAAAGGCGGCGGCCCGCGTTCTCGGATATCTCGACGGGCGTCTTGGGACTCGTCAGCCGGCGCCGGAACGGCGGTGTCTCCAGCGTCTTCTCCGAGAACGGGCTCTCCGGGATCGTCGGGTTCGCGAGCTTCGCCTCCTGCAGCTGCGCGGCGAGGTCCGAGATCTCGCGCAGCGCGTCGCGGTACTTGGCTGTGACGCCCGACAGGTCCGCGAGCGTCGCCGCGTGCGTCTGCTGCAGCGCGGAGAGTTGATCTACTATTGAGCCGTCGGCGTCGCGGTCAGGCTCAGGTTCGGAGGAAGTGGGCGTGGTTGCGCCAGACGCGCTTGGGCGGCGGCGGCGGCTGCCGTTGACCTTCTGAGTGCCTTCGAGGCTACGACGGGCTTGCTCGACCTCGCTGTTGATGCCATTAAGCCGTTCGCGATCCTCGTTTGCCTCCTTCTTCTTCCGCTCCCACTCCTCCATCCGCTGCTCGAGCTCCTTCACTTTCCGCTCGCGCTGCTCGAGCTCCGACCTCCACGCGACACTGTCTTCGTCCAGCCGAGCAAGGCGCTCCTCCAACGCCTCCGCCTCGCTGCGCCGCCGGTCGCACTCACTTTCGAGCTGCTCAACCTTCTGCTGCAACGAAACAACAGATTCATCCGAGCGCGCAAGCTTCGCCTCGAGGTCGGCAATGTAAGTCGTCGAGTGAGCCTCCGCGTCCTTGTACCGTGCGAGCTCCCGTTTGAGATCGACGAGCGACGAGTTTGATGACGTCGAGTTCTCGTCGTACGATTTGACCTTCTCCTCCAGATCGCGCACATACGCCTACGTAGCCCCTATGTCAGCCTCTTGCCTGGCGAAGAATTGAAATATTTCGAAAACTCACCTCAGTCGATGCCTCGCGTTCCGTCAACTTAGCAAGCCTCGATCGCAGCTCCTCGAGATAAAGCTCCGTCGCAGAATGTCGCTCGGCCATCTGAGCAAGTTCCTCCTCCTTCTCCTCCACGAGTGTGTTCGTCATGCGCAACGCAGCACGATTGAGTCCAAGCTCCGCCTCCATCGTGTTGATGGTCTTCTCGTACTCCTCGATCACCGGCCCGACAATCTCCTCGTACTTAGCAGTCCCACCCGTAGCGCCTTGCGAATCCGACCGGTGGTGCTCCCCAAGCTCCCGCCTCAACCGCGCCAGCTCCTCCGTCCTGCTCGAGTACTTCTCGCGGAGACTCTCGTAGTTGTTCTGCAGCTCCGTCATCTGCGCAAGCATCTTCTTCGACACGCCATTATCCGACGGCTCGCGCACTATTAAAGAAGGCCCCGACGAGGGCGCAGTGGCCGTCGCCTCGATAACGTCGCCGCTCTTGATCCCTTTGAGCTCCTTGCGGAGGCGCGTCACGGTGTTCTGGAGCCACTCGACGTCTTCCCAGCCTTCCTCCTTCTCGTTCACGACCGCACGGTTCTTGATATTCCGTGCGCGGTTCGCATACTTGAGCGTGTTCACCGTCTCGCCCACGTTCCACTCCGTCGGACTCACACACGCGATCATGAGCGTATGCGCATTCCCACCGAGCGAATCCTGAAGCAGGCGGGTGAGCTTGGAGTCACGGTAGGGGACGTGCGTTGCAGTATGTGACTTCGCGCGAGCGGGATCACCAAGGGCGGAAATGACGTTGCCGAGGGCTAGCAGACCGCTGTTGATGGAGATACCCTCCTTGATACGCTCGCCTGCAGCAGCGGTACGTTTGAGCTGTATAAATGAGCAGAAGGTGAGCATCCGCTTATCCGGGGGTCGCGCGATAGACCGGACTTACGCGTTCCGAGCCTGCCAAGTCGACGAAATGGAATTTCGACACGACAGTGACCCAATCGCCCTCCTCATCGTCATTGGCTTGCTTGCTGTCGCTGCGCACACCGAGCGAGCTTGCTGGTCGAAGACCGCCACTTGGTCGCGCAAGCCCAGACGAGAATGAAGAGGGAGTTGATGGACGACCGAAGGTAGGGGAGGAAACTCTGCCATTGGGACTGCTAACCATCATCGAGCCTGGACGAGCAAGGCGTGAGGGCGAGCGTCCGGTGGGTGGTAGGGGCGATGATGATCGGGGCGGTGGGCCGGACCCGACAAACTTCTTCTGGGTAAGGGTGAGCGAGAAGATGGCATGTGACCGCGACGACTGCGCGTTCATGTCCGTCTCGTTCGTCCGCCGGATAGCCGTGCCCTGGCGAATGAGACTAATATGACATGGCAACATAAGCGTCGGGTTCGAGCGAGAAACTCGAGAAGAACTCACCCCATGACCTCACCACTGCTCTTCACGTTCACCTCGCGCAGGCCACCCCAGATGATGGATCCGTCCTTTCCCTCGCGAATTTGGACCTCCTTCTTCCCACCAGACGCGTCCGAGGCTAACAAATCTATGAGGTCTTCGTTGTATAGTTCGACGAAAGAGCCCTTGATGTTATAGTTCCAGTTTCCAGCCTTCTCGTCCCTGCGCCTCTTCGCCTCAGAAAAGATGGTAGAGACGGCTCGAGGTATGATGCCCATGCCGTTGCTTGGGTCGTTGGGGTTCTGGTCGAGGTCAATACCGGTCATGGTGAAGGTCTTTCCTGAGCTAGTTTGGCCGTAGGCGAGGATAGTGCAGTTGAAGCCCTCGAGGAAGCGGTTAATGAGTGGGCGTGCGGTGCTCTGGAAGATGTCATGTTGTGTGGCCGAGGGAGAAAGGACCTGGTCGAAAGCAAAGACTTGCTTTTTGCCGCCAGGACCGGATGCTGAGGTAGAGGAAACGGCAGTAGCTGCGCCGGTTGCGGTTGAGGGTGCGGAGGAGGCATCGACGGAGACGTTGGTTGGGCCTGCGGCGTGAATGACAGTCCTCTGGAAACGGGCGGGTATCGACGCAGTGTCCGCTGAGGTGGTGGGCCGGATTCGGAGCGCTGTATGACGACAATTGACAATTAGTATGACAGTTCACGTAACGTTTGTTACTATTGCGACGGTGTGGACTAACCGACTTGGACAGATGTCGTCGCTGTCGATGACGGCGGCGGCGCCATGGCTGTTTAAGCGTTGGCCCGCGATAGAGAGGTCAGACGATGGACAGTCTGGTCAAGGGAAGGGTAGGGGCGGACTTTGCCGAAGTCGGCAGCCCAGAACAAATCAATCAGCACACGCTCACTTCCTCTGTCGTCAGGACACGCATACACTCTCACGTTCACTTTCAATTGAGAATACCCGTTTATAGTCCACTTTGCTATGCCTCGAGGCCTCCAACTTTGTCTCGACGTCGCTATGAACCCCACACATTCTCGGCAGCGTGTTCCCGATCCACAAATTTTCACGTCTCATGTCTCATTTCTGACAGCGATCCTCGCTTCTCTCCCATCCGTGCCCCGACACACTATCCGAGACCAGGGCGCTTTCTCGTAGCGCTTAACGCTCATCCTCTCGCCGGGCCCTTGCGAGTTCCATGACATCCATCTGCGCCCCCATTTCCACATCACCTGCGATCGCGAATACTTCCAACTAAACCCCGGAACCAGTTTCTCTCCCTTGCCCTCCAGGTCCCATGATGAACCTACCTCTTGCCCCATCAAACTCTCACCGAACCGATTGATTACCCGACTCGGGGATCAGGTTCACGAACCGCATCTTTGGAAGACGCCATCCAAAATACTTTGATCAAGCACTCGTGCTCGACGGATGATAGTGGATAGGCTGGGTTTGATGTGTCCCAGGTTATTCGAGTTAACCATGTCAATGCCATCCATGCATTTTATTATTGCAGGTAAAAATCCTATCAAAACTTCGGTGCAATATGCTCCAAGCAACGCGTACCCAATGATGAGCTTTAGAGACGCCCGTCGGGCGCATGCCCATGCCCTTCTTTGTCCACAGACGCCCAACGTTCTTCTCCATGGGCCGCACTGGCGACTCGTGATCATCTCCAGAACGTACCCATTCCTTCTCGTGGAATCTCCACAACACGTTCTACAGCACAAGAAGAACGGTCGTTATGCATCGCTGAAAATCGAGGCCTCGATTGGGCATGAATTGAACGAGCACACACGCTGATATCATTGGCCTTCCTTATTCACCCACGAAGGCTAGCCACAAGACACGTTCGATCATCCGCGGCGTCCGCCTACATATTCGTAGTATCTTCCATCGGACGGACACAAGGAGCACCTCTAGTACTTTACGTCCCTTGACGCGACAAATTAATACGACGCGCTTGTGGCAACGCGTATTGGTGCCACCTGAAAGTAACATCTGGGTATCAAATTTTTCCACGCAGTGTTGGAAGATCGACTGGAGAACTTTGAGAGGAACAGAAAAAACGGTGACTCGCATCCGAACCGTGGACAATATCGCCGTGTTGCAAAGCTTGGAAAAGAGTGTCAGATGCGAGCTTTCGAAGTTTTGGGAATGCACCCTGGGCATTGTACTTCGTCAAGATGTCAGCGCTCCTTGCGTTGTCAGTTGGTTGTCAGATCAAGTGAGTATATACGCAAGCTCAGACGATGTAGGGATTGTCTGATTGTAACGTATACGTAAAGCCAATACACGGACAAACAATGTCAACGACTTATGAAAACTCGAGTAGACAAAGCTTCATCCGCTCTTCCCTTAGTGCATCGAAACTTGGCTCAGATCCCTCATCCTGAGCATCATAAGCATACAACACCCTCCCCGCATACGGCTCGTTCTCAAAAGCCTGTAACTCCGTCGTATCATGATGCCCAAACAGCTTCTGAACACCACTCGCAACACCCAGGTTCGGAGCGCGCGTTATACTCGCGCTCCGCCTTCCATTGCTATACGCCACTTCTACGGCGGCGAGCCGTCCGTACGAAGGTTCTTCGATAGCCCAAAGGATCCGCATAGCCCCGGCCCACGACGGAGTGAGAATTAAACACGGGTTGAATGCAAAGTCCAAAAGCCTTTCAAGGAAGACTTGAATCTGCCCATCACTCAAGGGGCCTTGAAGGGGCGGTATAAGGAGCCGCATCATCATCAGCAGAATCTCATCCCATGAGGTCCGCACAACACCGACAAGCACAACTTCTGTTACATCGCTCTCGGGATTGACAATCGAGTCACGGAGCATGGTCACATCCTGGAAATTGATGTTGTCAACAGTGCCAGTTTTTGTGGTAATGTCCGTCGGCCCCGCAAGAACAGATGAGAGAGGCCTGGCGCGTATCCCGGTCATGAGCGGTGTAAAGGAATCTCCGACAATGGCGATCAGGTGTGTTTTGCACGTCAAAAGATGCACCCAATCCACCTCGTCCTCCTGAAAGGGTCAGTTACAATAATGAAAGGATGCTCATTGAGCGTGTGCCTACAACTCCTACGTCCTCTCTGGTTACAGTGATGGGCTCCTTGTTCAACTGATCAACGTCCCAGATGAGTACGCCGCCTTGATATGTTTGTATCTAAACCACCAGCACCGAAGGGCCTAAATGCGAGTCCACGCATTGAGAGTAGTCGTCATCATGTGTTTCCGATCGTCGGCACACTTCCTCAAATCGAAGACCTAAGTTGAAAGCACTGTCAAGATGTACCTTGAGAACGACGCTTGGAATAAAATTCACAACGGTTACTTGATTGTTGAGCAGATGGAAGGAGAGAAAAGCTTACACTTCGATCCGATAGACAGGAGGTCCCATCGCATGCAGCTCAAGAATGACAACAGCCCGTTTGCAGCCATCATAAGACGTCACGTCCAGACAATAAACCTCCTGTACCTCCATACCGTCCGCCTCACTTGCTTCCCATACAACAATCTGAGGCGGCTCCCCAGCGTCTGATGCATCCAGATCCATGCAAGTGACCCGCCTCCCGCATAAAGTGAGGGCCCACCTCCCACAGAGCAGTCGAGTCTCGCTGTTTTTCTCGACATTGAACACCCTTTTTCGGGTTGGCTCGCGTCTGACAAACATGGCATGATGAATAGACGACGTGCGGGTGAGGATAGTCTCAAGATTTTCACGGGTCTGAGACGGATGGGGGCCGAGAGGGCGCGGGTGGGGACAGGTCCTGTAAAGCGATGCCCAAACTGCACGCTCAAGTGTGAGATCGTAGAGGCGCCTTGAAGTCTAATCCAATAGTATCCCGTCAGTATCAAGCACAGCGTCGACCGGGATACATGTGGAACCTCACCCGTCGTAGACTAAGTACGTCTCGGATATTCAGGTATTCAGCAACCTTGAGCAAAGTGTCGAAAGGGAGTTCGCACAGCTTGTGAGGCATGGTAACCAGATAGCTTGCCATGAAGATGGGAAAGGCGCTTAGTATAGACACCTCTCGCGCAAGCCGAGGGTATATACTCGAGTGCAGCCAGGTCGGCTAGTCACACGGATCCCAGCTCAGGGGCCCCTACCTATGAACGACAGGGGCCACCACGTCAACGATTTAAGGGAGTTGTATGGGAGAAACGCGTCCGGTGAAGACAGACAACGACGCGCCGAAAATCGCGACTAACCCGTCGCGCAACATAGGGGCTAAAGAGTCTGAGAACCCTCCTGTTACCCTCATTACACTATAATACAGATTAAGGTAAACTACGAACAATGTTCTTCCAATCCTGCAAAACAGACATGTTCATATCCCTTGGTTCACAAAAGGCGAACAAACACGTACTTTATGCCGTAAAGACCTAAAGTCCTCGACGCTGACGATGTGCAGCAGGTACTTGCCGACCTTCTCGAGCTCGCGGTCGCTCAGCGCTTCCTCGCTATACGCGTTTTTGAACGCCCTTATCTTGAGCCCTTCGTTGGGATTGAGCGCAAAATTCCGACTCTGAACAGGCGTCAGGAAATGCGGGGCGTCGCAGCTTGCTCTTACAAACTCACTAGATCGTCCACGTGGATCGTGTTCTTGGCGCTATATTGCGGGAAATGGTTCCAGATGATCTGCAACGGCTTCACCGAATGAGAGTAGGTCTGACCCTTCCGTTCGGAGAAGACGGTAAACATCGTGGTCTTGTCTAGCACTGGTCTTACGCATCAGTACCTCGTCTCTGACATTGAGAAAACAAGCCTCACTTACCAAACGAAATCTAAGGTAATCGTCAGCCTCGGACGGAAGGACCGATGCAGCCACTCACTTGGTAATTCTTCGTGGACCCTATCATCTCAAGTTCTACGAGCTTGGCTTCAAGCCATCTCCAACTCGTCTGAGACCTTCATCATGGCGCGTCTAGCTCGATGCATCTCAGGGGAACCCGGTTTACGTACCATATGCAAATATCATAGTACGGGTATATTGCCTCGAGAAATTCATGAAGCCCCGGTCGTGCGCACTCCGCTGGGGGTAGCGACCCTGATGTTAACGGTTTAGTGTCAAGAATAGCTGCATACATGTTCAGTAAAGTTAGCGCCCGACATGAGTTGCAAGGATGAGAGACCATACTATAGTCAATGTCCAGCACTAGCAAGCGTTTGCCTGGGCGTAGCGGATGTATGATGTTGATCTCGAGCCCTTTGGATATCTCCTTGACCTTCCGAATGTTGCGCTGATCGTTTAAGTATGCCATCGCCGCGGCAGGATTCTCAGTGAAGTCGACATCGAGGTCATTGACGACATCGGGCAGGAACTCGAGTTCTAATGGCGGCGGTCGTGCACGTTAGTGTACCCGATAAGCCTTCAGCCGTAACGCAAGCGCACGTACGGGAGGGGTCTTTGATCTCGGCACCCTCGGGCGTCCCAATCAGGGTGAACTTCTTTCCCGTGCTCAGCTTGAGATCAGCGCTGTTGTGCGTCTCAGTCCGTGAATAGCTCACGCGGTGCACGGGCGACGCTACTCACATTCGGTCTTGATCTGGGGGAAGCTTGCCTTTGACAAGTCCGAGTATCTTCTGTCTCTCTGGAGGAACATTGGTAAGGCTCATCAGGGCAGCCTTGAGATCGAACACTCTGGCGAAGCCAACATCGACGCGTCAGAATCTGGCATGGCAAGAATTGGGACGCGCGTCAACGAGACGACAGGCGAGAGTCAGACTGACCTGTCCGATTCTGCGAGCTCGAGGGCGAAGGGCTTGCCGGACCATGTGAAGGTGAGCTTGAACCATTTTTCAGCGGGGAGGTTGTCCTGGGTGATTACGTCCTGTATGGATAGCCGCGTGTCAAGACCCCACTCAGGACCTTAATGGGTTCACTCGCTTCGACGGTGGAGACGATGGTCTGCGCTGGCAGATCGACGCTGGATGGCGCGTTTGGTGCTGACATCAGGCGATATAGGACAAGATGAGCGCGTTGGAACGACAATGAGCGCTGCAGAGGGGAGCAGGGATGCAGGGGGCGTGTTTTGTGCTCGGTGGATGCCAAAATGGGACCTGGGGTTCAATGAACGACCTCGTAAGTTTCTGACTCCGCGAATATGTGATCGGTCCAATGCCCCCGCTCGGACGACGCACCGGATTCTCGGGCAAAACTCATGACTCTCTCTGTCGCTGGCTTCAGCAGTCTTAGATTGTCGACACAAGGAAACTATATCTGTCTCAGTTCTCGATCTACCCAGCGATATCACACGCGCACAACAACCTACAAGAACCTCAACACCAGGACTACCGCCTCCGGGGTATCCATATACCCACGTACACGTCTCTTCTCCACCACCAGTGATATGCCCGCAGCCAAACCAACACCCGCAGAACCGCGCCCTTCAGCAAGCCTGATCGTCATCAACGACAAGAACGAGATCCTGCTCGTCCAGCGGAACCCCAAGGCGCGCTCGTTCGCAGGCCAGTATGTGAGAGCACCAATCACACCCACCACACCCCAGAGCTGATCGAGATCCCCCACAAAGGTCTTCCCGGGCGGGAACTACGACCCCAAGCAGGACACCTCGCTCGCCATAACCGCCATCCGCGAGACATTCGAAGAGTCCGGTCTGCTCCTCGCCAAGTCTGCTGCTGACAGCCCGCCTCTGAGCGACGCCGCCCTCGACGCGGCGCGCACCGCCATCCACGGCCAGACGCTCGCGTTCCAGACCTTTCTCGCGCAGCACAGCCTCGCCGCGGACGTCAACGCCCTCCTCCCGTTCACCACCTGGGTCACCCCGCCCGCCCAACCACGCCGCTTCCGCACGCAGTTCTTCCTCGCCTTCCTCGCCCCCTCCCCCTCCTCTCCTAGTGCTGGCGCTGGTGCCGGTGCCGCTAACTTCACATCCGGCACCAAATCCGACCGCCTCCCAACGCCCGACGGCGGCCAAGAAGTCATCCTCGCCCAATTCGTGCACCCCGCCGACGCGATCGCGCACTTCAAAGCGGGCACAATCGGCATGTTCCCGCCGCAGTACTACATCCTCGACACGCTACGCCCGCTCCTCGCTGGGCGCCGCACCACGGAGGCGCAGCGGCAGCGGCTCGCGGCGCTGTCGCGGAGCGCGTTCGGGGCGCTCGAGATCAATCCGAAGGTGACGATGGTCGAGGGCGGTGACAGGGAGGCGCGCTTTTTCTTGTACGAGGGCGACGAGCTGCGCGGAGGCGCACCAGGGACGATTCATCGTGCGGAGTGCAGGCTGAAGAACGGTGTAAGCGGTTTTCGTCTGTGCCAGTTGTTCGCTCATTCTGAACTTTCCCATCAGGTTTTCGCCGACATCGAGCTCAAGCGGAACTTCGACCTATTTACCGACATTGAATCTGTAATACCCAAACCAAAATTGTAATATCATACCTGCACAACGGGTTTGACAACCCGTTTCGTAACCTTTCCTATAGGCCAGCAACATTGTTTCAACACATCACATCCATCTATTAGACCCGCAAACGTAAGTAAAAAAGGGTAATCTGAAGCTACATGGGGGGAAATATCCAGAGACAAGCGGATATATGGGTGGGTCTATAGCTACACTGTTTCCGTTCCGAGGTGAAAGCAAAGGGGAATAAAAAGCGTAAGAAAAAGGTGAGATGAAAGCGTATGGACATGAACGTCGGGCATTAAGCAAGGAGAACAAGAGAAGGTCAGAGTCCGAGGTAATACATCACATAGGGTTCACGAGATCATGACGAGCGTGCGGCATCTCATAGGCAGTGGGGAGAGCTTGCGTCGCTCAAATGCTGTAGACCTGATAGTCATACTGGACGGAGGCGCCCCAGAAACTGGTTGTACACGCGCCAACATCGGTGAGGCCAGAGGACCCCAAGTTGATCGCGTTAACGTCCGAAGAGGTCGCAGCCTGCCAGCTCGTGTAGGACGACCCAGACGGATTCGGATTGCCGTTCGCCATAAAGGACTCGTAGCGCGCCTGCATCTCATTGACAAGCGACGTCTGTGCGGCGCTCGGGCTCGGGACCGTGCCAAACTATCCAGCATTTTAGATGACGTTAGAATCGGGATAGAGATAGAATACAGCAAGGAAAGAACTTACCACAATCTCGATATCATCCTGATGACACACGACCCCCTCCTCCGTACAATACCCCACCGCGCTATTGCCCGGATAACTCGCGCCGAGCGTATACATCCCCACATACGCCGTCCCCCCATTCGCGACCCAGTTCCGCGCAAACGTCCACGTCGCACATCGCCAGATCGAGTCCGTGCCGAGCGTCTCGAGCATCGGCCGGTAGTCCTCCGCGCTGTCCTGCGCGTCGGACGCGTACAGCTGCGACGAGAGCAGCACCTGCGTGCGCGGCGTGCCGAACGTGCCGTTCACGGCCTGCTCGTATTCCGACTCGGACACGGAGGAGGTGTAGTACCCGTAGATCGTCAGCGCGGCCTCGTCGAGCACATTCGAGAGCACGATCGGCTTCGATACTTTGGGGAAGGGCGTGCTGGAGTCGAGCGTGGAGGTGACGAACGAGTTGTCGTACACGACGCGCATCGGCTCGGCTTGGTTCGCGGCGGGGACGACGGTGTAGGCGTCGCTGAAGACTTTGAGGCCGGCGCCGTTGACGATGCTGTCTGCCGAGAGGCCGTTCAGGCATGAGGCGTCCGTGGCAGAGCAGTTCAGCTGGGAGACGAAGTAGTCCTGGATTTGTGACTGGTCCGATGTGGACAGGAAACCGTAGTCCTAGCGAAGCGTCGATCAGCCACTATCAGAGGGATAGCTCAAAGACAACATACCATAGGGTCTGACTGGAGGATAGCAGACTGAAACAAGGAGTCCGCTGAGGGTACAGCGAGCAAAGCGCGAATCATGTTAGCACCGCTGCTCTGCCCGGCGATCGTAATCTTCGACGCAGAGCCTCCAAAGGCGGGCACGACATTGTTCAAGAACTGCATCGCATTGACTGCATCCTTGAGACCAAGATTCGTCTGCCCATTCGGTGCGACAAAGCCGAGCTAGACAAAAGCGGCGCATCAGCGCAACTGTACAACAAGTCAGACGAATAAAATGCAAACGCACAGCTCCCAGACGATATTGAATGACTGCAACGATGGAGTTGGTAGCTTTTGCCAAGGCGGAACCGTCAAGACCAGCGCCGGTCGCAGAGCCCACCATAAAAGAACCGCCATGGATCCTGTACAAGTTCAATTGTCTTTTGAGTGGAGTTCGACAAAAAAGACCGTGATCATTGTTACTTACCACATGAAGGTGGGTGCTCCACTCGAAGCTGTGAGGGTGGCTGGCACGTACAAGATCATCGACAAACAATCTTCACTGTACGTCGACGAGTCCGCAGAAGGCTGCGGGCACATCAGCGGCACGGCCGACGCGTTCGTCGAGCCATTACTATATCACAGCGGAAGCAAAATCAGAGACCGAAAGTCAGCAATCAAGCTGAGACAACCTGGAGCAACGGATCGGCTTACGGAAGTTCCCACGTGGCCGCGATCGTCGAGGGCTGCCAGCGATCAGCGGAAGCATACCTGACCGCGAACCGGTTGACACCCGACACGTCGACGACGCCCTGCGCAGTGCCCAGCGCCGTCTGTACTGCCGTCGAGCCTGCTGACGCGAACGAGGACCACGGGTCATTATTCCACCTCGAGAAGCCTGATAGACCCTTGAGCATACCGGAAACGTCGTTCAGGATCTCGGATAGGCTTGATATGCCGCGGGAATCTACGCGGGCTGACAGGTCGGGCGGAGAGGACGCGGGGAGGGCCAGAGCGGGTGAGACGACGAGCAGGGCCGAGGAAAGGATTTTGAGGAGGGCGACCATGGTGAATGAGACTCGGGGGAGTTGAGAAGGAGGAAGGGATGGCGCCGGGAGAGAAATAGCAGAGGCGACGCGGTCTTAAATATGTACACTGAGGTGTGCTCGCCGGCGAGTGGGAGATGAGAGCGTCAAGGAGTCGAGCGCTCAAGGAACAGGGAAAAATGAACAGAAACAGAAAGGGAGCACAAGAACGCGAGGAACGGTAGGTGGGTGGGCGTCAGGGGAGAGGCGGACACTCGCATATGAACGATCCACAGTCTGCAGAGGAAACAACGCGCCTCTAATCGGGAAGCGCCCAATCCACGTCGTCGTCGTTAAGTACCTCTTCCTCCGTCCCTGGCTATTTGCGTCCGGCACCTTTGTTCCCTAAAAGGCCCTCCATCTTACTTCGGGGTGCCTGCATATCCTCACCACGCGTCGGAGGGCTGCTCCTGTCACGGCTCAAAAGGTCCTGGACCCACTCGTCCTCATCTGCTGCTCGCGCGACCCGTGTTTGATGGTATGCTCTTGACATCTCAGTGACTGTTGCGACCACTGGAAAGACAAGTTCTTGTTTCTGAACCCGTCAATGAACACAGCAAATGTCAGTCGGAGAAAATAGGCACCATGGGGAATCTTGTTGAGATGTCCTCATAGGACACTGGTGGTCTGGTCAGAGTCGGCTGGTTCGCCTTGACAAGCTGCCAAATAACCAGTGGTAGCTCAAAGTTGCTAAAGAGCAGACATCACGAGTGTCCTCTAGATGCAACGCCAGCCAGCCACATCACTCGGACTCTGAGATAAGGGAACCTCTCTCCACACCAAGCCCAAGCAAAACAATAAGCGCGGGAGCGACGCTCGGTGCAAGTAGACCGACTCTTGCTTCCTGTCAATGAATCTACCCACGCACATCGCTTGCTGCGAGCGCTCGCATACTCCAGCTCAAGACGAGACGATCATCTGAGGATCACAATCACGGTGACTGACGAGGACCTCAACTGCGGGAATCTACGGAAATATTGCATCACCTCCGGGCTCCGAGCTTCCAGAATCTCTCAGCTTAGGCACCCATTCACTTTCTGCTTTTTCTCCCATGGGCGCCTTCAGGCACTCGACGCCATGCACCCGCATTTTCAGGCGGCGACGCGTGCCACAAAGGCCCACCGCACATCACCGGGCGCCTCCAGACTGTTGTTGTACTCGTATCGGGATTAACTGGCGGCTTGTCTCGGCTTCAAGCTGCGCACGCGAACGACGGAACTGCGTCGACGCGAGGCACCGTCCACAGGCACGAAGTTCCATCTCGATCTCGCGAGAGGCCTCCGAGGGGTAATTGAGTCTCTCCGTCACTTCGAACCGACTTCGAGGAACACCGCGATGTTTCTGAACTGACGTACGCATGCCTAGCATCTGAGATGGTCATCGGGGCGCGTAGGGTATTTTTGGACAGCGTTAAAGAGCTGTCATCGGCTCTGAACACGCGCTGGGAGTACAAGGCATCCAAGGGCGCGACGAACGCGTGTTCTGTGAAGATCAAGAGGTGTATCACTGTTTCGTCAACTCGATGCTGTCATACAACATAAATCAAGATCTGTTTTAAACAAAGGTAGCGTCACTTGCTGTCATAAAGCGAAGGACATTTAGAGGGCGTATATTTGTTGTATTCTTGTCTTGAGCGCTTTACAGCAGAGTTGTGTGGTTACCGACGTGCTTTGATGCAGTATAACAAGGAATAATCGTTACTGGTTTGTTGTTCACGATAAAATTGGATATATGTATGACTTGAACATAGCCATGTGGAGGAAAGGCGGTATGACGAGATGTCTAGATGTTTATGTTGTAGCGGCAACTACCGACTTTCCATTTTCGGCGAGACATGACGCCTTCACGGCTTCATGTCGACCCCCGTGCTGCCAAATGGTCCCAGTGACTCCCCAGTCAAAATGTGCGTATACCTCTTTTGTTTATCAGCTTTTTGTTGTCTTACGGGGAGCATTCTGCAGCCTCACAGTGGGTGCTGCTGTCGGCAACATTCGTGAACTCTTCACCAAAATCAAGGCCATAGACGCGAAACATGGCAAGTTCGACTTTGCCCTCTGCGTTGGAGATTTCTTCGGGCCTGTGAACACGGAGAACCTGATATCAGAGAAAGAGGGCGAGATACAAGAGCTCTTGGATGGCAAGATTGAAGGTGAGTGGTACGCTGTCTAGTCGACCTTTGGACGCGTTGCTGAATGTCTGAACGTGAAGCGCCCATGCGATGCTACATCATGCAAGGAGAACACCCCTTGCCGTGGTCGGTGATTCAGAGCTATACCAAGACCTCCGGAGAGCTGTGCAAGGACGTATTTCTTCTCAGTGAGCGAACTAGCCCTTTCGTACCTGCCTATGCTCATCATTCCTGCTAGACAAACAAGCCGTTCTCACCACCGCTCACGGGCTCCGTATCGCCTGCCTCGGAGGAAAGTATGACGGGCAGGAGTACACAAACGAGCAGCACGGACCTGTCCGTACCCCTTCCTCCCTTGCATTCGCCATAAGTCCTAACCTTACCCCACCATCCCAGCCATTCAGCTACGCGTCCTACACCTCCGCAAACGTCGAGCAGCTCCTCTCCAACAGCCTCACCAAAACCGCGTCCGCCAACAAAGCGCAGAGCTACACCTCCCTCGCCGCGATCCGCGACGCCGCATCGTCCTCGTCGCTCGTGGATATTCTCCTCAGCCACGACTGGCCGTCTGCCGTCACGCAGTTCTCCGCGGCACCGCTTGCGCAGCCAGATCTCGCGCCTGCAGGCGTGCACGCGCTCGACGAGGTCGTGCGCAAGGTCAAGCCGAGGTACCATTTCTCGGCGGGCGGTGGGAGCCCACCGCAGTTCTGGGAGCGGGAGCCGTATGTATGGAACGACGAGCAGGGGCGCGTGTCGAGGTTCGTGAGTCTAGGTGCGTTTGGTGGGGAGAGTAGTACTGGAGGGAAGAAGCCGAGGGTATGTGGTCCGACTCTGGGGAGCGTTTGATGCGGTGCTGACGGGACTTGGTACTAGTGGTTCTACGCGTTCTCGATACAGCCCTCGGGGCCGGCATCTGCGCGGCCTGCTAATGCGACCAAGAATCCGTTCATTGAGAGTGTTTCTCGGCCGCCGAAGAGGCATTTCGAGGACACGGACTCTGGTGGTGGTAACTATATCTGGGGCAATGTTGGCGATGCTGGCAAGCGTATGCGGACAGGGGCTGGTCCGGGTGGTCCTCCTCAGAAGGGCGGCAAGCCACCATCTGGGTACAAGTGCAAGGTTTGCGAGTCGACCGAGGTGCGTGCGCGCGGTGTCTAGAAGTTTCTTTACTGACGCCTACCCAGCACTTTATCAACGACTGCCCAGATCGCGAAAAGCCACCAGAAAGCTACATCTGCAAGATTTGCAACACAGTGCGCTCCCATCTAGTTTGGATCTCTGCATTCATTGACCCTTCGCGCTAGCCCGGCCACTTCGTACGCGACTGCCCAACTCGTCATCAAGTAGGAGACACCGGCGGACGGAAACCACGCGAAGGATACGTGTGCCGAGCGTGCGGCAGCGAGCTGCACTACATCGATGACTGTCCTACTGTGAAAGCGCGTCCAGCCCACGAGGGAAGAGGGAAACGTGGCCCGCCCAAGGAGATCACATGTAAGCCCCGCCACCCCAAACTCACGTCCCCCCTCCTAATCTCCCCGTCCTCGCAGCCGACGAATGCTGGTTCTGCCTCTCGAACCCAAACATCGCGTAAGCACCCTCCCCCAGACCCCATCTCCACAAACCCTAATCCAACTCAACCCCACACCAGAAAACACCTCATCGTCTCCATCGGCACCGAATGCTACCTCTCCCTCCCCAAAGGCCAAATCCCACCCACCCAAGGATCCGCCGCCGCCTCCCACCCCAACGCGCCCCGCATCCCCGGCGGCGGCCACGTGCTCATCATCCCCATCACGCACCAGCCCTCATACAGCACCATCCCCGCCGCGCTCGCGCCGCCCATCCTCGCCGAGACAGACGCATACAAGCGCGCGCTGCGCGCGCTGTACGCCAAACACGGCGCGGCCGCCGTGTTCTTCGAGGTCGCGCGGCTGAGCGCGAAAGGCGGGCACGCGCACGTGCAGGCCGTGCCTGTCCCGCTGAAGCTCAGGGACAGCGTCGAGCGCGCGTTCAGGGCGGAGGGGCAGCTGCTGAATGTCGATTTCGAGGCGGACGCGGACGCCGCGCTGGCGGCGTGTGCGGGTGGGCGGGGGAGCTATTTCAGGGTGGATCTGCCGGACGGGGGGAAGCTTGTGCATCTTATCAAGGAACATGTGCCGTTTGGGATTCAGTTTGGGAGGTGAGTTGCGGGGGTCGTCTCGAGTCGGTTTAGTAGGCTAACGTTGTGCGTTGCAGACAGGTTCTCGTTACGCTTCTAGACATGGCTGACAGATTCGACTGGAAGGCATGCACGCTCTCGGAAGAGGAAGACAAAGCCGACGCCCAGGCATTCAAGAGCGCGTTCGCGCCCTTCGATCCGTCACTATAGCTGCCCTCAGGTTTCTTAGCCGTATACAATCGAGCCCATGTTGCATTTTAACAACATAAAGATTTAACACATGTACTCCGTGTCTAATATACATTCCCAAAAAACGTCTTTACGCGTCACTGTCGTGTTTTCATCATCACGTTACCTGCCGCCTAGATGTGATCATGAGGGTGGATCTCGAGCGACTTCCTGTAGCTGTGGCCCATCTTCTTCGTGCCGGACTTAGCCTTGGCAAGGACATTTGCCATCGCATCGAGACCTACAAAGCGAAAGGAGGGGCATGAGCAACGACACTAACCAAACTAACTCATGAGCGTGGGACGCACCCTTGTCAAGGTCCTCCAGAGGAGGGCCAAAGGACAGGCGGACAAAGTGGTGACAGGGGGAGCTGAACAGGTTGCGGCGGTGCGACGGATTGATGTCGAAGAAGATACCGGGGATGACGATCGTCTGCTCCTTGAGCAGCTCCTCGAAGAAGGTCTACATGCGCGAAGACCACGCCCATTAGCTATCAAGCAGGTAGAATCTGTCGCCGGACGGAGGACATACCAGGCCGTTGTTGAGCGGGGGCGGAAGCTTCTCGAGGTTGAGCCAGATGTAGAACGTGCTGTCGGGCGGGACGTCGACGTCGAGGTGGAGATCGTGCAGCCGCTTGAGGACGTGGTCGCGCTTGGCCTTGAAGTGCTTCTGGAGCGCGAGCTGGGATACATTGCGTTAGCCGTACCCAGACCTAAAAGGTGAACGGGGGGTTTATGCTAACCTTTTCCTTGGCAACGTGGTCGGGATGAAGCATAGGGATAGCAGCTAGCTGCATGCTGTGAATAATGTTTAGGCAGGGGTAGCCAATCAAGCCGTAGATAAACGTACGGGTGGTTAGCACCGCCATCCAAGAACGAACCAGACTGCGAGAGCGCAGTGATCAGGTTCTTGGGGCCGATGACCCAGCAGATACGCCAACCCGGCAGACGCCAGTTCTTGGTGAGACCATCGATGATGACGACCGAGTCCTATCAAGTATAAACGTTAAAACACACAGAAATCACAATGAGAACAGGCACATACAGCATTAACATCGTCGACGTACTCCGCCGAGGAGACAGACTGGCCAAAGTCCTGTTCGTTCTCGGGGTAGATGTACCAAGAATAGAACTGCGATGCGGAGGCAATTCCAAAAATAACACCAAATCAGACCATGCGGCTATAAATAGAGTGATAGCGATTGGGGGACCCACCTCATCAAGGATGACCGTCGTACTCTCGCGGGAGAGGGCGACGAGGTCCTTCAGATCCTTGCCCCTGCGACGGCAGCATCAGACAATGAGAAGGCATAAGCGGGACATAAGACACGTACTTGATAACCTGGCCGGTGGGATTCCGAGGGTTGGATGCGAGAATAACGGCGAGACCCTGGGTGTGGATGTCCCTCTGCAGACCAGACCCAATCAGAGGTTTGAGCCAATCAGATAGCAAGAGAAGACCGTACCTTGGTTTGCTCGATGTCAAGCTTGTACTTGGCCTATATATAGAACCGTGTCAGTAACTTCGTGCGCAGATCGTCACCGGGACGTGAATGAATGACCTTGGGGTCCAGTCTATAGGCCGCCGTCAGGATACAACAAGATCAATGCTACTTGGAGAATCGACTCACGCGGTGGGCACGGGCACGAGGCGCTTGAAAGCACTCAGAACCTGATCGTAGGCGGTGTAATCCGGGATCTGATACGACTGCGGAATCGTCAACACGGCGCCCTTATCCGAGGAGAGATAAGCACAACATACGGTATAGACATCGCCAATAACGGCAGCGACACGCGAGAGACCAGCGCGACCACCGGGAACGATGCACACGTTCTCGTATGTGTACTGGCTGTCCTTGCCCTGGCGATAGGTGTGGTTGTACAGGTTCGCGACCGCATCGCGGAGCTCTTAAAATACACGCAGATGGATGAGCACAGGTCGTGATTCCAAGGCTATTCTTGGAGAAAGACGCACCCTTGACACCCGTGGTGGGGGCGTACTCGAGCGATTCCAAGGGCATCTCAATCGAGCTCGGGCGCTCCGGGGCGCCGGGGATGGGGCCCACCTCGGGCGCGCCCTGGCCGAGGTTGGCCCACTCGTGCGATTTGGCGTAGCTGAAGCCGTTGGCCATAGCGCGGTCGGAGCAGTAGATGACACCGGTGGAGCCGGGGTGTTCGATGCCTGGCACGGTCTCTTCATCCTAAAGCATATAATCTGTGAGCACGTCGTCGTCGACGGCGAGGGTGATACTACGCACGGGGTTGATTGTCTGGGGGAGGATACCCTTGGGCTGGTGACCGGCGGTCTGACGGAAGATCTGGGCGAGGCATTGAGCGTTAATACTGACACGGGGCGTGGCGAACGCGGTAGTCATACCTGGTGAGCCTCCGACTCTTTCTCGTGCCTAAAGTTCTTCATGACTTCGTGAACCTGGTTACGAAGGTTTTGAGTGGAGGGCCAGTGAGGGAGGTGTGGCATATGCATAATGCAATGGTCAGAAACGAGAGGGTACAGGGCAGGAGGGCTGGTAGATATAAACTTACAACGTCTCTTAAACGTGGTGTGCCGCTGCGAGAAGGATAATTGCTGGGCGGACGCGACATGGGTTATAAGGAAGTGATTGATATATATAATACTAGAGCTTCTGCGATGGCAAGAATAGCAGCTGGCAGGTGTCTAAATATGTAACAAGTCGGGGTTGAGGGTGACCGGACAGTGATGCAACTACCCAGGTCATCGATCATCGCGGGGCTATTTATATGTGGGCACCCACTGGCCATTCCAGGGCAACCTTTCTTCAGGTAACAAACCGTACAGTCGCCATCGCTCCGCATTGCCATACGGGCCAGCTGATCGTACCGCGCGTACGACGCGGTTGGTGACCGTTGAATCCAGCGTAAAGCAGGGGGTGTTGAGTGTTGGACGTCCAGATGATGCAATGTGCCCGGTCGCCTGAAGCGGAAGATGAATCAAGGAATTCGCTCAAAAAGGCGCACTCGATATGTCGCGAAAGGTCACTCCACCGTGCTTCAGGGGGAAAATGCTGGTCAGAGGGCTCGGGAAGGGTGAGAATCCGAGCGACAGTTTTCTGATCGACATGGATCTCGTTTTAAGCGTTTCCAATGGAGGCAAAATCGTACCAGCCAATGGCCAGAGACACTACGTTCGGGCTAGTGTTCCCGCCACTCGCGGTGGCTGACAGTGGCTGACGTCGCTATGTCGGTTCGTGGAGAGCTCGAACAGGAAAACCGTGGCGTCGAGGGAAAGAGCGAGACATGCACCGATTCTAGAAGATCGATGGTTTCTGGCCGGCTCGTTCGTTGCTGCAGGGAGTCTCCAAGCCCCGTCATCGCAACCAGGATCCTAAGCGATCTGAATCTAGCCGAGGCATCGTGGGTAGATGTGGATCCAGTAGAGCAGAAGGCCATCATGGCATCATTCGACAGCTTCCGTCATGGCAAATGTGGGGACTTGCAGCTCCTGTAGGTGCACTGCGCTAACATGAAACGCGTCGATGACCTCGTACTTTATCCTGTGGACTCATATATACTGCATGTGCGATTCCACGCTACAGCAGTTGCTGTTGTCTTCCACTGAGGAGAGGTGAAATTGTCATCCGATTGGTCCTCGTTACCCCGGAAACTCCCGCCCAGGCGGATCTTGCGATTGGAGGGGTGGATGCTGCCAACCGCTGTACATACGCCTTTATAGCCAGGATTCGGCAAATCGGAGGGCTATATAATAACTACGTGTTGAGCCAACCGGATCTCTCAGCTCCGTCTGTCTCACTCGCACTAGAGCTTAGACTCTCCCCGTCTTATACCTCTTCTTTGAACCAGTTATACCACTTGCGCCATGTCGACGCCTGCTAACAAGTTCCTCCCCAGCCCCAAGACCGCCGCGGTGCGTTCATTAGCTCCTTCCAGCTTTGCGCGATTTACTGACGTGTCATAGATTGTTGGATGCCCGTTCAGGTGAGATCGATATGTTTGCTTCCGTAAGATGCTAGAGACTCAGCTGGATGGCGGTCTACAGGGGTGGACAGGTGAGCAGCATTCAAGCTCACGCGTATCTCGAACATATCCCCTGATCCTCTGTTCAGCCTAAACTCGGCGTCGACAAGGGTCCCATCCATCTCGTCGAGGCCGGTCTCGTATCCCAGCTCGAGGAGCTCGGTTGGAAGGTCCAGTTTGACGGTCACCACCAGTTCGAGTCGCTCGCGGCAGAGAGCGACCCTCCGATCGGCAAGCTCAAAAACCCGCGCCTCGTCTCGAAGGTGTGCGAGTCTGTCGCACAGGCTGTTGGCGGACATGCCAAGGCTGGTCAGCTCCCCGTCACCCTCGGTGGGGACCACTCTCTTGTACGCTGCTGTTCGTTATCGTTGTGATAAGTTGTGCTAAGTATAGGTTTGAATAGGCTATGGGCACTATTTCTGGGACGCTTGAGTGAGTCTTCGTTTCTGTTGGCCAGCCATTCATCTCGGAAGCTTATTTGGCACTTCAGCGCGTATCCCGATGCCTGCGTTGTCTGGGTCGACGCGCACGCCGACATAAACACGTCAGAAACCACCGACAGCGGTATGTCACGTCCCTCCCCTATCCTGTGTCTCCTCCCATCTCATCTTCCGCCCACAGGAAACATCCACGGTATGCCCGTCTCCTTCCTCATGGGCCTCGGCGAGAAGTACTCCGAGTTCTCGTGGATAAAGCCCGCGCTGCGCACGGACCGGATCGTGTACATCGGCCTGCGCGACATCGACTCGGGCGAGAAGCGCCTCCTGCGCGAGAATGGCATCAAGGCATTCAGCATGCACGAGGTCGACCGGTACGGCATCGGGCGCGTCGTCGAGATGGCGCTCGACCACGTCAACCCGAAGCGCGACCGCCCGGTCCACCTCAGCTTCGACGTGGACGCGCTCGATCCTAGTGTTGCGCCCTCGACGGGTACGCCTGTCAGAGGCGGGTTGACGTTTAGGGAGGGGCATTATATTTGCGAGGCGATTCATGAGACGGGGTTGTTGGTTGCGTTGGATTTGATGGTGCGTTTTTGCTTGTTGCGAAGATTGGATTCGCGGCTGATATGGAAATGTAGGAGGTCAACCCTTCTCTGGCGGATGCTGAGAGCGTGCGGCAGACTGTTGCGGTCGGGTGCTCGCTCGTGCGCTCGGCGCTCGGCGAGACGCTGCTGTGATTTGACGATCTGCGAATATGACAATGAGAGTCTACCACTGTATCTACTAGGACAGCTGTCTTGATTACCACCCTTAATGTGTCCATAGCACAGTGACTCGAACAATGTACAGACAACTTGCGGTGATCAGCTAAACGAGACCGAGGACGCTTACATTGATTGCAGTAAAACCCGGAATGCATAATCCGCGACATGTTTCAAGGCTTGGTTATGTTTGTGGTGCATCTGCCAAGACGCAATACCGCACACACCCACACCAGCGTCGCGAACTCGCGCGTCTCTCTTCCGAAACCTTCATCACCAGCCCCTGAGGCTAACCGTAATCGCTCATGTCTTCCTCCGACTCTACACCACAAGCTTCCGACGCGATACTTGAGGTGAATCCGTACGAAGGCGACAAGAGGCTCTCACATGTCGAGGCCGAGGTCCTCTGGGAGTACGCGAAGCTCGCACACCACGTCAAGGATGTGAGTATTTCTTGCTGAGTCGCGTCCCCCTGCTCCTGCTAGCGGCATTCACGCCTCTGCGGACCATATTCCTCGTGTTTGACAATCTGGCGTACTCATTCCTCTTCTTTTCTTAGCTGACTAGTACGGCTCGCCGACTCACCGAAGGACCCGATGCGCAGCTGCTCGCAAAGCTGAGGGTGCTCGAGTCTAAGATCGGTCTGGTGTTCACCCTCGTGCGTTTCTCATCTTCGCTGCTACCTTCCTCATCCCTCCTCCTCCTCATGATTTCTTACGTTTGGGATATGCAACGTCTCTGATGCGCAACCTTCCTTCCGCGATGTTTAGTTGAGAGCGTCAGTATGGGGCGTGATCAACGAGCAGGCTCCGCTTGATGCCGACGCGGACCAGGACCAGGACGTGGACGCAGACCTGGATGTGACCGCCCGATACGCAGACTCGTCCGCCGATACGACCATTCGACGGTGACGCAGCGAAGAAACGACGCGCTTTCCTTCCCTCCTTCCTTCATTCCGAGCGGCGCACTTCGGCCCTGGTCCTTTGTAGCATCATCTACCCACTATACCATGCTCTGGTCCTCTGTATCAATATGCTAATGAACATTGACGATCGCGGTTTCTCGCTTCATCGGATGCACAGCGCAGGAGAAGAAGTCTAATATGCATGTGTATCCAGATGCGTATGCGTATGGCCGTACGTCGGGCGCTTATCTGTCAAGCTCGCACATGCTCGGCGAAGTTGCCTTTAAACGACATATGTTCGTGACTCATTCGGAGGGCCTGTACTTAAGGCCTGTGGGGCGGACGGCCTTGTGACTCGACTCGCTCTTACTCCATGTCGTCCCCTGCTAACAAGTTTCTCTCAAGCCCCAAGACTGTCGCCGTACGCTGTCTCGTTTCCTCACTTCAGATCGATGTTCTGACCTGCTATTAGATCGTCGGTTGTCCTTTCGGGTAAGTATATGCGACGTTTCTTCTTTCAAAGGTGTTAGGTGCTCACTGAAGGGCTTCCATCTCAAGAGGGGGCGGGATACCGGTACGCAACCCTTCCTTGGGCGAGACGTCCACATATTGACCCGAGTCTGCTACCTAGACTAAAGCTGGTGTCGATAAAGGTCCGAGCCACATTGTTGACGCAGGTCTCGTCACCCAGCTTGAGGAGCTTGGTTGGAAGGTGGAGTTTGATGGGCACCAGCGCTTCGAGTCGCTGGTTCCAGAGAACGATCCGCCTATCGGCAAACTGAAGAATCCGCGGACGGTCTCAGCCGTGTGCGAGTCCGTGGCAAAGGTCGTGGGAGGGCACGCCAGAGCTGGACGGCTGCCTGTCTCGCTCGGAGGCGATCATTCTCTTGTATGTGGTGCATGACGTCGTTGTGAGCCTGAGTATTGCGTGCTGAATGCAGAGGCAACCAGGCCATGGGTACCATATCTGGAACTCTGGAGTAAGCGTTCATGTTATCAGCAACTGCTTATTGGTCGGGGGTACATCTGACCGGCTGCTGCAGTGCTTACCCCGATGCGTGTGTCATCTATGTCGACGCTCACACAGACATCAACACAGTCGCCACCACCGACAGCGGTATGGTTCTCCTTCGACACCTATTTTTTGACCGTGCTGACGTACATCGCGTTTCTCGCGCACTAGGAAACATGCACGGCATGCCCGTCTCCTTCCTCATGGGCCTCAGCAGCGGGGTCGATGCGTTCGCGTGGCTGAAGGGCGCCTTGCGTCCCGAGCGGATGGTGTACATCGGCCTGCGCGATCTCGACGCGAGCGAGAAGCGGATCCTGCGCGAGAACAGCATCAGGGCGTTCAGCATGCGCGACGTCGACAGGCACGGTATCTGCCGCGTCGTCGGCATGGCGCTCGACCGCGTCAATCCGGACAGGGACAGGCCGATCCACCTCAGCTTCGACATCGATGCGCTCGATCCGTCTGTGGCGCCTTCGACGGTTTTGCCGGTGCGTAGTATGATCGGCTTTTGGATGATGTTTATATTCGCTCCCGGATAGGTTCAAGGTGGTCTTACTTTCCGTGAAGGACATAGCGTATGTGACGCGATTCACGAGACAGGCCTGTTGGTAGCCCTTGACTTGGTGGTGAGTCTTGTCTCTAGCATGCGGGTGTGGCTGAGCCATGATTGCGTGTAACGGCAGGAGGTGAATCCTTCCATCGGGGATGTTAAAGACGTGCAACAGACGGTTAGAGTCGCATGCTCGCTGATACGCACCGCTCTTGGTCAGTGTTGCCTCCCCGCACTTGCTCTATTGATCTTCAAGCTTATCGTCTGTCCGTGCAGGCGAGACTCTAGTGTGATGTAGCGCAACACAGTAAAATCTTTGTACTTCTAGACACGGTATCTGATGATCGATGTTGTTCAGATTTATTCTTTTGGTGACGCCCTTGAACACAATTTTCTAAAGATAGCGACAAAGTAGCTCCAGACCTTCAGAGCTCCACACATCACGGAATCAATTGCGCGTCTCTTGAGACTGTCCTCAAGTGGATAACCGAATGCGCCTGTACTACAATACCTTTCGGGACTGTACTACCTTGTGTGGGGTGGCGTGTTCGTCATCTCCAGGCCTCAACACCACGACCGCACACCACACATCCATCGTGTCCTATGACGACTTCATGACTTAACTTGCTAGGTTCTCATTCACTTTCCTTGGGTTTTGTCATTATATAAAGTCTGGTGCAGAGCAAGCCACGCAAGAACGTACACCACTCATCATGTCATTATCTACTAATTCGTTCTCCGGACGTAAGACTGTCGCCGTACGTGTATATGCATCCAACTATGTGCGGCGTTCTGACGCGCTCCTAGATTGTTGCGTGTCCGTTCAGGTGAGAACGAGGATCTCGTCTTTACGCTGCGATAGGCCTCACGAAGTTGTTGATGGGTCGAAGGGGCGGAACGGCACAGGTGAGAATATCAATGGCTCCCGGCGAGACGCAAGTGAACGTGTCCGTGTGTGCCCAGACTGAACCTGGAATCGAAGACGGCCCTGTCCATCTGGTCGAAGCAGGTCTTGTCGGCCAGCTCGAGGGTCTCGGACACAAGGTACATTACGATGGGCAGATTCAGCTTGAACCACTCGCAGAGGGTGGAGATCCGCCGATTGGCAAGATCAAAGAACCGCGTTTCGCCGCTGCTGCTTGCAGGACTGTGGCGAGTATTGCTGGAAGATATGCCAAGGCTGGGCAGATTCCAGTTACGCTTGCTGGTGATCACTCTCTAGTTCGTGATAACTCTCTACCGCAACGATACAAGGGCTCAATGTAGGGCACCTGTGTAGGCCATAGGTACCATATCAGGAACACTGGAGTGAGCCCTGATCCTTCTTAAGCGCTGATTTGCACCAGAGACTTACATAAATGTCAGTGCTCACCCCAATGCGTGTGTCATCTGGGTGGACGCGCAAGCAGACATCAACACGCTAGAAACCACTCAACGTGGTGCGTTTTCGTCTCTACCTTTACTAGTTTCCTCTCTGACTGCGCTCGATATCATGGATTTAGGCAACATGAGCCGCATGCCTGTCTCCTTCCTCATGGGCATCGGCGAGCACATTGAAGAGTTTGAGTGGCTCAAAGGAGTGCTTCGTCCGGAACGTCTGGTCTACATTGGCCTTCGCAACGTCGACGCGCCTGAAATGCGAATACTACGCGAGAACGGTATCAAGGCTTTCAGCATGCACGATGTCAACGAACACGGGATCCATCGCGTCATGGACATGGCGCTCGACCATGTTAACCGGGAACGGGACAGGCCAATTCATCTCAGCTTCGATATGAATGCGCTCGATCCGTCGGTAGCTCCATCCACGAACTTGCCAGTAAGCGTTATATGTTCTTCTTCGTGGTCTTCACTCGTGGAAATGAGCCTATTTTAACGTTCTCCGATGGTTCGATAGGTTCAAGGCGGCCTCACGTACAGTGACGGGCACAGCATTTGCGAGGCAATCCATAAGACCGGTCTTTTGGTGGCCCTTGACCTAGTTGTACGTTGTCTCTCTTCGTACGCAAGCGATCTGGTGTGCGCATCCAATAATACTATGGAACTGGCAGGATGTGAACCCGTCCATCGGAGAAGCCCAAGACGTGCAACAAACGGTCGAAGTCGGCTGCTCACTGATACGGACCGCACTTGGTCAGTGTCTCTTGTGTAGATTCGTTTGACGTTTCATCTGTTCTGATCTCAAGTGGCATGAGCAGGAGAAAAACTGCTCTGATTATTGTACGTGAAGGCTTGAGATCAGCGCCAACATTTATACCGTTGTTTCCAGCATTACCGTAAATTAATATAATTCATCTGTGACTTTGACGATCATCTACAATACATTTAATGGCATGAGCGTATTGTGCACTTATGACTCTCATTGGCTCTGCCATTTGCCTTGGACGAGCAATGCACTCAAACAGTGATGCGGGAAGTTTTTATGTCGTGCACATCGCTTTTACGGCTAAACGCTAGACTATAATGGGCCACCTTCATGGGGCCCTTTGGACCCAGTCAGCTTCACGAGCCCCTGAACTGGAATCCGCCGCGTGTTGAAACCCTGAATGAAACCATTCACTCAACCCACCCATCTTGGCAAGCTATCTGGTTAACATGTCTCACAACCTACGCGAACTCCCTTTTGACGTCTTGCTCAAGGTTGCTGAATAAAAATACCTGGATATCCGAGACGTAGCTTCCTCTTCCGCCGGCACTACCTCCTCCTCTTCTGCCGCCGCGTCGGCTCCCACTGCATCTATCTCCACCACTCCCGCATCGTCCTCCACTGCGCCGCCTGCTACTCACATTGGGCCCATGACGCCCGCGCAGGCCGTCGCTCATCGCCGGAACCAGAAGAAGGCCGAGAAGGAGAAGGAGACGTCTAAGAAGAACTAGTAAAAGGGGTTGGGAACCCCTGGAAGGGGGAATGTGAGGTCTCGGCGCGCGAGCAGCCGGACGCTCACTCATCGGTATTGACTCACGGTACCGTATGTCTCGCGGACATTATTGTTGTAGGTCACGACCCCGGGTTGGTCGCTGACTGATCTCGCTATGTCTCAGTTTATTCAGCACAGTGCTCTTGTATGTCTACGTTGGGCGGGGCCCAACCATCGTGTATTTAAGTAGCCTACGAACCTCTGTATTCGCTAGTGTTACTGGAACCTCGATATTTCGACCTGTGACCTCTCTGCCCGACTTCCCATCTAAATCGTAACCAACCGTGTGCCGCCGCGTCAAGATCATCGCACGCTCTTCGACCCGTCGCCACATCGTAGAGACGCTTCGAAGTCTACTCTGGGAGCATTCGTGTCAGTATCAAGCACAACTCCTGGGCCTGATGGACGCAAGAACTCACCTGTCGTAGGCTCAGGGCGGGGGTAGTGGACATAGTAGCTCCCGAATCTTCATCGTCATAGTCAATGAGCATCTCGTTGTCCCCGACCTCAGGAAGGTCGTTGCCATACTCGGCAATCGCGGCGAGGACAGGGTCCAGAGGCTCAGCCGTCTTCTTGGGCGCCTTGGCCTTTGCCGCTGCCTTGGGATTCTTCTTCGGCTTCACGCGCGGAGGAGCGTCAGAGATGGAGTTGGACGGTCCGGCCTCCGATGCACAGGCATAGGGGTGAGTGGCAGTGCGTGCCTTGCGCGCTGTATAACCCTCGCGGTTGTACTGAGCCCTGCGGAGCGCCCGGGCCGCGTAGTCGTACGCGAGCTGCTCGCCGATATCGGCGCGGTTTTCGTCCAACCAGCGACCCCGGCCAGCCGGCGCAGCAGCCGGCGGCTCGGCATTGTCACCGAGGATGTCCCTCGTGGTCGCAAGTGGGCCTCGGTTGTCGACGAGCCCATTGGTGTCGAGTGTCGCAAGGCGACGGGGCGATTGCAGGACTTCATTCCATGCATGGGCGAAGTCCTCGTAGCCCATGGGAACGGAACCGGGGCGGTCCCCGGAGGCGAGCGCGTGGCTATACGGCGCGTACTGGCGGACCTGGTCGTGGGTGATGAGGAGGTCGCGGGAGTTGTTACGAGCGCGAATGATGAGATAGGTACAGCCAGGGGGTTGCCGGATAACGGCGGAAGAGCTGGGAATAGAAGACATGTCGAATATGAATAGGGAAGCGAGTCCGATGGAAATAGAATCTGTGGGTATGGGGAAATCGAAGCTCGCGAAGCGCCGGTTTTTAACTTCTTCGGCGCCTAAGCCCTTCGGGCTCAAAGTCTCATCAGGCACCTGAGGATCTTGTGTAGTAAAATCCCCGGTGCACATGTCCCGCAGTTCTGAAACATCACCTATTCCTAACATAGTCAAGTACTCTTTGTAAGCGTCGAGATCTGAGACTTCAAAGTATGGAAGCCAGCTTCTGTCTCCCGACTGCCATAGAATCTCAAACATAGCATTGCTTCGACTTCCCTTGTGAGATAGAATCCGATCAACTGACCATTCCACGTCGGGCATATCAAAATCGGCGATCTGATACTCAAGACGGCCTGGGAACAGCCTATCGTCATTTGGTACATGAATTCTCAGCAAAGAAGAGTGGAATACATCGTGGATTCCTCGTTGTTTCATCCGATCAGGTAATTCCACGCGGTATGAGTTATTTTTATAATCTTCGATGATTCTATATGGCCCGACAAACTTCGGGACCAGCTTACGGGCTAGACCCTTTGGTAAATTTAAGTTCTTCGTGGAGATGTACACGCGGTCTCCGATCACAAGAGGGCAGGCACGGCGCTTCTTATTTGCTTGGACAGTCTGTTTCACTCTCGCGGCTAGAATAGCGTCATGTGCAGCCATGATCGCCGCTTTCATCTTCTGGGCGTAAGTTCTAACCCCGGGGTATTCCTCTGGCTTCGCATTGTTCCAGATCATGGTGCGCGGAAGCCT